CCAGTGCAATTGCACGCGCACTCGATGACATCAAGTGCGCGTGCAATTGTACTGGACCTTTATACAACCGCGTTCGCAACCGCTTTGCGAACGCGGATCCGCTTCCAGTGTGAATGAGCGGTAGGAGAGCCAATCATCGCAACTTACGGAGGCAGCTCAGCGAATGACGATGCCGAAACAAATGTTTAGACCAAAAAACGCAGTCTGAGTTGTGACACTAAGCAATGCAAGCGTGACGCTATGCATTGCTTAATGTCACAACTCAGACTGCGTTTTTTGGTCTAAACATTTGTGTCGGCATCGTCATTCGCTGAGCTGCCTCCGTAAGTTGCAGTGATTGGCTCTCCTAGAGTTGTGCGGGAAAGTAGGCGCACGGGCTTTTTTTTAGAGTGTACGGAGGGGTTTGCTCATGTGCAACGCTTTTGATACAGCGCACTTCACGTGAAAGGGGTTTTTTGACTCTTTTCTTGAGCCTCAGGCTTGAGTCACGATGACTGACTGTTTGTTGACTTACCAGGAGCCCCACTCACTGCGTTTTGGACATAAATTTTCCATAAGTTGTCTCAGAGTAGAGTAAAAAAAAAAAAAAGCTGAAAATATTAAATCCCTGCACGATGGCAGACAAAACAGAACCGGCGCGGTTAAAAAGTTGGAACATTAAAAAAAAAAAAAGTATGTTTGTTTATCTTGGAGTGTAGGGAAAGGAATTCCCCTTCGTCGTTGCTATCATGTGTAGTTCCATATTTGCACCTTTCGTGGTGTCGGAACATGGCGGGAAGCACTGAATAGCTTATTTATAGGCACTAGGTGTTCTCGAGAACTTGCTCATGACCCTTGTGACGCGCTTCTCACTTTTTTTTTTTTTTTCTCCGCGAGATTAACGGGAGCTTACTGCAAGAGCGATGAAGAAGCGCGAGGAAATATTCGGGACAAGAATCCTCCGCTTCAAGGACACAGTCAGCGCCACTTTTCCTGTATTTCTCAACATAGAGTTATTACAATAAACGTTTATCGTGATAACTCTACGCTTCTCAAACTCAAATTTCAGCCGCCTTTCAAAAGATGGTGGAAGCGCGCTTTGTCTGCTACAACATAGCTCCTTTTTAATATTTAGGACAATTAGTATCCTTCAAAAAATTACAATAATGGAAAATGGTCTTAATTAGAACGATAATAACTCTAATTAACGAATCGTTGTTAAAATAGCTGTCCTCTTATCTGAAACCGGTTTATTTTTGCATGTAGAGTTGAGCTTCAAAATAATCCCATAATTTAAATTTATATAAAAATATGAATATGAATACAACCAGACCAGCCTTACATAGCCAGCCCAGTTCCTCTAGCATACAATTGAAAAAAAAGGAAAAAGAAAGAAAGAGAGATCAGATGCCAGAACGCTATCTGAGAAAACCAAGAACGCGTGAAGGGAATTCTTCGAAGTTTTATCACAATGAATTGGTGTTTACAAAAAAAACAACTGCTGGCGTTGCACTTCTAGTATTTTTATGCCAAGTTCCTACGTTTACCAGAAGCATGGCCTTAAATGTCGTTGCTGCGTTATGTGAAACTGCATTACGACACTTCAAAATCACATAAAAAGGCACTTTTAAATAAATATAAAAAATGTGAGTGTACTAATTAAGAAAGAAACGTAAGTACAGAACCGCACGAGTTCTTCATCTATTTATTAAAAAAAATAAGAACGCGAATTGAATGCCGAACAAGTCTAGAAACTTAGAATGCGCCGAAATGTGTCTTTAAAAATATCAAAACGCACTTTTTGTATTCTTATTGTACGTTACGTTTTGAAAAATGCATGTCATATTCTACACAAGGACAGTGATGATGCATTGGCCATTTATTTTCAAAAAGAACGAAATCTGTGGCACGCGCACAGACGCGACATTTGCTCCGCAAAACAGGAGCGTTAGTACAGCTGCCACTGGTATTCTAGCTGGGGCCGTGGGACCCAAATATTAGGTTCTCTGACACTTACTACGAGAAATTTCATCTGGGAAGTGGGCGTATTTGTAATTTTATCAGAAGTTTGTTTGTTTCTTGGGAAAGCTATTTCGCACTGTCACTATCAAAATGGTAGAATGTGCACGTTGCTCATAACGGTGGTCTTTGCGATAGCATCTAAGCTCAGAGCCTACGTTTGGAGCTGACGCGTAACCATATAAAAGGCGGCTTTTATGCAACGGAGAAGGGTTGCCTAAAGTAACTGGTCGCCTTTTTGGTCCATGAAATGAGCAATTTCTCCTTGACCTCTCCATTCTTGGTGAGCTGGTGAAGGATAGGTTTATAGAGACGTTTCTTGTCTACCGAGATTTCGCTGTCCACACACTGGTGGAACAAGCGTACATCTTCGTACCCCCTCTCCCTCCCCCCCCCCCTCCCTCCCTCCCTCCCTCCCTCCCTCCCTCCCTCCCTCCTCCTCCCCCCCCCCATGCGGTGTCAGTGCTTGAAGGGATTGAAAACAAAAATCTCTTTAGAAGAACGCAAAAACAACAATATAGTCGTAGAGATGGGCATGATTGATAAGTTGATTGCATACATAGTGCCAAATACGCTTATATTAACGAGGAACGCCTTCAGTACAATGATGCTCCATGAAGATCTTGGTGCGACTGGTTCACAACGACCATCTCGAAGCTTCGAAGGGACCGAAATGGCGATTGCCGTGGCAAAGTAGACCGATTTGTCAATCGCCTTGCGAGGTTTGGGTCGTCTGCATGTTAATTTTTTTGTTTGTTTTTTTCGGCTAAGAGGCAGGGAAGTCAATGGCGCTACTTTTCCGGGATGCAGTTAGGTACGTTAGAGTTGCATAGGGAAAGGTAATTCTCAAATATGAAGACTGTGTATAATCACTGTGCTTACCGTGCAGCATCGAGTCTGAACAGTTTTTTTTTTTTTTGTATATATGCTACGTGTGCATACATATCCATAACATCATGCTTTATAATCTGCACCTAAGGCCGGCACAATATACCGCTAGCTCTCTCACTCCCCCAAAAGACATACTTCATAATGTTATTATAAACATATATCATCAAGCCTGTCAATGTACAGAAGTATATCATCAAGCCTGTCAATGTACAAAAGTATATCATCAAGCCTGTCAATGTACAGAAGTCAGTGGTGCTCAGCTCGAGTACATGCTTGTGGTACTTCAGAAAAGTGACAACCATTCGTGTCACTTCTCGCTACATACATTTACTAGCTCATAAACGTACGATATTTTTGAAGTTGCTCTTTAGATTCAGCTACTAAGTTAATATGATCTTTGATTTCAACTTGGACGTGGCGGTTTTATTGAAAAATATAATTAAGTACTGACAAACACGATGCGAGAAAGACGAGCCGTGCCTTTGTAAAACCCTTCGGGGGTAGGAGGATAATTGCAATAGACGACAGCAGAAGCGTTACGGCGGCGAATACACGAGCAGCAGCCTCATCAGCGAAACGGAGCTGATGCAATGTTTGCTCGACACCACATTGATGACTCCCCTCCCGGAGGGACACGCGAATGACACGGATGACGGAGCGCGCAAATTACCTACCCGATCCGCCGTAAAACCCACTAACGAAACCTGGGCACGAATTGCGCTTTCGAAACTGTAACTGGGAAATCCCCAGTGACAACTCTAACTTTATTTTTGTCTTACTCCTTTGTAGGCTTGGAGAGGTTGCGGACCTGAACCTTGTTTACCCAGTAGCCTCGTAACCTTGACTCTTCTATAAAAAACGAAGAAAAGAAAAACAAATTTTAAAACGAAAACGAACTTCCTAAAAACCAACAACCAAAAAAAAAAAAAGAATAAAATGTTGGTTCTGATGTTACATGGGATAGTGTGACTATAGAAAAGCTATAGAGCGTGAAGAACGAAACAAGAAGTGTTGATATGTATGCGCAGAATGTTGTTTGCTTTGCGTACTGGAACTTGCCAAGAGATTTCGCTAACGAAGGCATAATGAATTTGAATGATTCTCAGTCAGCTGTCAGCGGCTCAGCAATGCACGTTTCTTTTTTCATCCTGAGTAACAGAAGATTGTTACGTGGGCGCAGGACCGCGGCTCCCATCCGCAGTCATAGTCTATACAGATGGGCTAGAGGCGCTGCTCGTTCATATTTTACAGAACTTACCAAAAATACATCTCTGCAATCTATGCACATTCATTTTTTGTTTCTTTTAGGTTGGCACGTGTTACGTTTTTGCCGCATATACTAGATAAAAAGGCGGAATTATTAAATAAAAAGGTTTGTGTGCATGCAATTAAGCTGTTTTACTTCTCTTTCGTAGTATTTCAAATGTCAATATTAATTTTGCCACGCTACGCCTGCGGTCTCAAGTGAATGTATGCTTTGAAAAAGTATCAGCTTTTTAACAGCCCATTCGAAAGTAAAAAAGGTATGCACATATATATACGGCTTGAAAGGAACCGAAATACTGTGATTACAGGGAACTGCACATGTGCGGCTGCACTCTTTGAAGCCTGCTCAAAAAGCAGAGTCGTCATTAATCGGGGAGCCAGACTAATTATAACTTGCCAGCCACGCACAATTTCATCCCCACCTACATTCATTGACACCGGACGCCGACAAATGATGACGGAGCGAACAAGAAAAGGTTGAGCAAGCGAAGGCGTCGGATGATATAATCCTCACCTCGCCATGTTTTGAACGAAGTACGAAGCCCAATGATCATCGTTCCCGCGCTTAACCTTGGACGGCTGCATTCGTCAACGGTCCTGACCGCCACCACCTCCGAGATCCACAAGACAGAACAAGGGGAACACGCACAAAACAGACATAGGATAAAAAAGAAAAAAAGACGAACAACGAAAACGGTGTCCCCAGCGGCGGACAAGCGTCCATCGCGCGGACCGAGCGTTAACACGGCCCTCGACGTCAGACAACCGCCTCGTAAACAAAGGCCCGAGGCCAAGTGCAGCTTACGCGGAGGTACCCTCTCCGCGGCACCTCCCCGAACCCGGCTAAGACAAAGGAGGAACCAGTTGCCGGCGACGGCGGACCAACGCCAAGAGCCGACCATACGGAATCCTCCTCTCCGCCGCCGTCCTCCCAACTCTGCGCAATCCGCAGATGAATAGGCCCTGCTCAGAAGACCGCCACGAGCGTGCTCTTGTAGGCTGCGCTCCTGCACCGGCGACTGGACACCACTGGGGCATTCATGAGACAGCGACCGATCGTCTCGAGGTTACGGTCAACGGATCTTTCCAGCGGAGTCGGCGGCTGACACTCGGCAAGAGCGGACATGGAGCGGACGTCTTCGTTTGTGGCAGTGCCGATGGTCTTCCTGACCTGGCTCCTGGCCAGCAGCGTACCAGGAGCTCTGGCTCAGAACCGGTCATCTGCGGACCAAGTGTTGTCTGCTCCGGTGTATACGGTGAGTCAATCTTGTTGAGGCAACTCTTTTGCTCACCTAGCAAAGAAATCAGACTCTCCCAGAGGCAGACGAACTAGCCACTGTCTCAATATCCCACGCGATACATTTTTCTTCCGTTAGATGTGTCCAGTTAGAGGCGCCCACGAAGTTAGAACGGCGATCAGATCACCTGTAGCGAGTTCTATGAGCTTTCACTATAATCACCTTGTAAGGCTATGCTAGGTGCGTGAGGTAGGGACACTGTTCCGTCAATATTGCTTGTAGATTTCCCAGCGTCAAAGAATGAAGTTACCCTGACACAAAGTACGCTACGCACATGGATTCGGCTAAATGAAACTGAGATCAAATTGTTTACACACAGACCACTGGTGGATAGAATTAAACTGATTCGGGTGCTATAGTCACGCTTTTATTCATAACAGAGTGTACGCCATATCGTTCTTAAGTTTTAATTACTATTATATGATTAAAAAGTGTCAATGGGATGGATTTCACATTAAACATCACCAGGACTAACTAGCACGACTACTAGAAGGACATGTTCCGAATGTAGGCGTTGAATTCATTATATTCCGTGCTAAAAGGTGAAACGTGCAACAGCGCTTGGTGTATAAATTTAATATTACTATTTATAAGACAGGATCACATGAATTGAAATAAATGTATATTCCTCGTCTAATCCAAGCCACAGGGGAACACTTCATCTAAAAAGAAAAAGAAAAAAAAAAAGTCAAGGAAAGCGTTTAAATATTTTGATCGTTTTAATAAACTTGTGTTGTTGAGGTAAAACCATTCCTTAATCAATATGCTCGTGTCGCTTTCTCATTACCAGTGTATCTGTTTTCTTGTAGAAATGTCGCGAAGTAATGCGCTATCAAACCTTTGCTCTCATGTTAGTTTCCTTATGTTGTGAAGGTGCAATATACAACTCGTGCTGTCAAGGGCTCTTCCTCTCACATGCAACTTTGTGCACAATGCCGCCGCTATTATTGTTAATGATACATAACCCCTAGAGCACGTCTAAAAATAATTTATACCGGCGGAATTGTCCTTAATTTAGAAGCCCTTCTCGTTTAAACGCGGCAATCTTGTCCATAAACGTTCCACGTGAGTCGCTTTGTTGACGGTGAACCAATAAAAGTTGCTTAAGTGCGCAAATTTTAGTATTCAAACTGAAATCTGACACGGCGTTTAAACAAACAACTTATCCGTAAGCTTTTCCCCCCTCTCATTGTCTAACCTTTCCACTCTATGATGTTTTGTATTTAATAATGTTGTTTCCCGTCAAGGTGTCTTGGGCGCGCGTCAGGACCTCGTCAAGCTGCAACAGCAGCTTTTTAGTTCTAACGTCTTCCTTTTTTGTGTGTGTGTAAAAAGGAAACAAAACAAGCTTTATAATTATTTAAAAAAAACGACTTTATTAAGCAAAGATGCTGCATTGTAGCACACCGAAATTGATTTTTCTGGGCGAACTCAAAATTTCTGCACCATTGTTAACGGCACAGCGTCGCGTGCTAAGCAGAGTGCAAGTTCGTCTGCTCCTTTTGCGAGGATTGTGGTGACGTCAGAACGACGCCGAACTTTGATTGGCTCCGACTGAAGGATAGTGGGTAGACCTTACAGCAAGCCGCCTAGCGGTCTTCCCACTATCCTTCCAACGGGAGCCAATCAGAGCTCGGCGTTCTAACGTCACAACAACCTCTGCAAAAGAAGCAGACGAACTTGCCCTCCGCATAGTCACAGAGAGTGTAAAAAACGCACGGCGTGGCGACTCCTGGACATCTAATTATCGCTCCGCAGCCAATCAAACTGCGGCAAGAGAGAACACCGAAGGACCAATCACGAAGCGGGAACATAATAAACCACGTCCTGCGTTTCTTAAGTTGTCGGGGACTACGGTAGCGCTCCTTGTAGATTATTACCGACGTCACGTGATGTCGTGTGAGAGGAAGAGCCCTTGGGTTTTAATGGGGGTATTCGTTCACATTCATCGATGGAAAATCCGTTTATTGATGCACGACTGGTGCATGCGACCGTGATTTCCCCCAGCTTGCCGCCAATCCAACAGCGAGATTTCGTGTGCTTCATTCTGCCACCAGCAATCCTTGCTGTTAACAAGCGATGAGCCGTTGTGCCATCGGGCGCGCTCCGAGCAAAACGATGTCATGAATGTCTATACTTGTCCCGATCGTAACGGGTTGCGCCGATAAATCCACGCGTCAGAACTGGCAATCATTTCAGACGCACGCACGCACGTTCATATCGGCAAAACGCGCCTTCATCCACCGTCCAGTAACATACAATCTCGCAGTGAGCCCCCGGATAACAACATGAAACTACCATGCGTACACCGTGGGTGAAGCATGCTCGACGTAATAGACAGTTCTGTAATCAGTGAGAAAGGCGGCGTCGGTTTCTTCTTCCACGTAACGACTGGATGGAGGCGCACACGTTGTCGTGGCAGCAGCTGGACCACCGGGGGCTTCCGAAACTTCACTTTCCGACTACACAAGCCGACGGAGACAACACGAACCGTAGACACTCGGACGAGACAACGCACAGCCGCAGAAGAACTCTTGCGGAGCGGCCTTGGGACATTGAAACTGTCGACGTCTTCTCGAGCGTGTCCTGAAGTGGCAGCACGCGTGTGCTGCCACAAACGCAACAATTTCGCGTATAGTTCCTGCTGGAACGTGGAGAAAGTATACATTCTTTTGTTGATTTCTTTCGGTGGATACGCGACGTTCCAGCGGCGAGAAACACACACGCAGCGAGGTTCGCTCGTGGGCATCCAGACGTTCATCGGAAGACTATGGCCACTTGCCGAGCCTGCTTTTGAGGACCTGACTCTTTCTCTTGCAGGGGACTGGAGACCTTGAAAGCTTCAGGACAGGTGAGATCTCTTCGAAGCTTTCGCTGAATGTACCCTTTACGGAAAGGAGAAACGAGGCGCTGAGGCGGAGAGGGATGATTAGCAGGCCAGATGCGTCACGCTAGAGAACTAAGGACATCGATACGGTGAGAAACTAAGAGATAGGAAAAGACGAGAGCGCGCAGTGGACGCCTCCGCGTGCTTTCATTTCCTCTCCCTTAGCTTCTCACTAATGCTATGTCGGGCTCACAGTTAAGTCGAATTTTACGCGCAAATACACTGGGAAATTTGGTTAAAATCCGCAAAGCTGCACGAGAAAAATAAGAATAAAATAAAACTCCTTTGCCAGAAAAACAAAACAAAAACAACAACAACAACATAAAAGTAAGATATGATTGGTGTCTGTTATTTCTCTGTACTTCGGTTTCGAGTTTTTTTGCCATGACCGTTACCCAGTTCGCATGACCGATTTTGTTTTTGGTTCCGCGCAGTAAAACCCCTGCGCACCATGAAATTAGCAGCTACGGTTCCCACTTTGGAATCTTCCTTAATCCAGTCAGTATTATTACGACACCCTCAACGCACTCGGCAGTAGCTCGGAGCACGTGGAGCGAAAGCTCTCGCTGCAGAACCCAGGCATTCTAGGTTCAATCCACACCCCTGCCCGTTTCGATCTGGATGAGCATCGTACCGGCGTGCGGTCGTGTGTCACTGCTGCGTGATGCACGTTAAAGACTTCAGGCTAGCGGCTGTAGTGCGTCACTGGCTAAATTTCTCATCTACAGTGGGTAACAATGGCGCCATGTTCAGGCAGACTAACTTCCCGCTGTATAAACAACTAACGACTAATTACTTTTTTTATTATTACACTCGGCAGTCGGTCGTTTTAATGGCGATAGTGACACAAAACTTGTTCTTCTCATCGTTTCAGTGATCCAAAACCTCAAGTACACTTATCACTGATCCGTAGATGTCACTGACTGGTTTCACTAAAAGTTAAAAACCGGTAATTCCCTGAGAGTCAATTTTCTACAGATAGTATTTCCGAAGATCAGCAAATTCATTCCGATGGTCATCGTCACTCATTTTGTTTTGTATATTGCCAAATATTGTAAAAGGAATACTGCACCCGTAGCTATATATTCCCTTCACTCAAGATGCCAGTAAAAGTAACTATTTGTAAATGTAATATTTCTCACCCAACATGGTGAGAAAAAAAAATAAACAAGCAAACTATATAGCTGCTTTATATATATCAACGAATGGGGCAGTTGATTTCTGCTAAGTATAACAAAAGGTTCGCTCTGTAGTACTTAGTCGAGCTATGGATCAATCTCGACACGTCAAAGAACGAACTTCAGATCCGCGATGGCACTTGTGTGAAGGTTTTGATGGCTACATTCAGTGGTCTTCGGCGGGACATTTAGAACCACGTTATTTAGCAGGACAAATGGGATCAGTGGCTTTTCAGTTTTCTAAAACCATTTCTTTCGCATAATGGAAAGGTAAAATATCATAGGATAGTTTACCCGCCTTTCTTTTTCTTGGCAGGAAGAAAAAAACAACACGAACAAACAAAAACTGAGACGGAGCGAGAAAAAGAGAATAGAGAGAAACAAAGGAGAGGCTTTTTTTTTTTCACATAGCAACCGATTTAAACAGTTAGTTTGTAACTTAAAGTTGTCTGGTTTCATTTTTCTCTGTAAGTACACAAATGTCTCCTTGTAAGTACACGTTAACACAAAATATATATATTTTCAAGCTACTCCATATCAATTAACTACAAATTACGCCCCCCCCCCCAAAAAAAAAAAAAAAAAGAAAAGCTACGTTTGCTTATTACGATTGCTACGGGTGGAAGTTGGAGGAAGTCTACTGTATGGAAAGACCATTTACTCAGAAGTATGCATTTTAGTCCGTAAAATCACTTACACAAACTTGTCTCACAAAAGCAAGAAATACATGTCCGTGGGACCAAGCCGACCTAAAAACAATTAAAAAAAAAAACAATAAAAAATACGTAGCGTCAAACAGCCTATTGCACGCCATGGAAACAAAACAGTTTACAGACCGATACGCTGCTTACAAACAAGTCAGCGTTTGGCCACACTGGGCACATGCGCGTGCGCAGAAACCAGATCCACGCGACGTGAGCTTCTGCGCATGCGCCGTGCCGACAATAACACCACCGCAGCGGCGTGACGTCAGGGCCGTGCGTTGGTGCGTAAAAAAATAAAAACTAACAGATTCCACAAAACGAAATGGCTGGGAGACACAAACGCGAGAGAAAACACGTCGTTAACGAGTAGCCAACACCCCGCTCATTTTATCGTCGCTCTGCGCCAATTCGCAGTGAGCCACTGCGACGCCACCGTGGACACGCCCGAGGGCTGGATCTTCAGCCCCAACTACCCGGGCGACTACGACAACTTCCGCACGTGCACCTTCACGGTGCCCAAGCGGACCAGCGACGTGTGCACGCTGCGGCTCACCTTCAACGACTTCGAGCTGGAGGACAGTCCGGACTGTTTCAACGACTACCTCCTGCTGCCGGACGGACAAAAAATCTGCGGCACGCTTCCACCGGACACCACCAGTGAGTCTCCCTAGCGCCTGTATCCTAAAGCTGCTAGATCGCGCCGCTAATAGTCTGCAGAGACTGTCAAGGGGCGTGTTTCTTCCCTGTACAACGACGCTCCTGTCACGTCGGTAGGACAGAAACTGTCTGCAAACGTGTTTGCAGCGAACACTGTGTCTTTTGAACAATGTATGGACACACGCGTGAGACCACGTGAACCCACGGGGGTGTTTAAAGGGCAGCCCAAGTTGGGCCTGCCCACGGTTTTCCTTCCGTGGAGCCCCCATGTATACGCTAACCGATGGCCGACATGGGACCCAAGTTGGGCATGCCCACGCGTGGCCGGGATGGGACCCACGGGGATTGTGCAGGGGCAGTCCAAGTGGGGCATGCCTTCGCGTAGCCGAGGTGGGAACCACCGCGGGGCATTGGGTGGGTGCCCCACGTTTGTCATGCCCACGCTGCGCAGACTGCCCACGTGGGTCCCGCCTCGTGGGCTACCTGGGCTCCCTCAACAGCAATTACCTTTCTTGTGATCAAAAGTAGCTGACGGTTGTGTAGTATGCTGATCTCAATGTGTTCTGGCAAACAAAACGAGCCTACGAGCTTGGGAGGCGTTAAAATTGTATTTTGCCACCGGGGTAATTTTTTTTTATCGTTATGCAACCGCAGCACGACTCGGAATGAAGAAAAAGTTCCTGTTGTCCACGTTCTCCAAGATAAAAAAAATAATAACTTGGTAGTTTGCTACTAAAAATGAAAAGTTACCAGTTACAAGTAACAGAGTTACTTGACAGTGCTGCGTACAAGTCTGGCCTTCAGCACAGGGCAGACACGCGAATTCTCAACCTCGAAATGTTCGCCCCAGGTAGCTCTAGAGAACGACAAGCCGCTATACATAATTGAATTCTGGCCAACTTAATTCCAAGAAGCACAGAAAACACGCTAAGGTCCGCTAATGGCCCCAAGTACGGCACAAAGGGTGGCACGCACGGCGACCTGCAAGGCATCGACAACTTGTTGATGTCATCACGCCCGTCCTTGTAAGACACGGTTCACTAAATGGTGCCGGAGTCACGCGACCGACGTAGCTATTTGTAGATTAATAAATGAAGTCACCGAGAGTCTAGAAAAATGTACTGGGTGGCTTTCCATGATCTTTTCGACGACAGAAGTCTCGTTTGCTGCCGAATGATAATAAGATGATCCAGAAACGCCGTGCCTCGCGTTTCCAGAGATCAGTCGCCAGTGACTATAATTCATTGCTCTTCGTTTTATTTTGTGTGACGTTTTTTCTAATAGTCGTCTAAAGGCAAGCAACTGCTCGTGCCGACCCTAACTTCAGCACGGTGTCCGCGCAGAGACTGTGAGCATCTCCCGTCGCCACAGCAGCTTCACCTTCCTCTTCTCGAGCAACGAGGCCAAGACCGGCAAGGGCTTCATGGTGAAGATCGTCCAGGAGCCGTACACCTGCTCGGACGACCTGCCGGACAGTTCCCTGTTCCCGACCGACTCGCTGCCGGAGGACTTCGGCCCTCCCGCCGCGCGGCCGCAGGACTTCGACCCTCCGGTGGCCCGGCCGCAGGAGTTCAACCCCGTGACTCGACCACAGGCCCAGACTGGCAGCAGTGAGTTTTATGAATGCGCTAGCATTAGTACCCACATGACAGGAAAAAGCTGACGGCGTCCGTCTGTGAACAAAACAGTGGAAAGGGAAGCGCGACGCGTAGAGAGGAGGAGAGTAGTGAAGGACAAGGACGAGAGGGAGGTGACATCATGGGGCGGAAGCCGATGCACGCGCGGATGCTGGGCCCAGGGCGAGTCTGAACTTGACGGTGTGCGGGGCGCGTATGCCTTGGTTTGTGCTACAAAATGGAGTGTGAACCAAGTATACGCTGGTCCAAGTAGTCGGCAAAATATTAAAGGAAGATCCATTGGTGGATCCTTAGGGAATGCGCTAGCATGACACTTGGGAAACGCCACGCACGTCCCTCTTTGGGAAACGCTAACACTGACCCCGTAACAAAGCCAAAAAGAGGCAGCAAAAAAAAAATACACATATATATAGAGAGGAAGCAGAAGAGCAAGTTTAAAGAGAAAACCCAAAGAGAAAAAATTAAGGGGTCAGCGTTAGTGTTTCCCAAAGGGGGTTCGTGTGTGGTTGTTTCCCAAGGGTCATGCTCACGCACTTCCTAAGGATCCACCAATGGATCTTCCTTTAATTTTAGTTAGATGCACGCTGCCACAGGGCCATGGGATGACGGTCTCCAGCACTCCTGACACAGCATACAAGAACGCCGTCGTGTCTAGTCTGTTAGGCATTTGTCCTTGTCAACATGCTGCCATCATTTAAATCAAACTAAAAATTTCAGGAGTGCGCGAATTCTGGTTCACATCGAATAACACTGCGCCATTCGTAACCTTTAGAATGACAGGGGAAGCCCCGGCAACCGGTTTTCTTAACTGTGTTAAAGCGAGACTGCGCTATTTGAGTCGAGCCGATAATTCGCACATCTCTGGAAAATTTGTAACGACACGTTCTATTTATGTACTTTTTAACAAAAATAGGGCGGGGGGAGGGGGAAGGGGGGGACGAGGTGGTACGACGGTTCTTATCCCATACTTGCCACTGTGAGCTATCTACACACTTCAAGATAAAATAAAATTGTTTTATTTGTAACATACAAATTTATGCAGAGTACATCATCGAGCCGGCTAAAGCGACAAGGGCCTGTCGAGAACATAAGATCATAAGAAAGCATATAGTATAAAAAGAGATAAGAAAACACGTGTCCGTACTCCGGCGAACGAAGGGCCCTAGACGTCTTCAGAGAAATTTACGTGATGTGATTTAATTATACACCTTTGAATGACGGCCATCATCATGAAGGATCGACATATTTTACCCGGTCAAAGAACATTAAATAGTTGTCACACAGTATGCACTGACAACTGTGGCCGAACTGTTTGACAGCCTGCAAGCCATTCAGCATTTTTTGCAACAACAGTGAGCGAATAGTGAATAGTAATTCTAAATATATAAGATATGTGAACAGGGCGGAATGTCTTTAGATAATACATGTACACATGAATATGGAGTTAACAGGCTGAAATCGCCCTCTGGTCAGTGCCTGATTCCAGGAACGCAGTTACAGATACAGCCCCGTGCAAATTCTATCATATCGAGACGAGGCGGCACTCAACGAATTTCACAAACCCTGATACAAGACGCAGCCCACAGTCACAGTACAACCAAAAGATATAGGTTGAAATATTGCATAACGTACTAGCCACTATGGACTGCTAGAGGAATACCTGTAGTTCTTTCGGCACATTTACAAAAAAGCGCGGACTGTACATCGTTCCCTTTATTCCACTGGATCGACCTCAGCCTTAACAAAGAAGCCATTGCGTGAGTCGTGCCGATTCTAGCACCAATTCTAGTATCACTTCTTTTTGCTAAACTCACAGTTCAGTCGAGATAGATGATTGTCTGTATAGGACCATCAGTGGCCGGTTGACAACACATATTTATCAGCGTAATCTCGTTGTATATGTTGATTGTATTGAGCGGCACCAAGCCAGGAGCTTGCGCCTTCTGTTCGCAAGCCGTGCATGGGCGTTATCTTGGGGGTCATAAACAAAGGCAAAACAAACCCGGTCCGGCGGGGTCGCCAGGTCGCTGCGACCAGGAGGTCCTGGGCTACTCGCACGTGCTGTCGTCCCCGGGCTACCCTGTCGGCTATCCGCCCAACCAGCGCTGTTCCTACCGGGTCTGGCGCGCCGACCGCAGCGTCTGCGTCGTCGAGCTGGACGTGCAGGACTTCTCGCTGAACGACCGGCGCCAATACTGCTCCAGAGACTACCTGGACCTGCCCGACGGAACCCGGTTCTGCGGAAAAGTGACGGGAACCAGTGAGAGAGTCGGAGCTTCATCGGCACACCGCTTGCTTCCACGCACGTCGAAAGACAACTACACTAACCTTTCACTTCGCGGCGCTGAGGAGCTGGCAGGAAGACGCACACTAACGGCCCGAAGAAAGCTTGAAAACTGCTCGCTCATTTTTACGTAGCGCATATTTGTTCTTATTTTTGTTGCTCCAAGATAAAAAAAATAAAAAAAGGATACGTACAAGAGTAAATAAACGTCGTGAGGATTAGGTGTTTACATTTTTAGTCAAGTGCCTAATCGAGAGTGCATTTTATATTCTATAAAACATTCGCAACGCAAGAAAAATGGGTTAGACGTCTTATATGAATGTTACAGAAAGCCACGAGATAGTACAGCGCCTTTCTTTTTAAATGTACTACGTCATTCCTCGCCACAGCAGGGTATGTTGCGCTTAAAGGAGTGTACTTCTCAATTTCTTTTTACTCGCCAGTCATTCTCAACCCAACTTAATTCTCGACGGAAGGTGCGCTGTGTTATGAACTTTACGTAGCTGTGCCTGATGGCTATAGTCCGTCTTTTTAACCCGGAAGGCTAGTATACTCCGTTTCACCTTCAAGGGCAACTGAATATATGTCCGTATTAGGTGATAAAGTTCGCACAATTTAAAACGCCTTACCCAACTTCGAAACGAAAACAGTGAAATGTTTCACTTTGAAAGCACGGATGCACACACAGAATTTTCACGAGTTTCCTTTCGTCAGCAACCATATTTCAAAACGTCAGTGGTCCTCAATCAGTGACGCTGTCAGCGTTTTTCCTCCTTCATCCCTACAGGGAAGGAAGGCACCGTTGCAGGCCTGCTAGCGCGCAAAAGCACGCAGGCACCTATGACGTCACCGAGAGTGACGTCAGAAGTTGTAGCACGTTAGTGCAGCCGACGATAAGTTCTTAACGGCAATGAGCTTACGCGCGCAGCCTTGGCTCTTATCTAAATGTCATCGGAAGAGAAATTTTATGCGACTTTTCCGCAAGTAATCGAGGTAAAATTTCGCGGAAGACCGCAAGGTCTTACTGCAGTGTCTCGAACCAATTCTCGAGGCAAATAAGAATGCTAATTTCTCATTAGAGTTGCCCTTTAAGTGAAACGTAGTGTGAGCGACGCAGGTTCAGGAGCCGTATATACCGTATTTACCCGAGTAATAGCCGCACTGCTTATGAAAAAAACCTCAGGGTTCGCTTTTCCGCGGAGCACGCAGATTGCCAATCACCGTGATCAACACTACGATTTCAGCTGTTTATAGGACAGAAATAAGGCCTTTGTGCGAAGATACCATCTATAAAGATTGCATTTTTATGAAGAATCGCGTTCGCGGTCTGGTTATTCGCTATGTTATTAGGGAGTTTTCGTAGACCGCGCTGACCCCTCCGCTAAGCGTTCCGCAACGAAGAAGTTGCTACTGCGCCTGCGCGCCGATAGCCTTGACTGTGGAGTTCCCGCTATCGTAGCGGGTTGCGGAGGGCCTTGCGGGATGGCGAAGACGATCTACGAAAACTCCCTATTTATGCGCAACGAGATGATTGGCTGTATATCCGTTCTGTGGGAAAGTAGACGCGAGGGCCTTGTGCATAAATAGTGCGGCTATTACTCGAGTAAATACGGTATATATATACTATACACCTCAGTCGAGCGTAAGTGCGCGGCGCATGTCATCGATGTCGGAGAAGCATCAATCGCGACGCCGTCACGCATCCCGAGGCATCGGCACTGCATGAATGAAGTGGCGGGATGCCCGCCAACCATTGTCTTCGCTCCAGAGCTGCTGGAATTCACTCCCGGGTCGGAGTCGTTCACGATGACCTTCGTCAGCGACTTCTTCGGCTCCGGACGGGGCTTCAACGTTTACGTGAGACAGCGGCCCCACTCCTGCGGACGCAGTCCCTTCGGCACGCGTGAGAACGCTCTCCATTTCGCAGCGGCGCCCTTCGCCCGCTTTCTCGTGTGCCCGCCCCGCAATCGAGCGGCGACAGCTGGCGGTGGGAAAAACGAAAAGGCGCGCGATCTGTGTCGCAGATAGGGACGCGGCCCTGATGTTGAAAGCAGCGGACAAGTCAAAGTGTGCGCGGCGGTCACCAGTCGGTTCCGCAGGCCCCGACAACACCGCCTCGAATCTTCAAAGCCTGAGAGACATTCGATTATTAATTGTTGCGCTTGTTAACGTGACTGACAGCTATTGCCTTTTCGCAAATTCTTTAAATTTGTTTAGCCTCTATTAGAAATTGTCGTTAATACTGCGATTGTAGCATGACCCATAAAGCTATTAATTAAAAAAATATATTTAACATAATTTGGTTAATTGTCCAACTTACCGTGAATCATTCCACTAGAGGCTTCAGTATTCCAGATCCCGCCACATAATATTTATTACCGTCTATATCAGACCCGCGGCACCGCTGAAAGGCAGGTGCCCCAAACCACGAATCCGCTACGGGACTTCACCACATTTTGAACACTCGGTGTTGATTGCTTGGACGGATCCGCGGCACGACTGTGGCCAAGGTGGATCTCGCAACTCGTGATTGTCTCTGTGTAATTCCTCGTACCTTCGCTGATGTCTTCGTGTACTTTGTTGCACGGACCCTAATGCCCCCTCCAATTTGCACGTGCTACGGGTGTATGAGAAAAATTGGCATCGAACCTTTATCTTCAAAGTCCCATACAGTGCGTGGAAGGAGCGACCGTTTACATTTTTTTTAGGAGACATTAAGCTTCACGTGCCGTTATTGTGTCAAGTCGGGGTGTCGCATGACGTCACGCAATGTCACGTCACGTGATTGAGTGCCACGAGGTACACGCGGACGCACGGACAAGCAAAGTTTTGGGAGGGCGTAATTATCACCGATTATTAGAGTGCCGCAGCCCCGCACTGATCCGAGAGCACGCGGTTTTGTGAATACTCCCCTATAGGGAGGATTCACTGTCAGGCATAGCTGTGTGCGCGACTGCCAAGGGCGTACTGATGGCAAGCTTCCACTGTTCTTTTGCAACGTGCATTCCACACCACCAAGATTGCCGGTCACTAACGTGAGCTCGTTCTGAGCATGCGCTTTAAACAGCGTCCTCAAATACGGCGTCCAGCGAATAACCCTCATAGAGTCAAACGGCCTTCATCAAACTAGTGTGGCGGAAGTACTTTTTTTGGGGGGGCACTCGCGTAAGCGATAAAATTTGACGCCCGCCAATGACCCTTTCAAAAGTAAACTTCGAAAAAGCGCAAATCGTGCGTTCTCGCTAACAGTGGCGTTCGGTGTACGTACAACATCTAGGGTTATTTACAACGTATAATACGTGAAGTCCACCTCTCTTTGTCGATGACGCAGTTGGAATACCGGAATAAAGACGCGAAACGGAAAAGGTCCATGAGGAGTGTTACTCGTTATTGTTAAAAATAGCCCGGAATTGCGATCCTCTTTTGAAGATGTGGACGACCCGGAGGTTCATTGCCGCTCCAGAAAAAGATCTGGGCGATAACCCCGTACTCAAAAGCATCAGAAGGCTCACTGAACCGTTTCCGGTTCAGTGATGCATTCGAAATAACGGTTCGGTTACCGGTTCCACCAAGCGGGAACCGGTTCAAGCCGGTTCTTAAAAAGATAAGTCCACAGCTCACACTTCTTAAAAATAAAAAAAGGTGCTAAATAAAAACACGGCATTTTCCGCGTTAAAAAAAAAAAAAAAATCACCAGAAGCCGTGCTGCGGAAACGAGGAGAGCAAAACAAGTATATGTTTAATTTCGTTTTGTGATCTTTACTTTTTCTAGCAAACACTGCTCTGTGCAAATTGCGGGGTTATATAGGTGCTCGGAAACAGTACTCACGTATGAAGTCAATCAACCAGCACCTCACAATGACACCGTGACAGTAACATGCACAGTACCCCCAAAGTAACATGCACAGTACCCCCAAACTACCCACCCCGCACGCTTGAACGCCTTGCTCAAACAATTGACTTGAGGAGATACAGCAAAAAGCGGTATATAATTAAAGCAAAAAACGAGCCACATGTTGTTTATGAAAAACCAAAAAAAAAAAATCTTCAAGCAGCGTTTAGGGGTTGCTCTGGGCGTTCGGCGTCCAGCGCAGCGATGTCCTGCTCGTCATGGCTTCGCCAGCTTCGCCTCTTGGCGTCACCAGATTTTACCACCGTAGACAAAAAAAAAAAAAAAAAGGCCAACAGTTTTTTTGTTTTTTTTTTTGCTTTTGTTTTCCTTGAGAAATATTGCTCAGCGGAAAGAAAAAAAATACACACGCACAGAAAAGAATAGCTCTTTAGCCACTTGGCATAGTCAGGTATACCCCGTTTCATATTCGATGCACCGCGATGAACGGTCCAAGCTACCCGAGTCAATGTATAGCTCATAGCTTGTCACGTGACGCTCCTCGCGTCACTTCGTCCAACCGGAGGACGCGTGTACGCTCTCCGAGCTATGGATTGGCTCCGGTAACTCGCAGAGTGTTTTTTTTTTGTTTTGTTTTGTTTTGCGCTTTATCGTAAGGTGAAACAGTGTATAGAAGTGTACGCCGACTCGCTGATGTCAAGCAGTGCTGCACAAACGCGTCGCTGTTTAGTGAAAGCTTTGCCGCGTACTCTACTGTCGCGAATATGAATTTGACTTCGCGCCGCCACCCGCAAGAGGGCGCGGCTTAAATTTTACTATAGCCCGAACCGTTTTCCAATGAAACGGTAACCGCCGCCACGTGAAATTCCAGTTTCGTTCCGGTTCGGGTTCAATACGAGATGTCCGATTTCGTCAGATGCGGATTTTTGTTTCGGTTCGGTCAAAAATAACGGCTTTCGGTTCACGTTCGGGTTCGACAGCCTGCATAATGTGGGCTGCGATTTTTGTAAACATTGGAATGGTGTATAATCACCGACAGGATACGAACGGCAGGGAAGACTTTCAGTTGTCCCTCCTCCAGCGCGAGCTTGCAACCTTTGATAACACTTCGGCGTCTCTTGAGCCTGAGGCCTACACGCGCAGTCAAAGCACGACGGAGGGCAGCGAGCGCGCGCTGGAGGCATCCGAGACCTGTCAGTGAGCATAGGAACGAAACGTTCTTACACGCGATAATGGTGGGCTATTTTGATACGACCTACGAAAAGTTCCTGTTGAGCGTATTCATGCGCTGAGCCGTGCGCCTCCGAGTCAACTGAGATCACACGGAGCACACGATGACAACAAGGGGTCTCTGCAGGAGGCTGCGACCAGAGGCTGTTGGGTCCCTCTGGCCTGATCCGGTCCCCGGGCTACCCGCGCATCTACGGCCCCAACATGCGGTGCCGCTACACGCTGCTCCGCCTCAACAGCGGCGTCTGCCGAGTCCAGATCAGCTTCAAACGCTTCAACCTGGAGAACAGCTATGGTTGCCGCAAGGACTACCTAGAACTGCCGGACAGGAGCAGGCTCTGCGGGCGCTACACGGGCACCAGTGAGCCCCTTACTTGTAACATCCGATGGAGACAGACTTCTTGTAGATATCTTAGGGAATAGTGAGTGACCGAGCGTACTTTCTTGCCGAAGAACACGACGAGCCGACTGCGATCTACCGGAGGCGAATGACGAAGATCCAAGAACGGTTGGACCGAGGAGTCAGAAATTCAATATGCGCGCCAACATTGTGCGTGTCATTTTACCGGTTCAATGCCACAGCATAGATGGCCAAACGGTTCTCCCCTTTTCCGGTGTCATGATCTGCCGAGCTGCTGCTTGTGAAAAGCGTTATGTCTTACTTGTCTCCTTTGGCGAAGGTCAGCGCTCAAGCGGACTGAAGTCAGTGGTGCTGGCACCAGATTGGGGCGCTCGGCTTTAGTTGGAGAGGAGTCGAGGCCGGAAACAAAATGCGTCTCCCAGGCACGTAGCCAGGATTTTGGTTCGGGGGGGGGGGGGGGGGGGAGGGGGGGGGGGCGCACCCATGACAAAATGCTGTATGAGGGGGAGGGGGGAGAGGAGGTCCCAGCAAAATAGAAGATTTTTCTGGGGGGGGGGGGGGGGCCGGGCCCCATGGGCCTCCCCCCTGGCTACGTGCCTGGCGTCTCCCAATGATGCTAGATACAATATGAAGTAACTTAAACGCCGTATGAGCAAACAATTAATTCAAACTAGTTTCTAAAAATGCCACACTACATAAAAATTCGTGTCATTCTTTTTTTCTTTTTTTTTTCCAGGGACGTACGATTTTAAGCAGGACTTTCTGAACCTCTACTTCATCTCTGACCGATTCAGGGCGGACTCCGGTTTCGAAATCGAAGTGAGACAGCTGCAGAACTCTTGCCTCAATCCGTCGGCCCAGAGTAAGTAAATACCTACACCCTCTATACGTATAACCACATCCGAACAACGAGTATACACTCAAGAGCATTGTTTGACTAACTTTCGATGTCTAAAGTGCAGCGATTTTGCGAGGCTGCTTCTTGAATTGGCGAATATTGTCTATGTGCCCCTTAATTTATCTGCAGCAGTGAAACAATTTATAAACCATCTGTTTGCGAACGTGGAGCGAAGGACAGGGAATATCTCTCATCTTGCGTGTATATGACCACACCCTCCACAGACCCTGTGCACACACGTACATTTTAGAGGACGGTGACAACTGTCATACTACTATACAGTTTCGAAAAGTGAACGTGCCCTGACGTCTTTCTGCACGGGCACACATTTTGGGGCAGCCTTTGCTACCAACTTTGTACGGAGAGAAAATGCAAGAGGGGAGAAGATGAGAGCGCGCCGTGGACGCCAGAGCGCCCAACTCGGAGTGGAAGGATAGCGGGTACAAAAACACAAAGGCGAGCTGCCTTTGTATTCACCCGCTGTCTTCCTCCAATCATGGCGAACGTCGTCTGCTCTTCGCGCAGGATCTAGCGTTCGAACGCCAAACGCCAGCCGCTGAGCAGACGACTCTCTTGTCTGCTGTGATTGGAGGGAGACAAGAGACAAAGGCAGTTAGCCTTTCCGTCTACTCACTATTCTTCCAATCAGGGCTGGGCACTCCGACGTCACCGCGCGCTCTCAGCTCCTCCTGTCCCTCGGTTTCTCTCCGTATTCGACTCGCGTCGGCGGCACTCGACGCAGCCAAGAATGGAAAGAGCTAGGCATCGCGGTGAGCCCTACAGACAAAAGCATTAATCATAGCTGCTTAACGAGGAGTTCCAACATTTAAGCGCTAGGCGCCTCCTGATAAAAGTGTTCTGGTACTGTTGCCATTTTTACAAATGACTTACAGACGAGGCGATTTATGTGGTCGCTCAGTGCACCTTGTCACTGCGCGAGACCTGACCCTATTAATGCCATACATTTATCATGTGGCAACGGTTGTCTAGGTTCTTTTATAGATGGTCCGCAGGACACTGAATATAATTGCTCTTTGGACCGAGGACATCGACGCAGCACGCATTCCTTCTGAAGGTCACGTGTTCCCAGAGACAGACATGGTGGAGCAGCCAGCCCCGAGAAGGATGAAAATAAACGTGTAGGCTCGGTCTGTTCGAGGCCCAGCATAATTCAGTATGTTTGGTACGTCGGTCGATGAAGGACGCAGTTTCAAAAAGAAAGATCTCGATGAAGTAATCGCGATATCGGTTTGCACAATGAGAAGTGAACGTAAATAAGCAGTTTTAACGCAGCGTTACCTTAGACAACCGCCTTGAGCAGCATTGCCCAGAGGCTCGCGCTGTGACTTTGTGACTTCGAAGCATACCCTTCAGCGCCCGCCAGAAGCCGTGCCGTGGTCGCGGTAGCCCACATTTAACCGTATGCTAAAACACCTTAACTAAGTTCCGTTGTGAGTGTGCCTGTACCACTGAGACAAGAGATCGCCGTGCCCGTGATGCCGCAGGGGGCTGCGACCGCACGGTCTCGAGGGACATCGAGATCATCCGGTCCCCCGAGTACCCGAGCGACTACCCGCCGGGCTCGTACTGCGTGTACACCGTGCGCCGCTCCAGGCCGGGCATCTGCCAGGTGCGGCTGGACATGATCGACTTCGACGTCGAGGACGGCCTCGACTGCACAGCAGACTCCCTGACCTTCGAGAACAACGGCGAGCGTCTCTGTGGTTTCCGCAGCGGCTCTTCCAAAGGTCAGGGCGGTATACATACCACGCGGGCACCTTCCAGCCAACTCATGATTTTTTCCCCTGTGTTTTGGTGGGCTAAAAGAAAAGGTGTGACGATCGCGCGGTCCAAAGCGGTCCCGCCGTTCCTACAGAGTGCAGCCTAATATGTATGCGGAGAGCAGCTACCTCGCAATCCAGAGCTAGAAGGTGGGAACACAAACGGGTGGATTGGACATTTTCTTACAATAGCATGTAGAGGTATTGCTCTGCCGTAAATGGGAACACGGCCCCTTCTCTTATATATATTTCCCGTTCCGTTTTATAATAAGAATCCAATTTTCCAAAAATTCTGCACTTTGACGCTGCGGTGTTGCTGCCAACCTCCAGATGGTACCGATTAACGTGGCGCTGATGCACGAAGCGAGGGACCTCTTTACGCTGCTGAGAGAAGCGAGCGATGATCACATCCCACCTTCTAGGCCATCATGCCCCTTATCCTATGTTTCGCTATAAGTGCGAGCGAAGCCGATGCTGTGAGCACGAGCATGTTGTCTTGACTATTGCCTTCACGTCACCAGCACGCGTACGCACAGCAGGACCACGGAAAGCGTTGTGCTCTTTTGAATACCTTCTCATTCGCTCGCACTTACGACGTTGTTAAACTTGTAGTCGTTGAAAGAGTTGCCAACATGTTCCTTTACAACGCCTACACACACACAACATGTTCCGGACTTCAGTTTCCCCATGCCACGTACTGCCGTCCATCATAGTTCATTTTGTTCAGTGGATTTTTAACTCGGTCAAGCGATCAGAGCTTTCAGCCTCAGTCTCCCCCCCTCCCAGAAGAAACTCCTGACTATGCAATGGGCTTGTTTTATGACACGGTCCCATACAGTTGTCGCATTTGCAGAAATCCTATCCAGGCGAAAGAATTAAGTTTCACAAGGACGCACACAATGGTGTAGCTCGGAGATCATTATAACTTGCGTCACTGGATGATTCAAAATAGTGAGGAGACTTGAGTGAAAACAGTACAAATTACTATCGGCACGAATTGCACGCAGCTCAAACGAATATGAAGGCGCTAGAGCGTACACCCAGCCGACATTGCGTCTTCGGAGAATGATATGAATTCAAAATTAATTCAAATTTTTTCTGTTCTTTCTGTGTAATTCGTTTCATTCACTGTCGCATGCTGTCAAAATCCTGTACCAAAACTTCATGCCGAAATTTAAAAAAAAAAAATCATTTTTTTCTTGTAGTCTGTACTAGAGTAACTAGTTCGTACAATCCTTAAACTAGGCTAAATAGATGGCTGCAACTTAAAAAAAAAAAGTAAAACAAAAAAATACTGCGTTTATATTTGCTGTAGGACGCTAGGATATTCATTCCAGTCGGATACTGTCCGAAATCATTACAATCCGAATACCACGTAAAATATAAAGTAATGCTAGCATCAACATGAGCACACCGCGCTGCGTAGATAAAATTAACTCCTGAAGTGTATTGTCTTTTGTTTCTTCTCTCTCTTCAGTGCTGCCCTTCCCGAGGGAAGCGGACGAGCTGAGGATGGTGTTCACGTCGGACATCACGACCAACCGGAAAGGCTTCGAGATCAAGGTCACCCAGGAGGCCGGGGGCTGCTTCCGGGCCCCTCTTAGTAAGTGGCCATTCCCACCTATGGACTGAGAAAACGGGAGCAGGATTCAACTGGTGTTATAAGCGACTACCTCCCTCGACAGTAACGCCCACAGAAGCAGAAATGTCGATGTGCGAGGTCGCACGTCATAATATCGCGCTCCGTTTATGCTCAAATCCCATAGATTGGGCCGCAAAATTTTGCTGTCATAATTTTCCTCGCTTGACGGTATAAATCGCCATGCACTGTTTGTCGGTAGAATCGCTTTTTGGTGGCAGCTCTTTTGTTCCAGTGTTAGGCTGTTTCTCTGCTGCTCTGGGGAATACAGACGCTTGTCAGGCAACACAAAGTTTGAATTTGAAAGTAAGGAAACGTCTTCCGAAGTTGTCAATTTAGCAGACACCGTGCGACGAGTAATTTTGGTCTTTGATCGTGGTTCACGGAAAACCTAGGGATATACGCCGACGATGATTATCGCGATGCCTTTGGCGGCGATTTAATGTTGTTTTCCGGGTATACCTCGGTAACCGAAAAACGCATATATCTATGGCTTTCAATGTTCCTTAATTAAACCATCTTGCATATCACACGGTCCTTTGACGAACGGAAAAAAAAACCGCCGGTATCAACTGTGCATAAACGCAAAATACGCAAAATGCCCCCCCCCCTTTTTTTTGTCAAAAAAAAAGAAAAAAGAAAAGCGCGAAGAAACGGCAAAGGCAAGTGTAATAATATACAAGAAATGCACTCCGGCACGATATATTTGGTTGTTTCCTTCGGTAGTATAAAAGTGAACGTTACTCTCAGAAGACCCCGTGTGAATTCTGTAATGCCCTTCAAACGACACGCTGGAGGCAGACTAACGAAACACCGAGTAATTATCGGTGCCTATACATTTTTCCACCGATACGTCCAAATAATATCCGAGGCTCAATTAACGTCCTTTATTTACCTTATTATTAGTATCACCTCAGTTGGTAAGCGGTGACTGCTTAGCTGCTGCTATTAAAGCAGAAAGTGTGAACTTTATTTTTTCACAGTCCCTTCATTAGTGTGCTTTAGGATTGTGCGAATATAGGAATTTTCGAAAAGTAGTTTCGAGCAATACGGTATTCAATATTCGTTTCGAGATGAACTGTGTTATTCGCATTTTTCAACCAGCGTTTTTTCTTACCGAGCACCGGTGCACTGCCGAGAAGCAATACCCGCGGATTTTGCTTTCGCGAGTGTTGTTTTTCCGCAGTGCACCGGTGTTCGGTAAGAGGCGCGCTGAATTGGGGTAACCCACCACGATCAACACTTCAAGAAGTACGAATATTGCAGCCGCGCGCTCAGGAGAAAAACACGCACCTTCAGATCGCGCGCCTGGTGTATTTAAAAGGAAACAAAAACTTTGTGAATGTCGGTATCTACATTGCAGTGAAATTTTCAAAATTAAACTATGAATATAATACAGAGTGTTTTTTAGGCAGCCGCATATGTCTCGGCAACCTGCGTTCATCACTATAGATTTTCTTTCTTTTTTTTTTAATTTCGAGATTAAAGAAAAATATTTCCATATAGCAAAAAAAAAATCATTACATTACGTTTAGCTGCGCATCTCTAAGGATTAATGGTATGTCAAATGCATCGTTTGCTTGCCATCCCAATGTAGGCATTGGACTTTCTGAGGTCACAGTCAATATAGTTATACTTCGTCTCACCCTACGATGGACTAAAGGCAGAAGCTACGGACCGCCAGATCCGATCACGAGCCACTTACAAGTTGCGTGGTATTTCGCTTCGATGCGCGTATATATCGGCACCCGCGTCTCGAATCACTAAGGGGGAGGGGCGGACGGTAGTTTGGATTGAATAGCACTGAGTGACTCAGCAATTTTACATTGCAAAAAAAAAGCTATGCCATACAGGCTCTTTGCAGTGTCGAGGCTATAAAAATGATGCAGCGCTTTTGGACTCGGAGGATCATTCGTCCACTCCTAACCAATGCTAAGCGTATCATAGTTTAGCTTGCAACGTGATTGGACCTTACGGCCCGTGGCTTTGGCCTTTAGTCCATCGTAGGATGAGACGAAGTATAGATCAAAATTAACTTGGATTAGAAATGGACTAGTGAAAGCTTGAGACCAATCTTCACGAATTCAGCGGGATTTTTCTCGGCGCATAGCTTGGAGAAGTTATTCGATTCGAAAATATTGGGCGAAAACCACTATTCACTTCGAACCGAAAATCCCCTCTTCGCGCGTCCCCAGCATTTTTGCATACAAATGAGCCGACTCCACGATGGTTCCCAACTGCAATGCAGCAGTCCTTGAACCTCGCCCAGGTCCCGGGAGCGTGCCGTCCTCGTCGTCCCAGCCGACCCAGGGCACGTGCGGGCGCCTGCACTACAGTTCGGGCGTGCTGGAGAGCCCCCGGCACCCGTTCGCGTACCCGCCGAACCTGGACTGCCACTACTGGATCCACAGGGCCAGTCCGAGCGTGTGCAGGGCCCAGCTGCGCTTCTCCCGCTTCGACGTGGGCTCCCCGCTGGGCGGCGTCTGCACCTCGGACTACCTGGACATCCAGGGCACGCGCTACTGCGGACGCAGGGACGGACAGACTCGTGAGTGCCTTTCTTCGGCAAGATTTTTCTTTGTAAACGTCACTTCTGACGAGATCCTTACGAACTTAGGCGTCTGTCACTCGGTGTGTAAACAATGAAGCAGGCTGCACGCTTTCCAACAAATGTTCCCGATTCCCGACCGGAAATGGGGAGACCCGAAGTTTGAATCCCGGCGCCGTCAAAGATTTCGTCTTTCGGCGGCTTCGTAACCTTCGTTTTCTTCGGTCAATACGGCTCAATTATCTGGCTATTTTCGATTATATTTCCGTTTTGGAGACCGCGCAAGATGGTGAAAAAGTGTTATGTTTATATCGATATAGTAAGAAACATTTTATATTCCAGAAATGCTACAACAAAAGTCGATGGTTGGGCGTGGGAGGCCGGAAGTAGACGGTTAAATCAGCAAATTGTGCGAACTGGCTTTATGCGTGATAAGGGACTTTGTGGACAGCGACGAAAAAGATATTCCTCGATTTTCCGCAGCAGTTCCTTAGCAGTTTACGAAACAAACGTTGACGCAGCACAAAACGGTGCGAAATGCTACCGTATTTCAACGACCATCTGCGCAGCAATCTACGAAACCGTATTCTCGGTTACGAAAAGGAGGAAGCCTTCCTTCTTTCCGATTGGATAAATTCAAGCACAGTAACACCTAAAAAAAATTATCCAGTAGCCGATTTTCCAATTAATTATCTGAGTCAGCCATTGCTCGATCACCTGCTCCGAGCATGTACGAGGCCCGAGGGCTGCGTCGGTGTCCCCTCCTGAAGGAGCGCTTTTCCTCTATGCACGCGGCCGCAGCTGTCGTGCGGCCAAGCCACATGCACAAAATTGCGCAAGTTTTGTATTAACAAAAAAACAAAAGTTTTAGGTGCAACAGGAGTTGCCCAGGTCGCGTCCGGCTCGCGAAACGGACGAGCAACTCGGACAGCTCGACGGAGACGTTTGAAGCGGCAGCAGCCAATCAGGGACGCGATATTTTCACGCGACACGCCATGTGGCGGTGATGATGAGAACGACTATTGGTCCTGGTTTGAAATGGATCACTTTTGGGAATAATCCGTTTCAGAAAGATGAGTTAGTATTCTCAACACTATTTAATGATGATGACAGCAAATCGTAGCGATTCGGTTGCTGCGTGTGAACGCGGGCGGTTCGTGTTGCTGGGAGAAATTGCCCCGTCTGAAGCGGGCATTAGCCATGCGCGAATCTCACGAAACAAGCTTTTCTTTGTGCCAGGCGTATTTGATCCTATTATACTTGGGGACAACTTTTCTTGGCAACGAAACCAAAGCTATGGGCACCGATCACAGCTGTGCTCGTGCGGTCTTCACTTCGAAAATGCCAGAAAAAGTTGTCCACGAGTACAGTGCAAGTTTTGTTCCAACAATACGGCGGGAGGGGACGACTGTTATGGCAATTCAGTGCTTTCGGAGTAGTATTCCCGGCTAGAGAAGCATAACAGCGTGATTCGTTGTCACGCTGCGTAAAGTTTACACGAAGCGCGTTACACGGAAGTTGCGCGGACCGCGCGAATCGCGTCACACGATGTGTCGACCCCGCGAATGTCGCTTCTCCTCGGTGCTCCAGTGCCCAAGGAGAAGAGCACCTAACGAACCTGGAAGAAATGATGAAAAACTTTTGAGCGCTGTGACAAGCTTGAAACACATTGAGTGTGAGAAAATAGCGTCGCGTTGCGCAGCCGAGCGGCATAACCGTAGCAGCCGTTGCTGACGCTGTGACGTGGGGTGCCGTGTTCGGCGCGGCAGTAGCGCTGCTCGGCAACGTGACGCATTTTTGTTCATGTTTTTCACGCTTCAGTATTCAGACGCAAAAGTTGAATAGTACGTTATTAGAATCGATAATCGAAAGTTTCGGAAATAGGCACGTAGCGACCTAGCATTGAGGAGTTTTAATAAATGCTTCATATGAATCCGATAACGACAGTTGTAGTATAGCGTTGCTGAGTCTTACGCAATACGCAATAGTACGGCGTACGCTAAAAACTAACTGCTCGGACCGATTTTAGTTGCGCGTTCCTTAAACGTTGCAGAATGAACATCTCGCATGATTTTGTTGATTCAATTTGCCAGAGCCGTAGAATTCCGCGTGCTTACAGCACCTCCACGCTCCTCGAAAGAAATATTTAATATGAAAACGTTTCCAAACATTTTATTTTAAATTAAGCCAAGCCGCAGCCGCGCGCTTTTCTGCGGGGTACAGAGTCTACAAGTACGAGTGCGTAGCCGAATTCAATCGCCCCGTGGAAACCGCACCTTTTATCAGTGCTGTCGCGGGAAGAGACCCAGACCTACTGATGTCCAGTGCACGGCGACACCTTGGGCGATATTTTGAAGAGTCGTTCGTCCGTTGAGCAGATCGTAATGTTCACGCACGTTGCGAGCGGTGAACATTTTCACTATGTACTCCTTCAGCTGCACGGCGATCAGACCAGACTGCGGTAGGGTCCCGAAAAAAAAAAAAAATTGCCGATCTTAACACCACGTAATTGCAGATAACACTGAACTTCGCGAACACTACGTCGCCCATGCTGCGCCCGGTCCAGGTAACCGCCATCTGAAAACAGGTGCTCTCGCTGGGCTCCGAGATTTCTCGAGAGCTTCCCGCTAAGCCCGCGGCGCAAAATCCCCAGCGCAGAAGGGCTAGCGTATTGCGTATACGCAATACGCTAGCCCTTGTATTGCGTTCTGACCATGCGCATTCCCGACCCGCAAAGCTTTAGCGTACGATCCACTAAAACCGCGAGTCTTCGTAGATCGTTTTCGCCGTCCTGCATCGCTCTCCGCAACCTGCTACGATACGCGGTTTACGAAAACTGCCCTTTGTTGCAAACGGCAGAAAACAAATCACCCAAACTCGAGCTACTCCATAAACTACGCTTCAGGATAACGATACTTCAGCCATCTTGGTGCTCAAGATCGCGGTTGCAAGATATCTGAAGCCTTCTCTCCAATCGCAGGAAAAGCTCTTTCGTCACCGACAAGTAGTAAAACAGTTCGCGATCGGGCAAAGCGATATCGGAGTTTTAAGAAACAATTTTTGCACATCCGAAACAGTGCGTTAGGCCCTTCGGTATTAACTGCGCATATGAGTGTGTTCTGTACAGCGCATGCGTGGTGCGTACCACAGGGCCCATCGTATCGCATGGGACGTGCAACAACGGTTCCCCAAAGCTGTCTATCGTCCAAGCTTCCAGACACCGTATTCCAAGCTTAGAAACTTGCATTCTCAAATTGTAGGTAATGGCGGCGTCCACAAGATAATCGAAAGATGGACAGCCGATACTCAAAGCGCAGCATATCTAGTGGCTCTAGCTCCACCGAGGGTATCTTGCAAGAGCGGTAGTGAAAAACGGGGATCAGAGCTGAAGACTATGGCACCAACAGGGTTATCAACGGGGCCATATTTTGGTTCTGAATCCACGTTCACTGCCGCGATGTATTCGGTTTTTTTCAGTGATCGTGGATTTCCCAGAAGGAAAGAACTCCCTCGAGCTTATTCTTCACTCGGACAGCGTCAGCGAAAAGTCCGGATTCCATCTGGACGTGACGCAACTGAGCAGTGGCTGCATCAGACCTCCACTGCCGGCACAAAGTAAGCCAACGAACGCGCGCCAACTGTCCAAATGCATACGCAAAACCTAGGATGGCGACAAATATCCGTGCTGGAAAGACCTTAACTATATATGCCAAAGGTTAAGCGGTGCTGACCATGCATCAATGAATTCCCACTTGGGTTGAAAGGTCAGTCTCACGAAGTGTCACTTAACTGCCGAATTCCTCTCGAACTATTTTGGCGTGAAAAATAACGCTCCTGTAGCGCAACCCCAAAAAACGTCTATATTATTCGTAGCGTTAACTTTTATACACATTTTGTAGCTTCTCATCAATTAGAACGTGACCATTATTGATAATCGACACGAGCTCTTTAATGTAGCTCCTCACGAATCATGATGCAGAAAAATATAGCTCTGCGGCATGGCAACACGCCGGTCAACATTTTTTTCGGGCCCACAATTGCACGTGGCAAATCGTAGGCAAGCGCACGATAAAGAATAAATGTTATTCGCTTCGTGCCAACCAGTAATTACTCAGACTCTTCTGCACACCTAACAGAGTGAGTAAACGGAAACACCTTTCCAAAGCAAAGGGAACGCATGTTTTCTACAGTTTCTGCGTCAACTTCGAAATGTGGCCCCTTTCCAATGAAAACCCAATAAACCCAAAAATATTCGCTTGTGCGATCTCAAAACAGCAGCAACAAAACCCATAAGTACTTCTGCAAACCTCAAGCAGGGAACGGTAGGTGTTTAAAATACGAAGGTCCAACAGCGTTAATTGCAGCACGCCCGGCACTGTTTTGTGTTTTACGATTAGAAACGCACGATGTCTATGTCCCCTCTTTGAAACCGTCAATACTATCTATCTTTTTCAATAAAGAAGGATGCAGATGCCCGAAGACACGAAACAGTAATGAACATCTGCACTCTCCTGTGGCTTTAAAAATATCTCAATAAATAGCACCAAAGACAAACACACTTTAAAAAAAGAGAATCAGTAGCACTTTTTTCTAAGTTCTATAATGCAAGGAATGCAGTATGTGTTTAGGACATTAAACGGTAGTTTCGGGAAGCGAAGGATCTATTGTTTATTAACTTGCTTGCTAAATTAGGCTAGAAAATTCACGTAGGGTGAAATGTAGTGAAAAAACTGAACTGGTGTATAAGGTCGTGTGGCGTCGAATTCCCCGCTAAATTTATCGGATAAACGGACGGGCAAATTTCTGGGATTAGGGGGTTCAATCGAAGAGATACTGAACCGAAATTGGGATTTTGCAAAACAAGGTCGCAGAAGTGTTGAACGGGACGCTACGAACTCAAAAACATCACTCATACATCGATATCTCAAACGGAGGGCCGTACTTTTGGAAAAGAAGGGCGCGATCCAGCGAGGGCTATGACGTCACGATCCTCCTGGAAAATGTGAGAATGAGGGGAAGCGGCCTCGCTTCTCTCCTCCTCGCTTCGGTTCACCAGCTCGACCAAGCTCGACGGGACGTAGCGAGGAGGAGAGGGGATGAGAGTCGTGATGTGACTTGTCTCGTCGGCCGTGTTCAATCGCGCGCTTCTTTTCCAAAAATACGGCGATCCGTTTGAGATATCGCTGTACGAGTGATGTTTTTGAGGTTTTGCAGCGTCCCGCCTATCCGTCCAGTGTTATTTTGTAAGTCCGAAATTTCCGTTCAGTATCCGTTTAAAGAGCCTTCCATGCTTCAACGAGCGTGTTCTGAATGCCCCTCCGCGCAACAGGCTGCGACCAGACAGTGAGGAGGGAAAGCTTCCAGCTGATGAGCCCCGGGTTCCGACAGGGAGGCTACCCTCCCAGCACCCACTGCGTGTACACGGTCAAGAAGCACGACTTCAGGGTGTGCGCCCTCGAAGTCAAGATGGAGGCCTTCGACTTGGAGCAGGACTCCGGCTGCTCCAAGGACTACCTCCAGTTCAACAACCTCAGGTTCTGCGGGAAGCAGGCCTACGGCACCACTCGTGAGTCCTTGTCGTACTGTGGGCGACTTGGGCCATTGCAGCAAACTTGAATAGCCCACGGTTGCCATTCTTGGCGTCACGATTGGTGTGGGTGCTATAAATGGAAGCTGGCGTAGTCTTACACACTGATCTCGTACTCGAAACAATGCCAGCCAGCTAGAAACCATTTGAGGCGACTTGGAGGTAACAGCACGTAATCTCACGCGCTGACCCTGAAGGAAAGGGGAGAATCTGACCATCTCTTGCGACTGCAGTAACGGCTCATAAATGGTCGAAGCACTGAGGGGGCTATACAGTAAGATCTTATATACGAGCATATGAAATTAATTTTATGATAATATTTGGAATAGCTTAGCAGTCCTGTTATGACAATAAAATATTTTGAAAAAATGAGCAATGAGATTACAATACGAGTTAGGCAGTTGGCATATTCATAGAGTCAATCGGAATATTATTTCGAAAGTGCCTAATGAAACTTCATAAACTTTGTTGGATTTTGATGCAAATTGATTGAAAGTTCCTTTGTTAAGAATGCATAGTTATTTTTTTTTATAAATTTCTTTTCACTCCATTGATGCTAAAGAAAGGTTGAGAGTCAAGCAGTTTGAAGGAGTTTTTCTCCGTTCCACATTTTGGCATAAATTTCACTTAATAAAATTATTGTTTCACAGTGAAACTATCGAGACTTAATTTTTCCGGCTCATATATCAAAATTTTATGAAGACGGTTACTATGCACTTAGATTTTGCATTTTCCTGTTCCCTTATTATAAAAAATATTAATTTGCAAAACTTCGTAAATGTGAAAAATAAGGCATATTTTCTGCATTCCACCAGAAAATATGTGGTTATCACAACATCTCTCAGCGACAGAGCAGATTCCATACTTCGTTCTTGGGGTATAGTACCTCATAAAATTGGTTCACTGAAACTTTGCATGCGCTCCTTAGACCTACTACATTGCTACGAACACCACCTGCAAATATCACACTGATTGAGTGAGCAGTTCAATGGTTGACATTCCCAGGTAGTGTCCTCCCCCTTAAAAGGCCCACGAAACGAATTTTGGGCTGGAATAAGTCAATTTAAATTGGGATTTTACTAATAGCACATCGTTCAGTGGGCCAAAAGAAAAAAAGGTAGAAAGTCAAAAGCCTGACTTTCAGTACGAAAATTTGAAGAAAAAAAAAAAAAGCGGACTATTTCGTACCTCCTTCTCTTCGTAAGCTCTCTGCCTTTTCACTGCGATACATCCGCGGACCCCGCAGCGCGTCACCGGGCCCAAACGAACGTCACACGGCACCGGACCTCACTTAATCCCTTCATCCTAAAGCTGACATTGTGGTGGGAGCAACACGCTTGTCGGACCAATCATCACCTAACCTCATTCTCTCCGTGTGGGTGTGTGCGAAAAAGCGTGATCACGTGACAAAAGTTTGGCTCTCCCAACAAGCACGTAGCTTCCACAGCACTGTCAGCTTTGGGGGAACACGGTGGGGAAAGCAACTTTTGTCTGAATTTTGAGCGACGGGCTAATCTTTTAGGGGGAAAATGGCTGTGCCCGGGTACACAAACGAGATCAAGAGCAAGAGGCGACTCCCCCCTTTCCATCTTCTTGAGCTGTTTAGTAGAATGCGTGATTTTTGAGTTGAGCAGGAAAGCTAAATAGGAAAAAGTTGGAGAAGTGTTTCATGACTCCTTTAATTAATCATTCTTCATTATAATAAACATTGGGCTCATAGAGCAGCCAATGCATTTGGGAGTACTAATTTAATTGTATCACCTCCTCAATGAGTTGTAAATTTTACAATTAAAATGTTTGAGGGAAAGAACAAAAAACCGACAGACAGTAGAATCACAAGTGGTTTCAAGGTTTGGCTTATGATCTTTAAATAAATCCCGTAGGCCACCCCAAAATATCAAAAAATGCTGAAAAGAAAGTACAATGCTAAGCCAGAAATGAAGCATTGGGCTCTGAATATTTAGCACTGGCTTTTGGTTTGGACATATCTCTTCAGCATTTGTTTGTGTTGCAGGCTTCATACATTGTAAAAGGCGCAAGCACTATTGCTATTCAGATACAACACGAGTCAAAATTTTCCCATTACTCAAATTAACTTTCTTTTGCAGGCACCATTGAATTCCTGGATGATGAAATGAAGGTCCAGTTTCATGCCAACCCTACAGTCAGTGGAGCCGGATTTCTTTTGTCTGGAAAGCAAGTGATCTGCTGAGCGCCAAAAACAAATCCGTTTTTTTTTTTTTTTACTTAGGTTATTTACAAGTGCCTGAGCTAAGATACTTGGGGTGGGCGCAGATCTGGTCCAGTCAACGCTGGTCGATTACCACACTGCAGCAATAGTCGCCGTGACTGAGAATGAAGGCAGGGTTTTCATCAAACCTGTTTGTCAGAGATCCTTTAACAAGATGTACAGCCATTTCTTCAAGAATAGACTGGAAGTCATTGGAAGAACAAGCAGCCACGCTTCAATACTCTCTTGGGAACCATTGTTCATGGACACACCCAGTGATAACCAATAAAATGCTATACAGCTTTATGTATTGAACAAATGCTGGTGTTGCCATGCACTGCCAGCATCAAAACATTGCAAACATCTATGGGTACACTTAAACACACAGCAGCAGCTTGCTGCTACTCCCACCAGAAGCTGATGGACAAACTGGGTGACAAGGAGCGAACGAAGTGCCAGCACTTCGGAGGGATGAAGAGCATTTCGCCTGGTTTGAGGATGCACTCGGAGTACCTTGCATTGGCAAATGAAGGAAACTTTTCAAAGTCGGGATTTTCCACATTCACCTGAAAATAAATGTAAACACGCAATGATTTTGTGAAACCAGATTTTTCCTTCATAATCGAGCGATTCCTACACTTCAAAAAGGCTTAACAGCAACTTGCACAAGAAAAGGTTTACTGTGAGGGCTCTCCTTATGTTCAACAAACAATATATTACCTGGCTAGTGTTTTCCAGAAGACGATCTTCGTGGGGATAGAGAAATGGAGTTTCTTGCTTTTTATACAGTCGTACATACTTGTGGCCAAACACCTATAAAGCACAACACAACCAATGTCAATTACAAATTCTCTCGTAAACCTTCCAAATGAAAACTGACTTCAGCAAACACCTAACAGTTACGTACTATATCCTCCAGACTGTAGACTCTAGACAACCATAACTGGCAAGCATATTTATTCCTCGTAAAACAGGTCTGAGGAATGCACTCTTCTGCTTACTTTCTTTAGAGGTGTAACCAAATTTGTTATTTCTCAGCAACTGGGGTTATCATTGTAGGTGCCACCAACACAAATCAACAATGCATGCAAGACTGTGTGGGCTACCTCTTTTACACTGTCTTTCATGATGTTAATTTCTAGGGTTAAGCATATTCAAACTTTCGAATAGTAGTTTCTAATAATGCACTATTCGATACTCGCTTCGAGATGAACTGCGATGTTCATGCTTTTTAAGTGTTGATCGCAGCGGGTTGGCTCCGTGAAGTGCGCTTCTCACCGAGCACTTGTGAACTGAGGGGAAGAAACACCCGCGCCGCTTGCGGGTATTGCTCCTCCGCAGTGCACAGGTGCTCGGTGAGAAGTGCACTCAACGGGGCTAACCGGCCGAGATTATGCATGAGTATATGGCTAGGCAACGACGTCTTGACAACCCGTGTTTATCGTTTGTGTTAATTTTTTTTTTTTTTTGTCAAGTTTGAAATTGAAAAAAATATTTCCGGATAGCACATAGATTTAGAAATCCCTTCGATTAGGATAGCTGCGACAAATTTGTTGTTTACATGCCACAGTTTATAAATATGGTTGTATGAAAATTAACCGAGCTTAGAAGTGAACGAGTGGAAGCTCAGGAACAACCTTTACATGTTCAGCTCGTATTTCGTTTAAGAATGGTGCGGTAGTGCAGGCTCGGAGAAACTATTCGATATTCGATTTGAAAATATTCGGCCAAAACCACTATTCACTTTGAACTCAAAATCCACTATTCGCACGTGACTTAATTTCAGAAGGAAAAACCAGAAGCAGATTGGCACACAACATCTTCCCGTGTTTAAGCAAACTCGCATTTGGCAAAGTATCTTTTTGTTTCCTCACTAGCATCTTCATCGAGCACGACACAAAGATCCTGCAAGCATGTTTGTGGCATGTTCAGGCATAGCTTGGCCATCACACTATACACCAACGCATTGTTTACAGACAACCTCGTGTTGGCCCACACCAGGTGTGGGCACAACGTTTGCGTAGAAACCAGATTCCCGCGCTGGCATTGCACCGACAGCAACGCCATCACGTCGGCGTGACGTCTGAGTTGAGGTGGTGTATACTCCGTTTCACCTTACGATGGACTATGGCAGACGCTGCGAGTCGTCCCAGACAATCCGGTGCTGTGAACGTACCATGCGACTATGCGCCTCGTGCATCACGGGACCTCTATCGAAGGTCGCGTGGCACAGAAACTTTGGTGGCTCAGAACACCCTCTGCGGTTTATCGCAAGATAAAACAAAGCGTAGGCTTCTCGTAAATATCGCGAAACAGGACTTTCAGATAGTGACCTGCACTGTTCGTTCCATCGCATGAAACTTCAGTTCTTGAAGTTGTTACTTGGACTTACAAGACATGCACCCTGCCTCAGTGCACTTTGTGGCTGATACGATAGTAATGTCCTGAGCAAAGAGATATGATTGTGATAAATAACAAGCCCTCCAATAACACAAAATGAAACAAAAGTCATGATAAGGTAACTGGGTATACCACAGACAAGCTCTTTTCATTGGCTCCCAAGAAAGGATTCTAGCTCATAAAGATCGACAAAAATACGCTTCAGTCCTTGGTGGAATATCAGTTACAGACCAAGTTACTTTAGACTGCTACAACTGACATACTTCTCAACATTCCAGGTGCGACTTAAAAACAACCTTGGTGTCACTTCTGACCCCTACTTTCTCATCATGGCGATTCATCCATTTTATAATTTTAGTCCATCCTTTTACACTGTGGAAGCATGAGGTGTGGTGCTGCTAGTGAAAATGCTTGAACACTGGTTTTTCACATTTTGCTAATGCAGCATAAAACCAAAAGCTGAACCTACCAGTGTGCTAAAATGTATGCAGAGGCAGCAAAGCTTGTAGAATTCTTGGATAAAATGTTTTATCAATATAGTAGTGCTGATCCACGAAGCAAAAGTGTGCAGGCGAGCTGGTTAGGAAGCCATAATAATCTATACCCCGAGACACGAAGGAAATAAAATAATGAGCAAGACGACACAAAATCTAAAACGCATCTGGGCTTATTTGCGAGCGAACAGCTATACATAGCTGTCCCCACAGAAAGCAAAGAGGGAAGACAAAAAAACATGCCACCAACAAAGAGTTGATGGAACTTAGCCGGACAGAATGACCTTCAACCTAGACACTCCATCAACATGAGAAGCCTGCCGCCAGGCGACCCACCCGACTTGATAATCTCCGTTAAGGCTAGTGAACCAAGCGAAAGACACCAATGTTCCAATCCACCTCCTGTGGACTGCCCACCCCTCAACACCACCAACAACACAAAACTCGCAACAAAAAGAATTTTTTCACGCATTCGTTTAAAACTATAGAAAATTTCTATAGTTTTGAACCATAGGTTTAGGCATACAAAATTTCCGTGGTCCCTTATACTTAAAGGGACACCAACATTCAAAAGGTTGTATTTTTATCTGTCGTCTAAAATGATGCAAGTTGTAGTCATAGACAGGCAAAATAATATCACAATGCAAAAAAATGTTTCCCCCGTGACTTTTTATCTTTGGCGATCGTCTCTTCCCCTTCTCACCTCCTTACTTCTTTTCATTTGTGACGTAACTGACTATAAAATTTGTAAGCTTTGTAAGTGAGATTTCTATAATATTTAATAACGGCACACTACAGCCCTTCTTTTTGAAATACCGAAAATCTGAGTCCGGACCAATGTCGCTTCCTGGCTTTTTATTCTCTCCCGGAAAATATGGCAGTGCTTGGAACATGCACTGAGGATGACTGGCGAGTCAAGGAATCGGACGAAGTTCTCTTTTTTAGGTGCTTGACGACCTCTCGGGCTTCGAAAAGGAAATCGCCAAACGGTCAAAACGACTGGGTTTGATGTCTGTGTATTGTAGTTCCAGTTGCGACTCCGCCGGGGCAGCTTTTCACGCAGAACCGGTGCGACATGGCCCCTACTTCACTCACAAAAGTCCAGTGCACATTCTCTTCCACCTCAAACTGTTTCAAAGAATTTGAGATAGCTGAAAGGGTCCTAAAAGAGCTTCAAACTCAAGTGAAGTGTCGTCTGCTCACAGCGACAGGCAGCATTCACAGAGGAAAGCGGTTGATCATGGGACGTGGGCGAACACGACACTTCGGGTCAGGACAGTTCGGAGGCGTGAGAGAAACTTGAGTTGCAGGACGACTCAAACTTTGCTGTCACTGCACTGGTGCGGACCATGCGGGAACTTCAACTTTGACTTTGGGATATTGTTTTTTTGTTTTTTTTTTTTTACTTCACAAATACTGAGTTCCCAACTATAAACAGCTGGCTTAAGCCAGCTGTCTATAGTTTTGAACAAACAAATGAAAAAGTTTCTTTTGTTGTAATTTTTGGGCTTTTGCTTTGTGTTGCTGGTGGTGTCAAGGGGTGGGGGGGGAGATTGCTGTCTTTTGCAGTCTTGACGGGAATTTATGTAGGGTCACTTGGCGGCGGGTGTCTGCTGAATGTGTGGTGTCTATACTCCGTCTCACCTTATGTCCAAATGCAGCGGATGCTACGAGCTAACCTAGTCAATCCTGCTCTGTGGACATAGCCCGTGATACACTTTCTGCACATCGCTGTGCCCCCTCTCTAAGATCATGTGACACTCACACGGCCTTGGATTTCCTCCGACGGCTCGTACCATCCACTGCGCTCGGGTGTAAGGCGAAACGGAGCATAGGTTGGAGGGCAGTAAATAAATTATTATTTAAAAATTACCTACATTGCCCTATGGACATTATTGTAGGGGGATTTAGAGTTCACTATGATAAATGAGAAAAGGATAAGTCATTATCGTCAATTGACACAAACTTTTCAAATCTTTGAGGTGGCATGTCTTTTGTCTTCCCCCTTTCCTCTCCATGGGAATGGCTATATAATTGCTATTCCCTCGCAAATAAACCTAGCTGCATTTGATATTTTGTGTCGTCTTGTTCGTTATGTTATTCCCTTTGTGCCTCGTCAGGGTTTCAATTATTGTGCTGATCCCTCGCTTACACTAATGCTATTATGGTGCATACTTTAGGAATGCATGCATGAAAAAAGAGTTAACTTGATGCAAAGCAACTAGCAGTTCACTGCATCAACATAAGAAACTTCTAAAACTAAAGTGCAATTCACCTACGAAATGCAGCAAAAGAATTTCAGCTCTCTGATTAGCCACCGTATATTATGCTGGTATATGAAATAAAGGTTAGTGATACAGTTATGAAACAACACATACCAGGAATTATCACAATGCTGCCAGATATATTCAAGGTCACGAAAAGAAAGGCCAGCGTAATCCTAACTAGAGCAGACTGATAAATTGCGATGTCTTGACAAAATCAAAATCACAATAAAGTCACGGTCCTTCACATCTAATTAATTATTCGAATTTCTGTCACCAACGTGTTCAATGGTACTGAGTTTTTATTGTTATATTGCCACATGCATGACCGAAAAGATACGCTCCTCGGTTCATCTAGAAGATTCGCGTACACTCTTACCATGAGCATAAAGGGTTCATCTAGAAGATTCGAGTAGAGCATAAACGATAAGGAGGCCAGAATGACCTTGTCTAGTCAGTCTCACCCTAGCCCTTTCCCGAACGTTCTAGGTTGAATATTCGAGACCACGGGCATAGTAGATGAAGAGCCAGCCCCGTATTGCCAATTCATTCACTGATTCTCTCACGCGATAGCCAGCTGTTACGCTGACGCCCTGTCGCTTGCTGCTGCTGCCGTCAACGTCAACGCTCGCTGGTGCTTTCTTGACATGCGTTCTTTTCTTTTTCGTTTCTGGTACAAGTTCACCCCATTAAATCTTTCGTTCTTTTTGTTTTCTGCTGACTCATCGTCTGTCATTCGTGACAATATCGCGGTGGCCCCAGTTCACCCCAGCACTGCTGCAGAAGAGAAACAGACAAAACAAGCCTTCGAGACCCCCGAGTAATTCACGCTTTGTCCTTTGCTTATGCCTAGGATATTCTCTAACCATGATCAAGGTACTGGTCATGTCCGAAAAAGTGTTTTCCCCGGTAAAACATTATAAAAAGAACACGTCTTACCTGTGCAAGCAGATTGTTCTTTGGGTCATGGTGCAAGGGGGAAACCGTGCCCTCTGGTCCAAACCAGAGGTTCATATCTGGTTCCTCGTCTTTCTCACCGAGACAACAATATGTTGGAATACAGATGTCGTCTCTCAGTTCCGGTATCTGAGTGCACAAAAACAAACTCTTGAAGTCACTGTTCCGAATGGCCCAATGTGCATGTCAAGCACAACACTGCCCTGTTAGAAGAGATCATAGTGTACAATGGGAACGCTTGTGCGGCTAGTCAATACTTAGAAATGCACCCTTGCAAGATCACAGTGTACAATGGGAACGCTTGTGCGGCTAGTCAATACTTAGAAATGCACCCTTGCACTGAAGATTGTGCAATACAACATCAAACAGTCGAATTTTAACCTGCCAGAGACCCCATTGCACATGTGGCCAGCTTTAAGGCTGCACTTCAAGCACAGCTTGCGAAGCGTTTGGGTCATTTACTTGAGGACAGCTCAGTGTGCTGTGCATCAACAAAAACTATTGACATACATCTACAGTAAAACTTCGTTATAACAAAGTTGAAGGAGCGGTCGTAATTCTTTCGTTATAACCATTAGTTTGTTATAGCCAATGTCCATTTCTTCCCACCATTAGCAAGCAAGGGCAATTATGATTGCTTTGTTATATCCATTAGTTTGTTATATCCCATTTTGTTATAACGAGGTTTTACTGTAGTAAGTGTTGAACATGGTATGGCAATAAAGTGGAAAGGTTAATATTTAAAATTACCCTAATGAGGATGCCTTCCCACAAGAACATGGCTTCTCAAGACCCCACCTCAAAAAGAAAGTAAGAAAAATACATGGTACGGGTGCTATGCAGGTTTACTCTCTCAATGTTCTTTCCCTGAACTGCTAACAAAATAGACTTCATAAACCTTTTCCAAAAGAATTCAGAACATGATATGACAGAACTGGCTTCTCAATACCTGATCAAATATCTGATGCTGAGCCAAATAGCCAATCGGCGTGTCTTGACTCTGAAATGTCATACAAATTTATTATTAGAGGGGTGCAAAAACAACTAGTATATCAGGTTATCATTAGGCCAAGTTTGAAAGTGGCTAAAGCAGCAAACACAACAAGCAAATGAATTGGCACAACTCAAAAATCCTTGTTGACCACTTGGGACAAATGCAAAATGATACATTTTTATGGCCTCACAACAATTATTGTATTAATACAAAACCTCACCAAATGCCACAGCTTGACTGCATGAAAACATGTCACAATGCTTTGATTGATGACCATCCTCAACCCTGCCTACCCTACCAGTATCACATTGGTAAGTTGTTTTAGAGGGAACGTCTGGCCCTTTGTTTTGTGAGTCCACTTGTTTTGGGTGAGAACGACAAAAATGCCAACCCACAACTGACCACCCTAACAGCGCGGTTAGGACACAAGTTCTACTCGGAATTTCGTCTGAAATACCAGTGGTCTCTGTCTGCGTCCCAAGTACAGTGATGTGATTGGCCTAAGCCATTTTGGAGCACCTTTTGGAGCAGCCAAAAGAGTGTTTCAGAGCAGCAAAAGTGGCTTTTGAAGCAGATATTCTTAGAAAAATTAAAAAAAATTTGTTTTAAGTGCTGTACAAACAAAGCGCTCTTTGCATTGTGCTGTGCTCTGATATGACTTGTTGTGACGGAACTCGCTGCTTGTGGTTTTACTGCTGAGACATCCCACAAGTGTACAGCGCATTACTATAGCCATTGTCGAGCAATTCCAAAAAACCGCTCGCCACCGTCTTACTGGTTCCCAACGTGCCAGATTTTTGTCAAAAGTAAGCAAATGTAATACAATGAATCGCAAGCGTCCCGCTGGTGCCTCTGTCGTGCAATGATGTTTGCATGCACGTGTGGGCAACTTCGGCAGGCTTGCAGTTGCGCGTGCTTCGTCACGCGAGCAAAGACAACAGCTGCTCGATCGAAACCGAAACCGTGCCATTCCGCTCCGTCGTCAACTGACTCCCAAAATTTTATGCAAAATGTAACTGTCGAGAATACGACAAAAACGCCCAGCGGCGCGTGCTTGCTAGGCCGACAAACAAGGTACAAAAAAAAAAAAAAAAAAAAAAGAACCTGAGCGCATTGATGCAAGACATTGCGAGCCAGGGTCAAAAAGTTCTTGGAGCGCTTTGTGCAACGAAACAAGCATGCTGTGCGGGTTCAAGTCAAGAAAGAAGGCAATGTATATACATTGCCTTCTTTGTTTTAGCTCACTTCTCTTCACCAACTTTCTTTTGCGGCAGATTTTTCACGTACCGGGGTCCCTCTCGAAAGGAAGGCCAACGAGAGAAACCTATGTAATCAATACTTCGACACAGCAGTCTTTGTGTTAAAGAAAGATTTTTATAGTAACGTACCACTTAAACAAGAACAGGAATGTTGATGGACACACGGCGGTACTTAGTTTAATTTTAAAAAGCGTCATATCTACAGCGACGTGGGGACGGCAAAACCCGACATTGTGTGACCACGGTCTCTGGAAGGCAGGGACCAAATATAGTTTCCCATGGCCGTTGCTTTCAGGAGCGAGTGCTTCAGCTCACAAAGAAATTCTCATCGCGCAAAAACGCGATTTCGTTTCACAGCATGACGGCATGGCTAGTACCCGGCACGCTAGCGTCGGAGCGTCCGGGTACACCCGTGTCTACCGTTGAAAATATAAAAGAAAGAAATTTAAAAAAAGAAGCGAGACAAGACCCACGAGACGACGAGAGCGCGAAACGTGAGACGGCAAGAGAACCATGCAAGAACATAACACAGGCTTGCTCAATTACGGCACTCAGTTTAGTTTAGGTTTCGAAAGGCAACTGAAATTGGTGTTTTGGTGCATGCTTGGTGCAGATTACCCATATTTTGGCAAAATGTAGCAGGATGTATCAGGGTTAGCCACTTGGCGCAGTTTGGCGCAATTGGCGCAGCAGTCACATCACTGCATGTATCTTGCATGCACTAAAAACCGGAGTTTTCAAACTTGGCCAGGCAGCCCCTATCCGACTTGGAATTGTTTTTACGCTAGGTGGTGCAAGCTACCACCCGTTATAAAGGATACACCCATTAGCATCCATCCATCCATCCATTTGCTACTAATGAAACATTAAAATGAAAAATGACAAATGTTTTTGCAACCTGAGGTTAAAAAATTGAAACTCTTGGGAAGCAAGACACGCAAAAGGCATTGTGCACATAGGAAACAGCTTTCTGCGCTACCTGTTCCTTGAGTATGTATGTGTCAACGAAAGCAGAGACTGTCATCAGCTTCTGAGACCAGGCTTCGTCAGTGTACTTCGATCCTAGCTCGATGGGCACTGTGCGGCCCCCCACTTTTTCCAACAGGTAACGGATGCTGAAAGGAGTTTATAGAGATCTCATGAACTACACAAACGATGAGGTCTCAAATGAATAAAAAGAGCCTGAATGCCACAAACACCACAAGGTAATTGCTAAAGACACAAAGAACTCAATACAAAATATAAAAGCTTCCATCACAAAGTGTATTTCAGAATTGAAGATTAGGCTATTGGGAGGGAGAACTTCGGCAACCTGTTTAAATTCTTGCTCCATCTTCATGAAAGTTACCAAACACAATGTTGAATAAGCAAAAAAAAAGTTTTCTTTTTTTTTTACGTGGAAGGCAGATTTATTCCGGCCCGTATTACAGGCTACACAAAACCTATGCTGCCTCAGCGGCTCCGAAGCGCCGGCCTACGGCTCTCAAGTGGCTGGTTTGAGTCCTGGCCGAGATGCCCGCAATATGACAGAGGCTTATTACAGAAAAGGCGCTGTGTAATCGAGATTTCGGTTGCATGTCAAAAGATCTCCAGGTAATCTAAATTAATCCCAGGTCTTCCGCAGCCCCTTCGTTAGTTTGGCACGTAAAACCCCACATTTGAAATTTGTCTTGAAAAAAACTTTATCGTCCAAGAAGTGAGAGTAGAAAAAAAAACAAAAAACACTAGAGTTTTTAGATAGCTTACAGTCAAGTCTATAATATGCCCTGTGGTCATTTTCACGGTTGTCCCTCACATAGTTCACATCATTAAAGGAAGACATCATTACCTCCATGGTCTTGTAGAGAGTGCTGGCCAGTAGTCCATGCCTTTAGTTATGATCACCGGTTCTTCTTTATTGAGATACTCCTTTGCAAAATGCTCCAATGATGGACACGCTAAGTTCTTGATTGGAAACTCAAGCGGCACAGGCGGGAGACAGGAGTCCTGGATTTCGAGCTGACCAAACAAAAGCAAAACAGGATGACACTGTGTGAACCAGGCACACATTTCCAATAAGTATAAAATTATCATGATGGTATCAGCATAGTTGCACGGCTTACAATACTCTCCCATGTGCAAGGAAGGTGTGCCATCTCGCAAGTTAAAGGGCAACTCCGGTTCATACTTTTGATTTTGGGATTATGACTGTTTTTAGTGCAGTCAGCGTCCCTGAATTGCAAGGTGTAATTTTTTTCTCGTTATTGTGCGTAGTTTTAAAGACATTGACGCCTCAAAGTTTTGTTTAGGGCGCAACCAGCGAAACCGAAACAAGCCGATCGAGGCCCTGGCAACACTAGAAATCAACCGCTACGTGAACGTGACGTCAGGATCGTTCTCGCTCAACGAGTACGCAGGCCGAGCAGCACCTACCTCTGTTGCGCTAGCCGTCTAAAGATAGGAGGTAAGCTGATTTTGTTTTCATTCTGTATACGTGGTAGTTATCCAGCATATGTAGCAAGAGTTAGTGCGTATACCCAAAAGCTAGCGACTGGAAAACCCGTGAACTTGTATGGTGCCGTACTCGGCGGCTGCCGCCGTGTGTGCGCTATGCCGTACTCGTCGCTTGTATGCCCAAAAGCTAGCGACTGGAAAACGAGTGAACTCGTTCGGTGCCGTACTCGGCGGCTGTCGCCGTGCGTGCGGTCTTCCATACTTGTCGCTAGGCCTAAATTGTCATCGGGGCTCCGTGGATTGCGTTGCTCTACGCCACGCTGCCAGTGACGTGACGTACCGTACTAGGGGCCCTCTCGCTTTCGCGCTGCGGGTCAGTCCCAGACACGAAGCTTTGGGGCACTCTGGCGTGGGCCGCGGCTCCCGAACATACGTGTGCTGGGCTGTACACGTCCGTTTTTTCGTTCCTTTTTTTCTCGGGCGCGTAGAAGCCTAAGTCCAAAGTCCACTCGTCGAACAGCGTTCACCCACACCTTCTCCGATTTCCGGTCCGTTGGAAACTTATGAAAAAGCACCTCTGTGTTACGCAGCGCGTTGTTTGAGCAGCCCAATGCGCTAAAAGTTGTACTCGAAATCTTTCGAGGAACAACTGGGCAGTCTTGGGCGCACCGAGTTGCTAGCTAAAACGAGTCTTGGAATCCTCAAAAGCAAATAAACAAAAGGCTATTCCGAAGCTACACGGGCTATAGATAAAAGCAACGGCTAAACACGCCAATCACAAGCCGAAGTAGCGGTGGTAGCGGCTCAAAGAGGCGCACTCCGCGCAACGTCAGGACCTGAGGAAAAAAAGAGAAGGACACTGACGTCACGGCCCAATGTTGCTTTAGCGATCGGCAACCCGATGTCCGCCCGCTAAGGAGCAGCGGCTCGCGGCGGGTCGCATTTTAATATTGGCATTAGTCGAGAATGCGGCGCCCCGCGGACGTAATATTTTGGCTGGGGTCGTATTTTGTGTCACTACAGCGGTACCAGTAATTTATTTCATTTTTAGTTTTGGCCGGAGTTGCCCTTTAATATGGAAGGTCCTTGCAGTATCTACAAAGGCACAACCAGTCAAAAAAGGAACCCTTCCACCTAGTATGGTGGTCAAACTTGTTAGAGTTCATTTCTCCTCAAGCACATTTCTGGCATCGACTTCTCTCAGCTTATAAACAGCCCTGCATACCTGCAAGTTATCCACGAGTATTACCAGGTGCTGGTGCGGCTGATATGATGCGGTGGTATGGTATCAAACTTTTTATACAATGTTGTTAATGTTACAGAGACGATATACGGTGCACTGTATGTACTGCATCAAAAGCACAATGTGCACTGTATAACAAAAATGTTGGTTTTACACGCAACATAAAAAAAAAACCTGAAAGTCACATGCATCTACATGTATGAATAGATTTTGATACAGTACATACATTTCCACATCAGAACGTGGAAAAATGTGGACAACAAACTTCCTATTCACACACAACTCTCGCGAAATGTCCCATAGCCCTTGCATTGCATCAAGGCCTAGAAGACGTCTCGCCATTGACACTTGGCAATTGCCAGGTGACGGCAACATCAAGTGGAGGTGCACAATCCTCAACAAGGTTAGCTGGATGTGTGCTAAAGTATAAATGACCGAAGCTCAAAAGGGTATTTAAACTCCATGCTGAAGGATCCTTGTACTACAAAACAAAAACTGGCAAAAAGATACATGCCGCCGCAGGCCACCGGTAAGCGACTACGGCATTTGCCATTCGGGATTTCCTGTACTATCATGATCAATATGAGTGCAAACACCGCTCCGTGTGGCCCGCGTAAAGCCCCTTCATGTTTCAAAAGTAGCGCAAGGTGTGTCGATGCACGAGACACGTGCAGCCCTTGGGAAGATCATGGCGGCACAGCAGAGCACTGAGCTAGATTTCAGACGCCATGCTCTTCCCAGAAGTGGCGTGCGGCGCGTGTCTCAAGCATTTCCACAACAATACATGGCACCACTTTTCCTAGGACAGAGGGGCTTTAGGCCCGCGTTACTATCAATGCCCCCTGCCGTTTGCTCTTTGAAGTATAAGTGCACCTTGCGGTCGAGACATATTGTCTCTATCGATCGCCGCGCCACTCTGCAGTTCTGGGTCGTGTACTAGCGAAAAACGGTCGGCGAAACCGTTCACCAATGACGAAGCACACTTTTTCGCTAGCAATGTGCGTCAGCAGAAATAACTTCCATAAATATTTTTAGGGTCATCTTTTTGATTAGGAGGTTTTAGTACATTATTCCCATGACTCTGATAACAATACCCAATACTTCGCCGACGCTTTTAAGCATGCGATAACAGTATTATGCATGCTTAAAAGTGCCGACGAAGTATCGGGTGTTGTTATCAGAGTCAAGGCCCATTCACACAGTTGCAACCTCTTAGAACCTGGTTGGTGCCTTGGAACCTCTTAATATCTCTTACAACGAAAGGATACACTGGCGCCATCTATTGGGTAGCAGGTCAACTTGGCGGTCCAGCAACTTTTCTAATTTTTTCGCACATTATCCTTTCTCTCTTGGCTCGAAAAACTTTTGTCAACGTTATAAACAAGCCTTTCTCATAGGCATTACGCACATTTGACCTCAGGAATCCCGCAAAACCTTCGCTCTTGTGAAATGCAGTTCCAGGGTCACCGCATAGATGGCGCCAGAGTGCCAGTGTGTTCTCTCGTCCTAAAAAGTTTTAAGAGGTTTCAACAGGTCTCGTCTCTTTTGGTCGTACTCGGTTGCAAGAGTGTGAACGGGCCTTCATGGGAATAATCTACTAAAACTTCTCAATCAAAAAGATGACCCTAAAAATATTTATACAAGTTATTTCTGCTGGTGCACATTGCTAGCGAAAAATGTGCCTCGTCATTGGTGAACAGCTTCGCGGTTTCGCCGACCGTTTTTCGCTAGCACACGGCCCGGAAGTGCAGCATGGTGCGGCGATCGCTAGAAACAATATGTCTCGACCGCAAGGCGCACTTATACTTCATAAAGCAACCGCCAAGGAGCACTGATAGTACCGTGGGCCACACGGAGCAGTGTTCACACTCGTATTGATCTTGATAGTACCTGTATGGTACTAGCAATCCTAAGCAATGCTTCGAGGCCATCAGATTTCTTTGGATGGCTCATTTTTGAATGACCATGCAAGTAGTACTGTTACGTGGACACTGTGCAGTGTGCACGGGCAGGAACCCATGAGCTTCCTCAATATATAATACTGCACAAGCACAGGACGTAATCTTTATTCACATATTCACGAAGCTATTGGGTTGTATTAATGCATCCAACCAGCAATAAGTGCTTCAGTGGGCAAACTAAAGTTATTTAAGTGAGACTGAGTAAAAACCTGTCCAGTGCCTGAAATCATTCACCCGTTCTCGGGAACTAAAACAGCTGGCGCGGAGGCTGGGGTGTTACAAACGCCTATCTGACAACTAAAACCAGTGTGTGTAAATTTCAAGCACCTTTCTGCAATCGTAAAGGATAACGCTAAAAAAAAAAAGCAACCAAAAATACCTTTTCTAGATGGTCTGCAGATGTTACGGGTGGTAACCGCGAATGAAGTTTGCTTGCTATCCTGGACAGGATATTGTCGAGGATTGGGGCACCCAACAGGAGTCCCATGTCGCAACTGCGCAAGACGTCCTGAAGGAACAACCGCGGGCGTCACAACGCCGCTGACAGACAGAGGCAACTTTCAAATTATATACGCACATGAGTGGATCTTCCTAGCTTGACTTCCAAGAGAGCCTTGAAGAGACTGCCGTAGCTGTACAAGTGTCGCCAGACAATTTGAACATCCTTCCAGTAGCCAGTGTTCAGTTTCTCCCACGCAACATCGCATATCGCTTGCGCGGTGAGCAATTTTTCGGTTAGAAGTGTCACATCTGTCAAAATATATTGAGTATGAGGTTTCTACGCTCTAACATGAAGTCTTCACTGCAAAATTCGCGTTTCGAAAGCGTGTCACTAATAAAGCAAAATTATTCTATCTGTCTGTCTAATGGAAACTCGACGTAACATTTCTGTAAAACTTGGTTCTTGCATCTGGAACACCTGAACAAGGAATCACGTAATTTTAACACAGAGTTTTAAGCGCATCTCTGGGACATCATTGTCATTCAATAATTCTTCCCTGCCCATCAAGCTCTGGAATGATCTTCCCGATGCCGTTGTTTCAGTTTTCCGACCCAGCACTTTTTCGTTCAGAGTTAACCACATATATTTTAGCTAATTAAAAATGTGTAACGATATTATTTCCTTGTGAACTGGGCACTGTATCTATATTTTTTTATTACTCGAAATGTTACCAGATGTGTGTATTATTATTTTTTTTTTTATGTCATTATGTGCTTTATGTCACCCAGCTGTGCAAATGTTTGGTTTATTTTGATGCGCGCAGGTGTGTATTGTTGTTTGTATGGAATTGGCGTGCTCACTGCCATTCCTTATTCGTGTGTAATGCCGACAGGCCTTTGAGGTACTTTGAATAAATAAATAAATAAAAATGCCCACGCACCTGACGTAGTCTCGGAGCTGCCGAGAAAGTCTGCGCATTCGTGCACGAGGCTTTGCATGGGTTTGGAAATATGACTGAGCCCAATGTCTTTCAGCGTAAGTGGCTCCTCCATCAGTGCATCAACCATGTGTATCACCACGCAGAAAAGTTATCACCACTGATGGTTATCACTGGTTATCACCACGTGGTTATCACTTTATCGCCGGACCGCGTCCTTCTCTTCTTTTCCACCCACGACCGGCTTTCACGCTTGGTACTAACAGCCTCCTGGTGGAATTCACGATCGGACGCTGTTTATTTAAAAAACAAAAGAGCCCTTTGGAACAAGCATACGGCCACATAGACATTTTCTAAAATTTATAACTTAAACACACGCATAAATACTTTTTTCTTTTTGCGAAAGAAATAATTAACCGGAAGTATAACACATAGCTCATTAATAAAAACTAAACCAAAACTACGGCGCTGCTGTCTGCTAAACTAGCGCGCGCATGTCAGCGCAGTAACCAGCGGGTAGGACAGCGATTCTGGAAGATCGTTTTGTGCATCAAAGATCAGCGGTGGCTACCATCGATTTTTTGTACTTGCAATGGCATCTTACTTCGACGAACACGGCTGCTCACCTTTGGCTCCAGGCGAGCAGCCCGATCATATGCTGCATTTGGCGAGGTAAGCGCTGGATAAACATCCGACACGATGACTTGCCCTTTCACGAGGAAATTGTTTACGGCATCCGATTTTGCTTCAGACTGCTGATCGATGGTGGGTACGGAGCTCATTTCGACATGGAATACCACAGGTAAAGTAACAAAAGTTCATCTGTTGTGCTTGCTCCATTACTACGAAATGACGGGATTTGTTCGTGTGCCCGTGAATGTTTCCAGGATTTTCCCGGACGAGCCCCATAAACCGCCAGCGTCGAAAGCGGCAATCGACTCGTTAAAGACTGCGCCAGTTGAAGAGGAAGGTAATTAACGACTACACATCTTTGGTGGAGCGAGAACAGTTTTCCATACCAGTCATAAGAGTCACTTCGTATGTTAGAGAAAAAACTCCACATATCGATTTCAGGCAAGAAATGTCCAGTTTGCTTGAAAGACTACTCACCCGGCGAAACGGTGACAGAGATTGCCTGCTCTCACGCATTCCACAAGGACTGCATCATTCCATGGCTGACCAGAGTAAGTTGTTATGGTGTATGTAGTTCGGTTCATTTTCTAGCTAGTAAAACGCTCACACTATGCAACTCGAAGCTTTACTAGAAATAAATCGGACTCGAAAATTACGTAGTATAAAATCTCTGTTGCTTGAAGGCTGTAGGATGGCAAATCTACTCGACACTGCAAGCAGAAAAACAACGGCGGTGGTTTCTTGCACGTTACTAGACAGTAGGCTGTAGCGTTCAATGTATTGAACCATGGTTAAAAGCGCTAAAAAGACGTACACAAGATAGAAGACAAACACGGGCGCTAGCATTGTATAATACTGAGGTTCGTTTTCCCGATATATGTAGACGGGTTTATGTTCTTGTATCTCGCGCATGTGTAGCCTGGGTGACAAGTCTGTAAGATATATACGTGTATATATATACTTCCATCTTCCTCCCCAATACAGTTGTGAGTAGCGCCCGTGTTTGTCTTCTATCTTGTGTAAGTCTTTTTAGCGCTTTTAGTCATGGTTCAATACAGTCAACAACTAGCCCAACTTCTTTTTGTAGCGTTCAAGCACGTCGTTACCTCAGCAGCCTTCTTTGAGCTGTTTCTCCCCATCATGCAGCACCAGAACGAGACATGATTGTCTCGAATAAAATTGCACAAGCTACTCAAGGTACTGGTTGTTAGATGTTTTTCTCAGAGCAAAAAATAAAATCCGCATCTTTTAATCCCACTCTTAGTCTTCGCCCAAACGTGGCATTAGCGGTTGGAACCAGGCGTCAGAATTATTCGCTACCTGCATTAAAAAATAAAGTTCCCAATGTTGGGACAGTTTTGACCAGAAAATGACGCTGAATGCGCCCGCGCGCATAAGGGGAAACGAATATCGTCTGCTAAAAACAAACTCGTTTAAAAAATAAAGTGGTCAACATTTTTTGGGCACCTCGTCCCCAACCGCTACGTTTGAACGGCTCTGTTCGGTGACGCATTTATATAAAAAACGAAAACCTTTTTTTATTTACCAAAGCACTTGGGATCATGGTACACCGCAGGGCAGTAGCTTGTAGAAGCAGCGTTGAATCGTACGTGTCGGCATCCATCGCGGGTCTGAAGCGCGCTCTTTTTTTCCCTCGAGTTAATTTGCTGCGTCCTCATGTCAGTGAAATCATACTCGCTTCACGAGTTTGTTTGCTCTGGTGACATTTGAAACAAACTCGTGAAGCGGGTTCTTGGCCATCTGCGGCGCGGTGTTGAGACTGTACTTGTCTGTCTTGCCTAGATCAACACCTGTCCAGTCTGCAGGTACGAGTTGCCCACGGATGATCCGGATTACGAGGCATTCAAAGCCCAAAAGGCAAGTGTAGCTTTTCGGGGGAACTGCAGTACCCTCGCTGCGCTCCAGACTGTGCAGCAACGTCAAAAGTATGCCTCAAACAAATTCAGTTGCTATTTTAACATACATGCTTAGCTTTCCTGATCTCAGGATGTTGATGAAGAAGCACAAGGTCAACCAGCAGTACAAACACCGCTTTGTGCCAATCACACCTGGGTGATGGGCACATGGTCGACAACTGCAGCTCATTACGTAAAGGGCCCGTCGCACAGTTGCGTTTAAAGCGAGTCACGGGCACATGTGTAGTAAGAAGCGGGAAATCGAATTCAAGGACTAGCTTGGCATGCTAATAAGCAGGGATGCCACAATTTCTCGGAATTTTCTAGGTTTGCCGAGGACGCGTCAACCACGCGCACTTGTAGAGTAACTCTGAAGATTCCTTGCGAAGGAAAAGCAACTACCCGCATAAAGCTCAATAAAAGCTCTCCATTCTTTAGAAAGGCTGCATATACAAGAGTTGAAGCTGCCATAAGTGCCAAGCGCGCAATATTTTAAACTTGTGTTTGCGGCGTCAAGTTAGCACAATTCTTCAAATCGATCACTGTAGCGACTAGCTTGTGTGTTATGCTTTCTCGCATTTGAACTATCAGTGTAAATGGCAGTAGTAGCAAGCCACAGGCTTTTGTGGACGTACAAACCTAACATGGCAAGATAAAAATCGTAATGCAACACCCGAGACTGGTGCAGAAAAAATTAAAACCTCCAAATCCAAGGAAAACTGCAGAAAGCAGTCTCCGGTGCTCCACAAAGATTTACCACCAGCTCGTCGCAGCATTTCCACAACATTCGTCCGTGTAACCATGGGGTACGTGCCTACATTCTAGAGAAAACTGCAGCACACACATGCGTTACCACACTAGTGTAGCTAGGAGTGCCAGTGCAGTAGACGGTATCCGACATGCCTTGTAGCAACGGGAGCCCCCACGCTGCCTACTTGCAACGAAAAAATAAAACAAGTGTCAGACAATTCTGTGCGGCCACAAGGGGCCAAACAGAACACAAAACAATTGTGGTCTAGTCAGCTAGGGGGAAGGGCAAACCGCCCAAAGGGGAGCTCATGTGAAACAAGGCACATCGTATACTCGCACCAGCAGCAGGTCTCCTGCGCTACCCTCTTAACTCTTCTCTCCTCCCCCAGGCCAGGGTCAAGCAACGCGACGAGGCCCTCCAAGAACTGCACAACTCCATGTTTGGATGACTAAATCGTTTTTACTGCCACAGTAAAAAAAAAAAGAAAAACTGCTATGTACAGATCAGTTGGTGTTTTGTTGCTCGTTCTTCGATGAAGGGGGGACACACTGAACATGAGACAAGAGGAAGTAATGATGCTAACCACGGCTGCTTAAAAACAAATCAAACAGGTCATTTTTATGCTCGAAAGACACGTAGTAATGTGGGTATGAGAAACAGCAAGAGGTGCACAATGGGAGTCCGTTAGCTTCCCCCATTAACGACTGTAGGGGTGGTAGCCGCCGCCACCACCACTTGCGCCACCGCCCCCACCGCGGCGCGCCTTGTAGTTACTCTGTTGTTGGCCTGCAAGCAACAGAAAGTTCCAATTACAATATCGCGGGGGGTGACATGGGCCACCACCAAAAGACCCCCGACTGCACTGGGAAAACAACTGCTGATGCGTATGCTAACTCTAGGGAAGCACACAGTTAGGCTGACAAGAGGCAGACTGACTACACCACAAGTTGCCTGTGCAAAGTCTAGCAGAAAGCACCCAGTAGGGAGGAAAACAACAGGGCTCGCTACATTTATTGATCTACACAGCAAACAAGCAACAATAGCAAATGTACAGTCGGTTACGGACAACCTCCCCACCCCCCCGGCAGCTACCTACCGTATCCACCACTTCCGTAACCCCCCTGGCCGCCGCCATAGTTCCACCCGGAGTAGTCGTAGCCTCCGCCATAGCCACTGCCACCATAGTCGTAGTTACCATAGCCACCGTAGCCACCCTGGCCATAGCCACCTTGGCCATAGCCGCCACCATAGCCACCGCCGCCATAGCCACCCTGGTTGCCCCAGCCTTGCTGATAACCTGCAAACACGGAAGGGGACCAGAACACCAGACATGAGTACTGCGCGTCATTGCGCCAACACGTGGACACTTGCATGCAGCAGCCAGCGATCCGCAGGTTAGCGAGTCCATGGACATCGGGACCGTGGGGGTTGCGGCAGCAAGAGGTCGACATCTACAATTACCCGTGGCCATGCTGAAGTGAAAAGCTCCCCTAGCCTTAACCCCCAGTCCCCCTTACAGCCAAGCTCACTCACTGACCCACGCATCTAGTTGCTTCCCATCAAGACCAACACAAACACCCAGACACGGGCAAACATTAGGTGTGAGATTTACAGAAGACCCTGCAGAAGTCACCAAAAACTGCACCAAACAGTCTGCCCACAATCGGGGAAAAGACGTGTCACAAGGCTTGCTGCCAAACACAAGGCCGTTAGACAAACGGGAGGTAATAGACAATCGCCCCCTAGACTCCAGCTGACTGGCATGAAGACTGCACGGCCACTAGTCCAAATCCAGTGTGGTGCTAAAGCCAATCTGTGCAGTCTCCACCCATCTGCCAGCTTGAGATGTCTGAACACTTGGTGCCTCCTGCAGGGCCCTCAGGAAAAGCAGCGTTGGGCAAGCACGAGTGCGACAAATGGAGCGCATAACATGGGGGTAGCAGCCACTTGCCTCCTCCGCGCCCTCGTCCTCCGCGTCCCCCGCGCCCGCCGCGTGCCCCGGAGAAGCCACCGCCGCCGCCGCCCCAGCCCCCGCGCATGCCTCTGGCGTCGGGCTTGGGCGTCGCCTTCTTGATGTCACACTCCTTGTTGCCGATCTTCTGCTTGGGCTCACGGCACACCAGCTCCACCGAGTCTTCTCGCTCAAACGTCACGAACGCAAACTGGCGCCTCTGATTCTTTGCCTTGTCAAAGGGCAGCTCCACGTTCTCAACCTGCACAGACAATGCTACGATGTCACAATCATTCCCCAGAGTAAAAAAAGTTGAGCTATGAGCTGCAGGAGTGAATGCTTACGGGTCCAAACTTCTCGAAGTAGGCCTTGATATCAGCTTCCGGCATGTCTGACTCGAGGCCTCCAACGAAGATCTTCTTGATGCCAGGGCGGGCCTTGGCAGGTTTGGGGTCGATCTGCTTGCCCTTCACTGTGTGTGGTGTGGCCTTCAGTACCTGCAGAAAACGACAACTAGTAAGGGCCCATCCCATCAAAGAGACCGAGAAATCTAGAAAGAATCAAACTCACAGCCTCGATTGCTTCCTTAGCAGTGAATGTGACAAAGCCGAAGCCCCTGGACTTTCCGGTTGTGGGATCTGTCTTGATGTTGACGTCCACTACGACGCCAAATTTCGAGAAGTACTCCCGAAGGTCCTCTGCAGAATCGAAGTGGAGAAAGTCTAGCATCGCGCCACCAGACAGACAGAAACGAGAGCAACGGTACTTACTGTTGTCCGTGTCCCAGCTAATGCCGCCCACAAAGAGTTTCCTAGAAAAGGGAGAATCACTGGGCTTCAACATGATTGCCAGCTCCTAAGAGCAGCACCTTTGACAACATTGAGGAAAAGGTTCTACTTACGTTACCTTTACATTACACTTCACACAGTCATACATACACAGTTTAAGGACTCCAGACTTAACACCAACAAATGTGTAGTAGCTTTTCTTTAAGGGCAGCAACTGCAAATTGAAACTTTGAGAGATGACACTCAGTTAGTCGCAGCAACTGTGTGTGAAGCTTTACTCGATCCTTAGGGCAAAGATGCTACTTCGGCTATCCTCCATGGGGGGAAAAAGGGGAAAAGAGAAACGAACGCGCCCAAAATTGGCGCTAGAGGTGAAGTTGGTTGTAGCACCGATTACATTGCTTAGTTCGGAGAAACTCAGCAAATGTACCATTGTGCCACCAGCGCTGTGCATCAAGTTCCTGGCAAGATGAGCTGGGCGCACCTGTCGGAAATGAAAGAGCGTTAACAGCCATCGACAGGGGCGAAACCGCGAGCCCTACACCGAAGCCAGGGGCCCCGCGCTCCGGCCGATTAGGAGCGTTACGTTAAGACTACTCGGGGACACCTCCAGATAGCCGGACCGTTTATCTGCAAAGAATCATTAAGTTTAACACTAAATGTCATCATCCAGAGACAGTACAATGGAGACAAGAGAGGCAGCAGAGAAAAAGGAAGCCAGCAAAGGCGTATACATGCACGGAGAAAAAATCCAAGGGGCAGGAACGCTAGTCCGGAACGACGATCGATAACGCCGACACTGCTAAAAAAAAGGGCCAAAAAGTACCTTAATCGAAGAACTACGCAAAATGACTCCGTACATCGTGAAGATTGATCCAACTGCTGCCGCCGAGTTACACACCTAGGCGCCGATGGCATCGTGAGCTAGAGGATTATTCAGGATTGAAACAAAATGGCGGTAAACGCCGGGGGAACAAAGGGCCGCCGCCGGACGCCATGAATGACAAGTGCACACTACGGAACACATTTCACGGGCAAAACTCCGGCTTGCACACTTTGAAATTTCAAATCAGCTCCGCTTCACGAAATACACAGAAATAAATAGAGAGAGAAAAAGTTCAAGGCGCCAAAGCGCTATATTTACCTCTCGTCTTCGTTCGTCTTGGAGTCGGAGCCATTTTGAGCGACTTCATTTGTCTGGCCGTTCCCGTCGCCTTCCTGTTGATACTGGCCGTCTGTAAACTGACCGTCGTTATAGTCACCGTACTGTCCATCAGCAGAAAAATCACCTTCACCGTAGTTTCCCTGCTGGTCTCCGTCAGCCATGGTAACTCAATTCAAGTACACGCACGACCACAACGACGCCCGTCCGGTAGAGAAAAAATTTCTGACCACGCCGCTCTTTATATAGGGGGCAGGCACGTGACACCGGAACGATCGCTCATTGGCTAAAAATTTTGGCGTCCTACCGGCATTTTTGCTTTTTTTGTGCAATATCAAGAGTCGGTTTAAAAATCAACGACTAAAGTTATTCGTAGTCACTGCAGAGTGTTATAAATATTGTTTTATGAATAAATCTAAAGAATATTTTCAGAGAACGCGTGCTAAAAAACACGCTTAGTTGCCAGACCTTGGGTGAATACACTTTTGTTGCACGATTCTTGGTGAGGAAGGCGTAGCTTTTGTTGGACCGGTTGGTCGGTTTCGAGCTGTCATTGCCGCCTTAAAACACAAACAGATCAAAATAAAACAGATACAGTAACCCTCTTTATACCGCATGGTTTCGCAAAAAAAGCGGTAAAGCGTCGGATCAGGTATATTCTGCGCTACGCGAATCCCTGCACATGTACCGCTCCTGTCATTGAAAGCCATATTCCATTTCGAATGAATCGCCTTGCTCGGACATCTGTCATCCGCCGAACTCTTTGACGCCTCTCAGCACTACTGCTGTGTTGTCCGCTGTCAGGAACAACACGTTTTTGTGCTCCTTCGTTTCCTTTTACCGAGCAGGCAGCGATGTAAATCTATTGCGCATTTGCTGCTCGATCGCCTTGTCGCGTAGGCGGACGCTACCACTTTTATTTTAGAATACAACGTTCAAACAATCCCCAAGTGTACTCCCAGTTCAGTCACGTTGAGAACGTAGTATAGGCTAGACAATGCCTTGTTGAAAAAATGACGCAGCAAACGTGCTAAACTCTCGGAGTTGCGTAATAACCAGAGCATGTCCGGCGCCGGAGAAATGGCTAGAAAATGACCCCACACCGAGAATATCTTCACAATAAAAGTGTGCGTTCGTGTGTGTCGAGTTGAACAATTTTGAAAAGTCGATATATCCAGTCTAACTTTAAAAAAAACCTCCGAAGCTTTAGCTGTAAACTTGTATTACTACTGGCCGGCGGAATGAGGCGAGGCTTTAAACGAACTTGCGCCGCGGGATAAGTGATATTTTTGGCGGAACTAAGTTCGGTACCGCAATCGCGATGTCCGAGAAGATACCCTGTTGATATAATTCATGCTGTGCCCATGGGCTAAAATGAACCCGCCCTGCAGTAGCCGGTACCAACGACAAAGAAATGACTCAGAGCACCCATTACTGGCCTCACCACCGCCCGCGTACATATTCGTGGCCGACACCCAGCTAAAGTCTGTTTTCCGAGAACCCGGTGAAAACTGGCGAATTACCGCTCCGAAAAGGGGAGTAGGTGTCAAAGATTATATCCGTTCTCGTCCGCAAAAACAACGACACGTTTTTCCCGCCATTTGCGATCGCATAAAATCTCCAACCGGTTGCGCGGCAGACTTCCCGGGTGTCATTAGCCGCTCTTCTCATAATCATGGCGATGAAGATTCCCACTAGTCAGGACACCTGCAAGCTTTTGATTGTTATTACTTACTTCCCCTATATTGCTGCTTTAAAATGACAGCCTGGTACAATGCTATTATATTCACGAAATATCAATGACATTCTTTAATGCAGAGATATTGTCTCAAAGGGGTTGCTGAAAAGTTTTTGAAGGGGCAGGGAGGAATAAGAAATGATGTAGGTCACTTCCCCCACGCATCCCACCATCCGGGAAGTTGCAACTGCAATCAGTAGTCAGATATTTCTAAATACATACCATTCCAAGTGTCATTAAACTATTACTAACATCGTCTCGCATTTAATTTTTGCGACAAATTCCCGTACACCCAGGAGCCCTAAGAATACTCCCACGTATATTATTTACCGCCAAGATTTCCGACTAATCACAAGCTGCAATGTGAAGGGTAACCACAATTAGTAAACACTTTCAAACTGTTGTTAATTCCCATGGAAAATGTGAGAAAAAAAAAAAACTGACTTTTTGATCTTGCTAAGGAATGCACAACACAGCTAGCAGGAGTACATTGTACTTTGAACTTTCTTTTACAGTCTGGGCACTTTCTCCTAATTTACTAATGGAAGTTAATGTAAAACACCAACATTCAAACTGCTACCTTACAGTTGGTGCCATCCAGAAGATCATTCCAAAACAGTGGTACTTTGATAACAAACTAGCCCCCCCCCCCCCCCCCCTTTCCACAAAAAAAAAGAAAAAAAAATTACACTTAGGCGGATAATTTGATGCGTGGACTAACTGTGTCATGTTCTCTAGGTGGAGATTCACGACCGGGACCTTTATTGACGGACAGCTTGACTTTTGCACCCACTGCCATAGCAGTGGAGTCCTTGGCTACTGACAGCCCATCTTCCATTATATTAAAACTTGTCATTGGGCACTAATGTGCCAACCTGGCAGTTAAATCGCTTAATTTGCATTTTAATGTGCATAGCCTGGCAGTTAGAGTAGTTGAAGTGCGAAGCAGTGGAGCTGAGGTTGTAATGCACAGGGTTGGATCTGCAAATAGTTCCATTTTTAAGCCCCATCTGACTAAAGAAAACTTTAAAGCAACACAAGCGATACAGATGCTGGAATGACTTAGGAAATATTTAGTACATCTTTGGAGCAGGCTCCCCGCGTGGGGTTTCCAGACTGCGGCATTAGCTGGAGAACAAAAACTATGTGGTATATCATGTTGGCAGATCGTTGGAGAGAATTGGGCAATAAAAATCTGATGGACAGTCCAACATTTATCCGACTTTATTCTCGATAAACAGACAATATGTGCTGCAGGTACCGATACTTTCTTGCAGTTTTTATTTGTTACTGTTTCAACATTCTTTCCTTCTTTAATGATTTCACAAACAGGTTCCTGTGTCAACGAATCACTGAACACCAAGTTCTAAATGGAACAAACGACAACTTAAATTTCAACTTCGATTGCTACCTTTTTATTTAGGCATGACGAGGACTAGGTCAGAAAGCTAATGAAAACAGGCTCTTCCCCTTACCCTCTCTCATGGCAACAGAGTATGTGTGCTGAAGGAAAAACAAATACTAAGCATGAACAGATAGTTGATGTGACAATAAAATGTAGCAGAGCAGCTGCAACGGAGTTACGACGACACGGCATACATATTGTGTATAGCCAGTGACAGGTTAAGAGTCAGGTGAAACCTCCTCCCACCTCTTTCCACTTTAGCAGAGAGAACTCTGGAAAAGAGGTCGCCTCCTCTCCAGCGTTCGCTCTGCCAAAGGGGAGAGAGGAGGGAGAAAGTTCCACTTAACTCTTAACCTGTAACCGACTATAGTTTGTACACATTAAAATTCTGAGTATTGTTGCCCTGAATCCTAAAAGGAGTACCAAAAACAAAGCATTCATGAGGCAACGCGAAGACACAGGTAGGCTTAAAATGGAAAGGCATGGAAACCTATTTATTGAGTTTTATTTCTTTCTAGTGGCAGATAACCGATTTTAGCTTTGGACTGTGTAGATACTTTGAAGGGACATCGCAACGCTGACGAAAAGCTTGTTCTTGAGTTCCTACACATTGAAATTGAAAAGGTATGTAGGGGTAACATTTGTTGCAGACACATTGGATCAGAAATCCTTCCTTCCTGGTTGGCTTGAACCCCAAACAAAAGTTTGGCTAAGCGCATGAATACATGCCACCCGATTCAGATGCAGGATTACGCTTGTAATGTTTCAAAAGGGTTAGTTGCAGTCCTTCATAACCTTGCTTCTTTAAAGCATAAAAAATCTAGAGAAAAAAACAACAACATTCGGGTAGGATAAAGCAAGGTTCCACTCATATTATTGTATAGTAATTAAAAATCAAGTTTCACACGGCTGACAACAATTAGTGCAGAGCCTCTCATTCCTAGGGCAAGCACATGGCCTTTTGCAGAGCAGCAATGATACCAGTTATACTAGCCAGACAACTGCATGCCATTGCAGCAACATGTTTCACTATAAGCAGATAAAAAGAAAAAAGAAAAAAAAGATAAGAATGCGGCAAAAAGTTCTCGGAGCACATTAAAGCACAGGGGAAAGAGACAGAATTTCCAACACGTAGTGACCACCCAGGAGGGGAGAAAAGTAAAGGAGGAAGAGGCACGGGAATGTATTAGGCGGACAATCAAAGAGGCTTTCTCCCAGCTTGAGCAGAGGGGGACAGTGGATAGCACTGACAGCAGCAGTGTAGTGGAGGAGCAGAACTGTGTAACAATGGAGATGACCACAAGAAAATGGGATAAGGCAGAAAGTAAGGTCCCAGCGGGTACAGCGACAGGCCCAGACAACATACCCATGGAACTCATTAAGACACTAGGAAAAACAAGCAAATTGAAGTTACGGCATCAGATTAATCAAATAATTATGGGAGAAGAGGTGCCCAATGATTGGAAACTAAGTAAAATGAGACTAATATATAAAGGCAGAGGAAACAAAAACAACATTAAGTCATATCACCCAATAAAGGCAACTTCTGTTCTATACAGGTTAGCTATGCACATAGTAAAGCGGAGACTGGAGGAGTAAATATCGTAAGGGTGCAGGCGAGCTGGTGAACATTAACCATGTTAAATTAACCCGAGACTGGAGTAGAGAGGAAACATCAAAATGTAGAAGATAACCTGAGATGTCGGTTTGTCTATTATCTGTCTCTTCTAAGTTTTGATGTTTCCTCTCTACCCCAGTCTCAGGTTAATTCAACATGGTTAATGGAGGAGTGGGCAGAAGGCATGCAAGTACTGGGCGAGCTCCAAAACAAATTCCGAAGAGATAGAAGACTGGAAGATAACTCATTCGTCACCACACAATGAATAGAAATAGCAAAGAAGAACCAAACTCCTTTATGGTTAGCTTATTTGGACATCAAGGGAGTGTACGATAATGTGAGTCAGGAGAAAATCTGGGGTCACCTGAAGGAGCATAACTTAGATGCAAATTTTGTTAGGTTTCTTCAGCAGGTGTACACAGACAATAAGGTAGTTATAACATGGGAAGCTGAAACTACAGAACCCGCAGCAAAAAAAGAAAGACGGTTCAGGCAGGGCTGTCCGCTGCCGCCTCTACTCTTCATGATATATCTCAGTGATATACGGAAAAGAAATTAGAGCAGAGCAACTTAGGTTATGATGCAAGTCATATGGAAGGAGGGAGAAATGTAGTACAGGTAATACCAGGACTGATATATGCGGATGACATAGTACATATGGTAGGTAACCAGGACACGCTACAGGAACTAGCTGGAATATGTGGAGAGGAAGGGAACACTTTGGGCAAGAATTTTAGTAGTGACAAGTCTGAAGTAATGGTGTTTAACGACGAAAAGAGAGAACCCCTCAGGATACAAGACATTGTAATAGGCCATGTAGGAAAATATAAATATCTGGGAGTCTGGCTCAATGAGGGAAGGAAATATCTAGAGGAACACAAGGAGAATGTAATTAGAAATGGGGAAAGAAATTCATCATTTATGATGCTCAAGGCACTATGGAACTATAATTGATATGAAGTGGTCAGAGGTATAGACGCTTTACACACGCGCCAAATTACAGCCGCCATTGCAGACCTTCTCTATCTTTCCCAGATGCCGAGCCACTAAAGCGAGCGTTGACAAGCCTCCAGAAAAGCCAATGCTGTGGAGAAGGAGACAGTAGAAACTAAAATGGCAATAACCGGCCCCGCTATGGTAACGATGAAGTGAAGTAAATGTAACAAGAGGAAACAAGAACTGAAGGTCGGTTATGGCGACGCCCATGCACAGCTGCTGAAAAGCGTCTATGTGGAAAGGAGTGATGGTACCGGGACTGTCTTTTGGCAATGGGGTACTGTACATGAAATCAGAGGTTCAATCAGGATTAGAAATTTGACAAAGAAGCCTAGGCAGATTGGCACGAAAGACATCAAATAAAGGTGTGCAGGGGGACATGGGCTGGTCGTTTTTTGAGAGCAGGGAGGCAATTAATAAGTTGAAATTTGAGCAATGGATGACCAAATGGATGATACGCGGTGGACACAAAAGGTGTTCAAGTATTGATACATGAAAAGTGTAAACACAAAATGGGCAAACCAAACCTGAAAGCTTACATTTAAATACCTACACACTGGAGATGGCACTGAGCAGACTACTTCAGTTGAAAAGGGGTGAAAGAGCCAGAAAGAGATATATGGGAGGTAAGAATGCAGGAAAAATCATCTCTAACAATGTATCTGTTAGACAATTCACTGGGAAGTTCTTTACTTTTTAAGGCGAGAACGGGAGTTTTGAGGATGAGGAAGTACAGGGCTAAATTTCAGGAGACTGACACATTATGTACTGCCTGCCATGATGAGAGTGAGACACTAGAGAAGTGGCGTCACTAGGGTTAGCAGCACCCGGGGCGGTAGCCTGCCGCGACACCCCACCTCCCCGCTCTGCCGTGGCCTGCCACGATATCCCCCTCGAGCGCTGCAGCTGGGGCAGTCCGCCCCCCCCCTTGCGACGTTGCTACACTAGAGCACTTGGTTTCGAAGTACGGGACTTCGCCTTACCCTCCTTGAAGGGGTAACGGATTTGGCCAGGGCCCTAGGTTTTGCTGGCGAGTCATGACAATGGAAGGACGGAAGAGAAAAAGACGACAGTCAGAAAGAGGCGATTAGAAGATTGGTGGAAATTATCTAGGGAAAGTTGAGTGATGCACAACTAACTAGCACAGCTAGGGACAGGCGGGACAGAGGAAAATTGGGACTCCCTCCCTTGTGGCTCCGACCGAAAATCTCAACCCTGTCCCCCAGTGGGTCCGGTGTTGGGGTAGCACCAACAAGGTTTGACCAGCGGAAAATTGGCGACTCCCTTGCCGGGGGGAAGCGGCGGGGGGTGATGTTTTTAGTTTTTTTTTTTTGCCCGATCCCCCAAAGGTCATCCTGGCGATATCCCACACCTGGTGATAGTTAGGGGGAGAAAACTGGCTTAGAAGGGTGAGAGGAATCATATGGTTGTCTTTTTAGACATTGGCTAGGTGGTGCAAGCTACCGCCCATTACTAAGGGTATAGCCATTATATCCATCCATTCAGCCATCTATCAGCAGGAAAACATACCCGTCACTCATTAGTCTTCAAAACAGATCCTGGAACTTTTTAATACCCTCACCAATGACTCTGAGTTTTACATTTTTCAAGAAAACCTGGGTTTGGGCTAACTGGTCCATATTAATTCAAAGGTTTAAGAAGTTGGAACAAAACGAGGACAAAGACGATATGAAGACGATAGGATGGCACCTGTCCTGTTGTCTTTGTGCGTTCTTTGTCCTCGTTTTGTTTGCACTTTTTAAACCCTTTACTTACATTTTGATTTTGCACTTGCAGTTTCCACTGAGGATGTCTAATTTCACAATATAAGTGATGTCACATGTTCCTTCTGCATCTCAGCACAAGTTTGCTGAAGAAGTCAAATTATCAATAGCAGCTTCAAGTATTCATTTTTTTGTTCCTCGTGTATTCAACTTTCTTTCTGGCGAGGATCAATGTTTAATGAAATTCAAGAATTTCCAAAGTTTTCAAGGACCCTTGCAATTCATGCAAACTCAAGTTATAAATTTCAAGCCTACTTTATCAGGGGACCAGCTTTGTGTGAGAAAAGTCAGTAGTTACCACTGTCCTCCTCCCAAAGTGATGAAAAACGGTTCTCCACCAGCAAGTTCCTTAGTCATTTATTACAATACTCTCTCACACAAAGCAGTAACCTAAAAGAAAAAATATGAAACTATGCACGACTTCTCCAGTTCACTAGAGAAATTTCTCTTTAAACCGCTAGCTAACGAACACCGCATGACACTGTCAGTGCAAACACACTTCTTTCTGTTTTGCTACTCCAACATACTTCAGTATGCAGTCCAGTTGTTATTCTACAACATTTGACAAAAAAAAAAAAGATTGTTTGTTTATGCAATTAGCGTCGTGCTGTTCACTGTCCTACACTTTACTGCTCAACCTAGAAGTTTACTATTTGTGACCCAAAGATAAGTGGTGCATAGAAGTGGAACACTTGGAAAATATTTTCAAAGAACACTTTACTATAAACGGCCTTCCATGCAAAACTTGCAGCACTTAAGCACAACGCCGCACTTATAAACTTGCCTTTTTTTTATGAGGAAAAAAAGTATGTTAGTCCTGGGGCTTTAGACTCTTCAAACACGAAGTTGGAGCAGAAAGTTTGCAGAGTGCGGCGACTAAACTTCGGCGACAAAAGCGAAGCGTCACGGTCGCGAGAGTCCAATTGGCGCGCTTTGTAAAAGTTTGGCCCCAACTTTGTATTTGACGAGTTTATGGCCCCAGGTTGCACGTCCCGGTAATTGAAGCTGTTAGCGCTATTGAGCTATGTATGGAGCAAAGACCAAAGAAAACAAAGCTCCATCAAGAATTCTAGGAGGATGCAAATTTTCTTGTAATCTTTATTTTAGTAGATTGTACAGAGCAATAAATAAAGGGATGAATATACACAATTCTTCAAAATAAAACAGCTCATTTCTTTCAAGAAAAAATAATACAACAATTTCATCCACTAATTATACAAAATGCATTGATCTACGTACAAATGTGATGGCAATTCCAAATTACATTGCGAGAGGGAAGAGGAAACAAATATAAATCTTTACAGAGCAGGGCCTTCAGCCTTGAACGAGGATTTCAAGACAGCACGGTGCGGGTCTACAAAAATCGTTGTTCCGGTAAAATTAGAGGGATGATTCAAACTTCACTCATTACCCGATGAATATTGAAATTCAAAGATTTGTCGTGGCCAAAGGGCCTGTTTGGCCGTTTGAGAAGTCAAAATGACATCAGCCCAATATGTTTGCAGTACAGGCAGACCTATCCAAACGGCATCAACCCTCAAAATAATGCCATTTCAATTGCCATTGCAGGCGGGGAAACAATGTACAGCACAAAGCGCCCAAAGGCGACAGTGAAACAGAATTTGCAGGTGATGCTGGCAGCTGGATATTGAAAGAATATTAATGTTTATTGCAACTATGACACAAGAGTGAGAAAGGTAAGGCAATGGAAAGAGTTCATAAAAGCTAATGCATTCACCCATGGTGCCGTTCCCAACAAAACTTCTGGGAACAGGCGTAATGGGGGAGGGAACACCAAGTTCTAAATCAAAGGGACGGTGAAACAATATTCGAGCACTTCTTGAAAAGTTGCTGCTTCGAAAACTGCTCACGTCTAGACCTCCAAACTCGACTACTTTCCGGTTCTTTGGTCTAGGGTCTGCGAAATATGATTTTTCCATGAGCTAAAGCTTCTGTGGCAAATGACAAGAAATAAGTGAAATTTCGCAATGTCCCTCAACAGATGTTCTACCCTAAAGACGCTGCTGCCACCGAGATTTTACGGTAACAAAAAACCAATCTTATATAATAATCACAAAGTTTAACTTTGCATTATAAAAAGAACTATCGTTACAGAACATTACAGTACTAGTTGGCCGGGCAGCCAAGACTTAAAAGCTTGCAATTGTTTTGATGGCCAGGATAAAACCAATCGAGATAAGCACCGTGAATTCAGGATTTAATTTTCCCTTAGCCAATTCACCGTCAGGACAAATCCAGCTTCATTCCATTTGGGTCAGCATTTTTTTAACACAGTATAAGTTGTCAACGCTGGAAGATGGTATCACTGCACACTGTACTACAAGATCATGTCGGCCGTTTTCGGTGAAGCAAAGAAAGAATGTAGATCTGTAAGCAAGCTACACTAGTCCAAGGCATAAAGTTAAGTCAGCATATAAATACAACTTTATTTGACATGAAAAAAAAAATCTTTACCATTTCTTTAAGCAAGTTGAAACAAAGTCTGCAATTCAGGCCCAGCTTTGTATTTCCACTGCAAAACGTCCGGACAAAAGGTTAGGGTTTCCACAGGTGAAATGTTTGGGAAGTTTGAATGATGGATTCTTATTGGGTAGTCCAGTACAGATTCTTGACATCGCAGGTTTCCTCGACTAATGAAGCTTCAAGGTGAGTCATTATAAAAGTAACGACGTGCGAGAAGAAGTTCTCGAACTATAAATGATGTGACAAACAAAGCTGAATTCGCACCCTGGCATACACGAGCTAGAAAACAAAAAGATTGGAAACTAATGCACAAACGATTTCCCCCTTCCGCTGTCTGACAAACGAAAGTTAGGCATGATATGTTGTTCACCGCAAAACATAAAGAAGGCTTATTTTGTTTTGCACCACGCCGAGATTAGCCCTCTATTTATATTCTGCATCGCTGTACACATTGGCCTGAACCAGCGCGACCTCAGGTAGCACTTCGGACGACGCAACGTGAGCTTCCACGTCTGCCATCTCGTCTGGCCTGTTCAGCAAGCTCTACACAAATCGGAATCCAGCTCCACTCGTCCCAAAGAACGAGCTCGGATTGGCTATGGTTACGTCTTCGAGCACCCTCTCCGGGTGCGCGAGTCATGTCGACACAATTAATCTATAAAATCTTCCAATGCTCCAAATAACAGGAAAAAAAAAAAAAAAATGTGAGGAAAGAGAAATGATGCCCATGCAATGAAACGTCGCCAACTCTTCAAAGCTGCTCTACACGCGTCCTCAAGTACACAATGCTCGATTTGTGACTCGGCGTGTCGCAAACACCCCGAGCAAAGTATGGCGCAGTATATTACATATCTACACACACGCCGAGGACATGCTACATTTATTTACAAACTGTACAAGGTTTCCGAGGCTCTCTTAGAACAGACGCCCCATTTTATTACAAGCGCACGACGCGCTCCGTCGTGGAAGGGTGCTTCCTTTCGAAGCCGTTCACACGACGCAACATCAGCTCCAAGAGAGATGTGCCGCATAGACAAATACACTGGCAGCACACTAAAACAAGCGCAACATTAAAAAGCCCGTCAATCGATAAGAAAGTAAAAGTGAAGCCCCCAGTGGACGTCGACCCCTCGAGAACACAAGCAGAAACAAACCAGACGACAACGGGGGGCCGGAGAGAAGGCAGGGAGGAGCGAGCTCTGACTAGCAAAATAACTTAAACCGAGATGGCGGCGCTGCATCTTTACGGGGCCGATACTGCCACTAAGAAGACATTAAAAAAAGGCGTATGTACACGGCCCACCCGGTCAATCGAGGCGCCTTCTTGAACCTGTAAGAGGTTAAAACACAACGATCGTGAACTCTGGCAACATGAAACCGGCAGACGCGCCGTCCTCGCGGCCACACCACACAAGCCCAATTGCGAGTTAGTGGCACACGCTTTGGGTCACCAGAAGCGACGCATTCTCCCGTCCTCCCAATTCCGACGCACGCACAGGACTGCGAGGGGGCACCGCCAGGCAAAAGCTTGCTTCTCTCTTTTGTTTTTTCCTTCCCGGCGAACACGGAGTAGCGTAAGGACGACGGGTGAGGGTGGAGAGAGGGAACACACACACAAACACACAGAGAGAGAGACAGAGAGAGCTATAGATCGAGCATCCGTCTTGCAGTCTTGGTCCTGCGCACCGCGGAGCGGTCTTGCGGAAAGGAGGCGGCGGGAGGGGGTGGCGGTGGCGGCGTCTGCTCAGGCTCCCGGTCGGGGCAGTCGGGCGGCCTACCTTTGGTCTTGTTGGCGCTGTCGATGATGGTGAGCAGGCAGCGGCCAAACTCCTCCAGCACCGAGCGCTCCAGGTCGGGGAGGGCCAGCTTGAGACGGTCCCCTTCCTCCGCCCGGGCCAGCAGGCACTGGCAGGTCGCCTCCACAACCTCTTGCGTGATGAAGGCGAAGGGCAGCCTGCACAAGCCCGCACTTGAGTTCACGCTGCGTACTATGTAGCTCCGCCAGCCTCCCAACCTTTCACCAAAACTCGGCGACAGACAGTGCGGAATTGTGTCCGAAGACGTCAATAGTAACGGAAATGCTGTCTCGCTTTTTGCGTCATGATCTCGTGGCAATTCCTAACCATAGCTGGGTGGATCCCATTGGCTCCCCAAGGTGACGAAGCAATGTTCAAACTTGGTGCCCTTCACTCTGGAGTGACGTAGAGTTTTGAAGCACACTCCTCGCGCCCCAAAGTAAATCTGGATTGAAGTTCGTAGCATTTGTTGACACCGCAAGGTCGCAATGTGTTCAGAGAGCAGAAACTAGGAGCTTCGCACACATGTAACAAGAAGTAGTGTGAAAGTTTCAAGTTTTCTAAAATTCTTTGAAGCCTAGTTACCCTCCACCTCATTCATGTTGGCACATAACCCTACAATCAACTCATTCCCTTTTAGTTTATGTAATAGAGGTGTTTACCGTGTGCCTCTGTCATCGTGAAACTTCCACAATAAATGACAACTCGTGACTGCTTTACATAGCTAAAGCCAAAGTTTAAGTTAGTCATCATTGCTACTGCTGGGGGAAAAACTGCAGCCCGAGTTCATTGCCTCGGATGAGAGGGGGCAAAAAGTGAGAGAGTAACACCTGCAGTTGTGCTTTTACAACATGACAACATAAAAACAAAGACAATCTAAACCAGTGGTCTCAAACTCATTTGAGCCTGGGGGCCAGATATCCCACCCTGGAAAGGTCGAGGGCCAACGGAAGGCACGGGAGGGGGGGGAAGGGGGGGGAGAGAACTTGCAAACCTGTCAATGACATCTTTAGATTTGATTTGCTTATATGACTACTTTGGGCCCTGACCTGGTGTGATAACAAGAATTAAAATGATGCCGCCCCGCCGACGTGCTGGCATTTTTAAAAGAACAAGAGAGCAAGTATATGGTCGTTCCGGTTGCTCAATTCACTCAAAAATTAACCAAGCCCAACATCTCTCTAAAAAAACATCTGTTAATTTGACAGTTCTTGCTTTCCTGACGATTTTTATTGCAACACTCGAAGAAATACTTGTATTTTAATGGTGATATTTATTGAAGGCGAGAATCCCGAGCTCGTAACTTTATTTCTGCCAGTTGCTCCTGCTGATCGAGAGCACGCGCAACCGATATGCATCCTTCAACGAATAGCTCGTGCTTGCAGCCTAGTAGCGGAATTGTGGTACATTACGAAAAGCTGGGAAGCGAAAGATAAAGCGGAGCAAAGAGCAAATGAACACAGCTAAGTATAAACTATGTGAATATGCTAAAAGAGCAGAGCTACTTCCCGAGCGAAAATGAACCAGCGACATGAGATCACTATGGCGCATGCCTTTTTAAGCGCTCGAGACATGAGAACCGGGACTCGCAGCCGCAACTCGCTGGGACGTGGCCTGCGGGCCACGTCCCAGCGAGTTGCGGGCCGCATGCGGCCCGCGGGCTGCGTGTTTGAGATCCCTGATCTAAACCAAAGTGTGCAAATTTACGTGCCTTCAGACATGAAAACTGCAATAGTATATGTGCGAGTAGTTTGAAGGTACAAATAATTCCACATGCATATATTTTTATTGCTTACCACTACCAACTGACTTTAATAAAGCGCACACTGTGGTAAGGATTACTATCAGGTTCTTATGCCGAGGACTCTACGTTCCTGATTACACATAGACGAAGAATGCAGCAAAATAAATGTGTCGCATCCACTCTACCATACTTCCAATCTTGCAATGTGTTAGGTGGATGTAGAAGGGCCTAGACAAGGCACGAATTCCAAAACAAATGTAATTATAACATTGATGCGACGTGGTCGAGCAATCTCGGAGCAGCAAAAAACACTTTGGGTGGGAGCAATCTCTCCACTATCATCATCCGTTCCAACGCAAATTCAATGTTCAAAATCGCGTGTTGACCCATGTTGGGCTACGGGCTTAGTTTATACTTCATATACAACCGCGTAAAATGCAATGCCGGAACGTAACGCCGCAACACGACATTCTTTCGATAGAATTCGGCCGATAAAACCAACACCACCCGGAAGACGAGGTCCGCGCACGGCGTTAGTAGATGCCCGAACCGCCCCGAGTGGCAAACACGACAAGGTCCGACGGGAGGTGCCGCAAGGCGGCAGACGCGTCCGTCTTGGCATCGCCGGGTGTTAGTGTCATTGCAACACACCGCAAGACCTGCGTGGACCCACTAGCGATAACATTTGGGGAGAAAAGGTGCAGCCCTTGTTTCCCAGGTGGTACTGATGAAACACATTCCGCGTTAACAGACGACTACCAAACGAGAAGAGGAGAACGACGGACCTTTCGCCCGTGTCCGAGACGGCGGGGGGCCGCATGGGCAGGTCGCAGGCCGACATCTTGGTGCGGGCCGCCGCCTGCTGCTGCACCCGCACCTCCGCGGCGTCGGCCAGCTGCATGAGCGTCTTGCGCTCGGAGCTGTCCTCGAAGTTCTTGCAGCCGATGCACTTGCACATGCTGCTGCACAGGATCTTTGCCTGGGATGCCGGGCGGAAGGTAAGGGAAGGACCAGGCCGGCGCGAGGCAGCCGTCCCAGTAAGGCTTCGTTCGCATGCTCACGTTCGGTAGTGGCCAAGCGTGCCGCGCTTTTATGCGATCACTCACGACGAAAGCAGAGCTATATATTGGGTGTATCATCCGTATCCGTATCATCTTCTGTCTAGTTTATACGCAGGTCAGAAACGTTTCGGGGCTACTCAAAGGACGACGACAGTGTTCTCTCGTCACCAGCGGTCGCAGCAGCCGCAACACAGTTAATCACATAAACGCAAACGTGCACACCAATTTTAACAAGAGGTAAGCCGTGTTTTCTGCGCTATGTTGTAAACTATGGCGCGGTAACTAACGCTTTTAAGGCACTTTAGACAGCCCAGAAAAATCAGTTTCTCGACGTGTTGCATCATGATTTTTCACGAAGGTGCAAGCAGGAGGGGGAAGTTTATAGTAAAAAAGAAGTGAAAGCCATTTACAACTCCCTGTAACGCCGAATTAGAGCACAACTCTCGAGGAAGAGAAGGGAAGGCTACTGAGGGAAGGGAGGGGGGGGGGGGGGGGGGGATGTCACGTGACTCCCCCGCCCCTCTCATTGAGGTCACCGAAGGTATTCGAAGTCCTCCCGATGTCCTTGGGGGGGGGGGGGCTTGCAGTTACGCCGACGCCGCTCAAGCTGGAAACAAGCGCCTAAGAGCTGTGCTCTAAAAAAAACAAATAAACTTGCCTCGTTCAAAAATAAAGAAAAAGAACTGTTTTGGGCAATTTACGCTGCCACTTCGTGGACGATGCACGCAGGGTGAGAAGTGCTGCCAACGTACACCGCGTTAAGAGAAAGCCGACCAATTCAGGTTATAATAGCGGATGATCCCGCAAAAGAACCGGAATCGGCCAGCGCTCCCTCGACGCGGCATATGCCCTCTGTCGGCAGCACCTCTCCCTACGTCTGCATCGTCTGCAAGGTGGCGGCGTAAATTGCCCAGGACAGTTTCTTTTTTTTTTTTTCTTCTTTAGAACGAGGTAAGTTTTTATTCTTTGATTTTTTCACTGTGAACTTCTACCACCTGCTTGCAGCTTTGTAATAATCGCAGATCGATACGTGGAGAAATCCACTTTTGAGGGACGTCTGAAGTGCCTTAAAGGGATACTACAACGAAATTTTGGCGCTCATTTTTTGGTCTATATGTGTTCAAAAGAGCAGTATCACATGGAACATACCAATATCTTGTTAAAAAAGTCTCGAAAAGGAATTTTAAAACAAATTAAACGATTAGCAAAGAGCACCTGGTGGATGTCGCTAACGCCTCGTTTGTAATGCTCGTCTAGGAACCTTGACAGCTAGTGACGGAGGTTGTCTTGTGTCCGGCCACGACGAGAAAAGGGGGAAGGAGGAACTCCCCTCTTCTCGAGAATCCCTTTTGTGTGTCGCAGAAGTCGCCATTGTCCCCCTAGAAGATTATAGAAGATTAACCCGTCACTCAAAATTCGTACAAAAGCAGCCGCTTCGGCGGCTGGAACGACTAGGCCATCCTCTCGACGTCAGCCTCGCCATAGCTTTGCTCGTCTTGAGACGACCTACGTCACGACTGCGTTGGATGTCACGTGCTCTAAGCTGGGCCTTCTCCGAGCGCTTGCCAGAGTGGGCCGTTTATAACGAAAAATACAGCCACCAGGCGCTCAAAATACAAACGTGCGATTGTCATTTACGGATATTGTGGATCATATTCAACCTATTTTTGAACACGACGGGAATATTTCAAATTTCGTTGAAGTATCCCTTTAAAAGCATTAGTTTACATGCTCTAGGTCAGTGGTTATCAAGCATGGATGTGTCGGGGACCCCAAAGTGATGGGCGACCCCATGCCGCTAGGGGAAGGGGAAGGGAGGGGAGTTTAAAATAAAACAATTAAAGCTTGAATAGAGCATTCTGTACTGTTATAGGCACGAGAAGTGAGAAGCAACAAGTAAAAGGATGAATGGATGGATAAATGGTAACAGCTGTACCCTTTATAGTGGGCGATAGCTTGCGCCACCTAGCCAGGGTCAACAAAAAAACTGTCTCTATTTCAAGAAAAAAAAAAGGGGGGGGGGGGGGGGGGGGTTGAGGGAAGTGTTTTGCGGGCCCCAAAAAATGGCTTTGCAGACCCACTGTCTGTGGAACCCCATTTGAGAACCACTGCTGTAGGTCATGAAGGTAAATTAGTTGGTGGCTCTTTCAGCCCTATTTGTTGCCCTCCTTTGTCAAGTTGTAGAATATGACCAGCATAACACTGAGAAGTCAAACCTAGGTTGAACTTATAAAATAATAAATATCCAATCAAAATTATCTTATTTATACATGAAAAAAAAAAAAGGCTCCCGCTCAATGTACTGTAGCAGCTTTGAGAATTCAGTTCTAAAAAAAACCAGGAGCGAGGGCGTAATTTATTTTTTTTCCTCAGTGCCCGAGATGACGTGCGCATTTACTTACCGTAGACACCAGACTCTAATGTTCTATCACTTTTTTTTTTTTTATAAAAGCTATGCCTAAAAGCTGCCTGCACACTAAAATACTTATAAAAACCAGAAACTGGGGCATGTTAGGACCATTATTCTTAGGTATAACACCTGGGTATGTATTAGATCAGGGAGTGCATTTTTGAATGCAAAAGCATTAACTGTCTCATGAAGCGAAAAAACCAAATGGCTGTTTTACAATGCTTCAATCCCCTTGGCTAGCACGCGTCCACAGCCAACGGCACTTTTTACATCGCTGTGATCCCATTGGCTAGCCTGCGACGACCAAGCACCCATTTCGCCAAACACGCAGCACCGTGAGGTAGCCGGTCGTTGAAACTAACGCTGCGCGTCAGTTTCAACGACCGGCCACCTCATGGCGCTGCGTATCCATCAGCGCCAGTCAGCACGCCACAGCGAAAGTCAAAAGCCTCTCTTGTCTGTGTTCAATGTCCCGCTTTCCCTATCGTAAATTAGAAACCAACACGCTCAACCCCCTACAGCAAGATTGATGTACATGCTTTTGCATTCAAAACTCATAAGAAGTGCTTAGGTGTACCTCAATCTTTTTTTTCTCCATTTCCATCAGAAAAGCAATTTCTGAATCGTTTCAAGGTAATTACGCCGATGATTGTAGGATTCTGCTCGTACGCATGTGGCAAATGTTTCTAATTCCTTCTCGCGCGGCTCATTGGCAAGCGTTGACGCCGGTGGCCAGCCTCTAGAAAATGTCTCGCCAATAGCTCAAAAGATATTTACAGTTAATTCAGCGCAATGTGCCTTATACCCTATATCGCCATGCTCTGTTTCACCTTGCGATGGAACGCAAGCATGCCACGAGCCACCAAAGCCAATTCATAGCTCGGGGGGTGTCACACGTCCTTCCGGTTGGGTGCAGAGACTTGGGGAGTCCAAAGTCCCGAGACAAGCTACAGACTACGGATTGGCTCGTGTAGCTCGTAGCGTCCGTCGCGGTACATTGTAAGGTGAAACCGAGCAGTTTGACTCAGCGCTGCAAAGTCGTGGGCTAGAGAGAGGAAAGCCACTTTTGAACGAATTTCAAAGCTCCTCCTCTCCAATAGACCGATCTCGCAGCTAGTTTGAGTACGCCACCGCTGCCGACATGCATCGTGGGAGCTGGAGTCTTTCTGCACGCGCAACAGCCCTGCTGGAGGTCTGCGCGAGCAGATCAGGAGGCGGCACGAGCTGACTCGTGAACTGGCGTCTGCCTCCTACGAACTAGTTATGGCGGCGTCACGCATGCGTGGAACGCTTGGTGAGATCGGTCTATTGCTTAGGCTACGCTCTCGCCCCTGCACCTTTAACACTGTGCTCAACTAGCGAGACAGAGTATAGTCTCCTAATCCCGAATCAAAACATGTACCGTATTTACTCACATAATGAACGCACTCCCCACAACAGGTACCAATTTTTGAACTTTTTTTTTTTTTCCTCCCGTGTAATGAACGCACCTCCAAATTTTTGGTTCCGCAAGTCTCGTATTGCATCCAACTAAGCTAGCCACTAAGCCCACCAATAATAATTGGGGTTGTGTGGATATTTATACAGCGTGTAGTTGGTCACCCATTTCAAAGTTGCGACGAGTCACTCGCTGTAGATGACCAATTTATCCGGGGCAGTGCAACCGCTAGCCTGGGGTCTTGAACTTGCACCACGCAGTAGTGATACGTGACCGCACGCCGGTACGATACTCATCCAGATCGAAATGGGTAGGGATGAAGATTGAACCCAGGATCCCTGGGTTCTGCAGAGCGAGCTTTTGCTCCACATGACTCGAGATGGTGTGCACGAGCCCACTCGCCCACCGGTCCCCCTACGCTCACCAAGCCAATTTTCTTTTTCCGCCAAGCGGTCAGGCCAAGTCAAGCCAAGCCAAGCCTCTCTCCTATTGGCTGCAAGTGCGCAGTTGCGGAAGTGATCAACTATGAAACCGAATGGCGCGCACACTTGATGATGCTTGGGTCGAAGAACTGCCCAGCCCTGCACATTCTTCGCCTATCGGATGCATTGATGTTAACAAACATACTGTCGTCTGTGGTCCGCTTTCGGACAGTGACATCGTGAAAGGTGTTAGGCCTAAGGATGGTCGCGTTTCTCTCAGTACCGAGCGAGCTTCGTAAAGCGCTTCTCCTTCGGCACAAGGCACGCCGAAAGCGCCCTGAAAAGGTGTGCAATTTATAAAGCATGGTTACTGTGACGCGCCCCCAACTAGCCGCGGGTGCGCCCCCATCAGTGGAGACATGCCACAGCACCTTGGCGTGTCATATCGCACCCAATATGACATTTGAACAAAAAACGTTTTACCCCGCATAATAAATGCACCCCCCCAAACATATGCAAATTTTTCAGGGAGAAAAGTGTGTTCGTTAGGCGAGTAAATATGGTAACCATTCTAATAACTGCCTCATCTCATCTTGACGAACTTGGCAGTCCCTCAACAATGTCGGAGCGCTTTGGGAGCACGAAGGGCGTGGGTCGAAGGGCAAAGGGGTGGGCACCTCGTAACACTCGCAGTAGTTCTTCAGGCAGCCAGAGCGCTTGCAGTTGCAGCCCTTGGTGTGTCGACGTTCGTGGTCTCCTTCCTTGCCCTTGCCTGGGGGACAACGGGAGGAACATCCTTAAATAAAAGCATCCGAGATCGAGTCACGGCTTTCTTTGCGAGCCGTACTTTACACCGGCGGTTCTCAAACTGTGGTCAGGGGAGACCGCAAGGTTCCTAAACTAATGTAAAAGGAAAGGATCTACCGGCGTCCCGTGCATTTCGGTCACATCGAAACGGCAGAGTGTAGACGCGGATATCGGTGTTCCCGTCAGGCCCTTATTGCCGGCGACGCTCAAATATACGCGGAGGAGGCAACACATTGAACCCAAGATCTGTCCCTACTGTAAGCACCCGCACCTCAATAGCGTAACATTCATAAATTACGCGAAGGACACATTTTCGCATATTGCTGACCTAAAGAGGAGCCCATCCTCCAGTTTTACATCACTGTCTGTAAATTTCCAGCGGGCGCTTGCTCAGGATTTTACTGTAGTTGCTCTCTTGCTTTATTTTTCGCAAAAACACCGACGTCGAGCATTGTACAAAAATAAATGATGTTGACAAGCACTTGCAAAACTCATTACAGCGAAACGAACATACCAAACTTTTCGTCCGCTTTCTTTCTCCCCTTTTCGATCACTCTCTTTCTCGTTCTATCTTCCGGGGTCACCTATGTCAGTGCTTACGACTTCCCTATATTTGCTCCCGTTTCTAGCTCCCTGGTGGCGACATAGGCAGAGGGTCCGCACTGATTTGAGGATCGCTCCACCAGAGACAGGCAAGGCAATGAGAGGCGTCGAACTCGTCGGGCTGAACATCTTCGCAGCTGCGATAGAGCTCTCATGAGTCACACTGCAGTCTTGCTGGTTTGTAGTTGTCACTGCATTTTTACTAAGGCCTTCGTTTGAGAAAGCACTCAAATATGTGTTGCTGTTCTCTCTTTCCACAGCAAGACCACTTTGTCAGGGCCCATCCACAAAATGGCAGAGACAACAACCGGGATTCACGATCAGCCCAAACGACGACTTCCAACTTCGTCCAATTTACGGTGGCGCAAGTTTCTCTATGCCTGCAACACGTTGTCATATAAACATATTCAACGGGGGTCCACAAATCATCCTCAAGGTTGCTGGGGCCCCTTAGAGATTCCAAGTTTAAGAAACACCACTCTAAACAAACCGAGACTGGCCTTAAAGGCCAACGTACACTTCGCGCTTTCCACTTTTGCCCGCCACCTCCTTTCTTAAATCCTCTCCCTGTTTTACCTTGCCCCAACCTGGCTTCCCCTTGCAGCTTAGGAGAGGGGAGCGCTAAGAGGATTATCTTCCCTGCAGAAAACCAAGGTTGTACGTCAGCCTTTAAACAAACACGTCCAAATGCACCTCCACTTCAGGGCACTGAGACTTGCCTATCTTTGGTCGGAATGCGTTGGGGTTCCTCTCCAAGCACGCCGAGATAGCCTTCTGCCTCTCCTCTTCATGTTCCAGGTTGTTAAAGCAGTTGTTGCAGTTGCAGCTGTGGCAGAACTCGCCATTTGCAAAGCAGTCGCAGTACCTGAACAAGGGAAGGGAAATGAACCCCTTAAGAAGCAACAGCTGGGTAAAACCATCCCCGTTCTGATTAGCTCAGATTTAGAGCAGCCTTCCCGCAGAGAGCTCATCTCAGTTGCATTTTTCCCAGTCGCAGAATAAGTCCAGCTGCTAAACATTCTCAGACTTTAAAAAGTTTCTGGCTTCTATCTTGACAACGCGGGAACATGCCGAAAATCCTTGCTTGCAGACGTGCGCTTCCAAGGCCACCAAACGGTCGATGAAGGCTGACCACTCAATGCAGCTTTTGGTTGCATCAATCTCGGATAGAGTGCAAACATATGCCGACATAAGGTGCACAGTCTAACGCGGCTTTGCTCAAGCTCACATTCTTCTCTTTCTATTCCCTTCCAACATTCTTTGTCTCTGTTATGACATCTCTGCTGATCTCCTTACCTAGAACAATTGGAAGACAACTAGCTAAGAGAGCTCATTTCTCTTTTGCAATTTAAAAAGGGGAGGTTTCCTTTAACGTATCCCTGAGATGTCACTCGAATTGGATAAGAAAAACAACCAATCAACATAAAAAAAAAACTAAATTTCTAGCATTTAAAGAAAAAAAAAAAGCTGGTGCATACGAAAAATTTTTACAATACAAATTTTGCTTTATGAATCCAGTGGACGTATTGTGAACCTCCATTTGCATATTTTTTCTGGGCAGTACTTGCAAATCGGGTCCCAAAACAGCTTGTTTCTGCCCCGTCCAACAGTATGTGGGCGAAGGCCACAAAGCTCGAGTCTCGATTCTAAAGCAGACAACGGAAGTGGGAAGCGGCAGTGGCAGCAGCACTCACAACTTGAGGCACTGAGATTTGGTGCAGTTGCAGGGCTTCCGCGGCCTGGAGTTGTCCTCGCTAGACGTCCTGCAGAGAAGCGGAAAGGCAAGGGTCGTCTCTTGAGGTGCTTTAAAAGGGGCACTAAACTGTTTTCTGGTGTCGTCTAATTATGGCCATAACTCAATCTGCAGGCCCTAAGCATTCTAAAAAAAAAAGACCAGGGTTAAATTGAAACACTCTCGATTTTCCTATTTAATACAAGATCAAAGATAGCGACACGTCCATCTTTCTGCAATTCGGCGTTGTTCAGTCCCCTTTGCCACACGGGAAGCGATTGCTCGGGATTAACCGCCGTAAATCCCACAACACCCTCTGGTTTCTGCGCCGAATCGCAGAAAAAAGGACTCGTCGCAATCTCTGATCCCATTTTTAATAGAGAATTCGGACGCGTATCAATCTAATCTCGGGTTTTCTAGAATGTGTGGAGCCTACAAACTGAATTACGGCCGTAAATAGACAATTTCAGAAACCACCTAAGTGCCCTTTTAATGCGCATGTGTTTGATTCGTCGTCCCGCGAGGCGTCTGTGTTTCCATTTATCGTAGAAATAATGAAGCGTTTTAGTTGGCACGAGTTTGCACAGGGCTACAAAAGAACTCGGGCAAAACTAATACCTTTGGGGCAGTAATCTATGCCTTATTGTTGAAACTGTGCATGATGCGACACCACAAGGGCAGAGATCCGCCGAAGAAAAACCTTGTTTTAGGGCACCCGGTGCTGTGACGACGCATTAGGAAAGGAGCGCTAACTATACATTCCCCAGTCCTATTTGCCACTTTGTGGTACTCTACTTTGTGGTAGACTGGATACCGCGCAGGCCGATGCACAGGATCTGGCTGGGTTGGTAGGAATTTTACTTAAAAAAATTATAGTATCCGGCCATCGATGCAATCTTCAAATCGGTAACGTCCCAGACCGTTGCCACTCCCAAGTCCCGAAGAACAGCGCCCCCTTTGACAAACTAATAATTTCTCTCCAAGTTCGGGAAATCTGAAACAAAGAAAAATCCCAACGAGCAGGTTTTCAAGTTGCGTCCCCTTTGAACATGCGCCGCTGCACGTACGCTCGCACATAAATTTCAAGACAAATTATACAGTCGCCGACAGATTTTTCAAACACCAGTAATTCAGACTTACTAGAAATTTCGGACTTAAAGGAGGAATTGTGACCCACCCGACAGAAATAGTGCATATCCACGACTGATGTTTCGGACGGCTTGAAGTTTGAAAGCTAAATTTTTCGGAAAAAATCGTCGCGAGCGATCAGCTGGAAACACCAACGAGAAGCGGCCATTTTGGATTCTTCGTTGGCTTGGTTTGGCAGCACTACTTGAGTACTGCTAAGTCCTCTTGCTAGGTACCGCTGTACAGCATTTCTTTTTTCTTTAGCTGCACGTCATTTTCATCATTTTGCTTTGTTCATTTACCATTTTTCTTTGTTCATTTGCCATTGTAGTCGTGGACTTGCGCCTCTCATCTCGATCTCGTCTCGGTGAATCCTGTTTTCGGACTGCGCTGGCTTGTACGTCACTGTCCCATCTGTTCTTCTGCCGCCGCAATGTGTCGGTAAGCAGCGCAGAAAGTACTTGACCATAACGCTAGAAAAGACGGCAGCAATCCTCAAGCTAATGGAAAGTTACAATGCAATTAATGTAAAGGTGCACGCGAGTTGGACAAGAAGGATGAAAATAATCCTTGGAGAAGGGGAACAAGGGGGACAAAGGACAAACCAGGCGGTTTCTTTCGGTTGCGCACCATTCACATAGCTGTGTTCGGAGATTTGTGTTTGTCCTTTGTTCCCCTTGTTCCTCTTTTCCAGGGATAATTTTTGCAAACGGAGGCGTAACACCGAAACAAGGCACGCAGGCATAACCTGAAGCAAGGCACTATTTATGGCTTTCTTAAGCCCGCATACAAAAGTAATAAATTCAAATTTTTTTGATCTGCCAATTTTTCGGATTGCTCTATTATTTTAATATTTTTTTTGGTTCTTGCGAAGTACAAAAAATCGATCAGCGACTGTAATAGGGACATACCGGTGACGCTCGAGTGAGCCTCGAGGAGCCATTCAAAGGGCGCCGAAACTACGGCGCCTGCAGCGCCATCTTTGGCTGGTGCGTTTACCGCATCTCAAATGGTGGTCCCTCAATTTTCGCCTGGTGACGTCATGAAAGTGTCATGCGGTTGCCGGTTGCGATCCTGGTTGTGTCCCAGCAGCGGTTGTGCATGTGGCAGAAGCCCATTCCACAGCAGGTCGCTCTCCAGTGTGGCGGTCCACGGAAGCTACAGCAGCCGACGACGGCGACACTCCCGTTCGCTCGTGCTTTTTGCCGGAACTTTCACGACCAACCTCCAGGATCACGAGCTCCTACAGCGCGACACTCCGGCTTTTCCGACGTAATTTGTTGCCGCTTTGGGACAACCTTCAATGAACCGGCGGTACGGGGCGCTAATCGCACCACTTGCAGAAACTCTCCGGGCGCCGTACCGTAGCACATACCCGTTGACTTGTGCCTTGTGGACGTGCAGGGAGTCCGGCGGCTTCTGGTCGGGGCCGGCCTGGGCCGACACGCTGGCCGTGGTGGGGGCGGCGGCCGCGATGGGCACGAACCCGCCTTGGGACCCCACCGCGGAGGAACCCAGCAGGCCGGGAGAGGACTGCAACAGCACCCGCGAGGACCCCGGCCCCGCCCCGGCCGCCGACACACTCGACACCCCGCTCGTCATTCCCGACTGGGACGTCTGCTGGAACTGGGGGGCAGAGTGGTGGCGATCACCAACCCGCTGCTGCAAACTCTTTGGTGCGAAGATTCGCGGGAAAATAATGCGAGTGGCTAGATGCAGCGCCCCAGTTGAGATCCCCCGAAGCAAAGGGGTTAGCCCTAAATCCAAATCCAAATGGTGTGGAGTTTTGCGGCACGGAACTTCGCTTTGCCCGAAGAGTTGACGACCTTATAGACGCGTTTGCGCATTCGTACCGCGCTAGCGTTTGCCGCGTTGGTGGTATGAAAACATTTTACGGGGACCAATTGCCGTAACTGTGCTTGTGACATGCGGGTCTTCCGCTTTATGGTGGATGGCAGAATAATGTCAATCACTCAATTTAAGAAAAGGTGGACCATTCTTTTTTTTTTGGCACACCTCAAAACAAGATTAAAAAGACACGTTGGAAAAACCATGCACACATCCTCGAGAAAGAGGATAGACCAACAACGAAGGTCCTAAGACGATGCGTGGGTCGCCACGCAACAGTTGGCGTAGGCACAAACCAACTTGGAAAAGCACAGGCTTGCTTTTCCCTGTTTGCGAGTCGCAACAAATTCCATTAAACGTAGTGGAGAGATGCCACCCGCCAAATCTAGAGAAGCACTGCTGCTGCAATTTTGTCTGTCACGCCTCTTCGATACATTTTACGACGAAGCCCTAGCCCCTGAACGCGTTCCACGTAAATAAATACGACGGCCCCCGCCCGAGTCTGACGAACACGGCCGGGACGCGACCTCCCGACGGCGCCGCTCCCGAGGGTAGCTCACCTGCGCCACGTACTGGGCGGGCACCACCACGAAGGCATTCTGCACGGAGGTGCCCCCCGTGGAGAGGAGGGTGCCGGCAGGCAGGGTGCCCAGCTGGGCCGAGCTCAGGGAGGCTCCCGGCCGCACGGACCCCACCGAGGCCACCGTCGAGGCCGGGATCAGCACCCGCTGGGTCGAAGGGCCCGACCCGGAGGCGGCCTGCACGTTCGTGCAGGGCCCACACGGAGTGAGGTCCGTGTCGCGGCACGAGACGCTAGACACGCCGCTCAAGGACACATCCTGGCCGCGGCAGCGTAACTCGGCAAACGGCGAGAGCCACGACCTCGGGAGATGTTGTGAGCGTCGAAGAGAGGCTCGTGAAGACGCGCCGTCGGAGTGCGCGCCTCTTGCGAAGAGCTGTCGTGTGCTTTGCTCCGTCACTCCAACTCGCTCGCGGGATATGTGGCGCTCGCCCTTCGTCAAGCAATGCTCAACACCACCGCGAGAATTGAAATGAAAGAATGTTCGGCCCCTCAAAAAGTGTGACTACGGTAGACTCGCGATAATTTAAACTCTGATATTTTATACTCCGGTTAATTCAAATGAATTAAAAAGTTTTGGTTGTCCCGCTATGTGTTCAATGCATTTACAAGCTGCTTAATTTAAGCAGCGTTTTCACTTCTTACTATTTGTTCATGGGGGTGGGTTAACCCCATTGAGCACGCTTCTCACCGAGCACCTGTGAACTGCGGGAAAGCATTTCAGAAGTGCTATGAAGCTCGCAGTCATTGCTTTTCTGCAGTATGCGGGTACTCAGTGAGAAGTGCGCTCAATGGGACTAACCCACCACGCTTATGCAAGCCGAGCTGCCCTGACAATCTGCTTTCATTATTTGTGCTGTTTTTTTATTTTTTTGAGAGGGTTAAATTTGAGATTACAGAAAGAATATTTGCGCATAGTGAACAGATTTATAAATACCCTTGATTAGAATAGCTGAGCGTCTCTTTAGATATAATTTTATCTGTCATTTCCATGCCACCCGAACGTAGGCATTGGCCTTTTTGAGGCCACAGCTCATAGGTATGGTTATATTAAGACTAACCGAGCTCAGAAGTAAACAAGTTGAAGGTTAGGGACAACATTCACGAGTTCAGAATTTTCGTTTAAGCAAAGTACAACGGTAGAAAAAGGCTTGGCAAAACTAGTCAATATTTTACTAGAAAATATTTGGCTAAAACCACTATTTACTTCAAACTTCAGCAATGCTTTATGTTTGCGCCAGCTTATGAATACCGTATTTACACGATTCTAAGCACACCCCCCAGTTATCCACTCAGAAAGGTAAAACAAAAGTTTCCACGCGAATGTAAGCACCCCTTTTCTGAGCGCAATGCAAAATCCAAGCGCGGCGCACCGCTGTTCCTCAGTGGAAGAAGAGACCGCGATCGCCGAGCTGTTGCAGACGTTGATCGCTGGAAATAAGTTTCAACGTCACTGGAAAGATAGCAATGGCATGAACCGCGCGCTCGCAAGCCGTGCAAGTAGGCGAGCTTGCTTGTTCTTTCTCCTTTTGTTCGCGAGGGGCGTTGGCTGCGTGGGCACGGCATCAGGAAGCCATCTTTGTTTCGTTTCGGTGGCTTCTGACCAGTCTTTGATCAGTCTCGCCTCAGCGTAAGTGCTAAGAGAACTTCCTATATGTTCAAGTTCAAAAGAACAATGATACAGTTTGCGGAGGAGAATGGAACTCACAGTGCTGCCGAGAATTTCGGTGTGGACGGGTCCTGCGTGATTCGATCGAGAAAGAAGCCGGAGCCTATTTTGAAGAGTGCGTCGTGGTCAAGTCCTTTAAGAAAAGTGTTGTATAACAAACAGTCTTGACGATCTGAGGACGACCTCTTTTGGGACACGGAGAGCAACCAAAGGAGCAGCAGCTCGGACGGATGCACCGAGGACCCGTTGTCGAGTGAAAGTGATTGAGTGAAGCGTGCTGCATGGTGTGTTGTGAGCTGTGACGGCAAATAGAGTGACAATCTCACCCCTTGTAGTATCTTCCGTGTTTTATTTTACCTTTTATTTTAGTTAATAAAAGATATATTTCTTTGCTGAAAGTTTGTAACATTAAGTGTCCTTCGAAAAAAAAGGGATGCTCAGTATTGAGTAAATATGGTAGTTTTGTGTAGAGGAAAGTGTAAAAAATGTGCTTGGTATACGTAGCCATTCATATTGCAAATTGCTACTTTGCCGCACATCATATTCAGATGAAAACCTGATATTCAAACTTCTGATATTTCAAACTAAAGTCTGTGGCTTCTTGGAGTTTGATTTGATGAGAGCTGACTGTACTTTTCACCCCTTGTGCGGCGAGTTCAAACTGCTCGCACATTGCATATTTAATACTAGTATTGGTCGCTCACTATTTTACCAAAACAAGCACATTTCAAATGTGAAAAGCATAGTGTTTTTTTTCTTTAGATAATTAAACCTTGTAAGAACTACTACTTAATGCAGCATATGAAGTATGCACAAAACTTGTTTTTTTCTTTTCTAGAAGTGCAGACGAGTCTAGTCTACAACACTGCTAAGTTGACTCGGGCACCGGCAGAGCGGCCGTTAGGTTAAAGCGAGTAGGCAGGCAAGCTGGTTAAGGATAGACATGGTAACCCTGCAGCGATGGGACAAAAAGGGACAAACAAACACGTTCGTTCCTTTTTGTCCTCTCCCTCCAGGGTTACCGTGGCTGTCACAAGGTTTCTTTTCCACGGCATTTTTCGGTTAAAATAGGGGGATGCGACTCCCACACCATGTCTATGATACAATGGTGCACTGAAAAATTTGAGCCTCGTTAAACAGATCCAGAATTCTAGAACATAGAAGAAAAAAATTAAAACATCTACTTGCAATCTTTGGTCTAGGCTAAAAACTGTGCGGGCACGGATTGTCCCTCACCTGCGTCTGCGAGGGAGTGGCCGGTGCGATGGGAACCGCCAGCCTCAGGTTTGCATTGAGGGCTCCCGTCGCGGAGCTGGTAACTGGTCCGGGGGCAACGAAGGGCCTTGTGGAGGTCAGCGGGATGAGCGTGGGCACTTTGGTGGTCCCTGTCACAAGAATAGCAACGTGCACGTGTCACAATTGGCACTCTGGTACATGTACAAAAGGTTCCCCACTTCCTCTTAAATGTGCAGAATCACAATTCAATGAAAGCCAACTCGTATCTCGTGACCTTTTGAAGCTGAAGCGGGGGAGTAGAATTGGCCACCCACAACACTCGTGTCGTCGACCAACCGTGCGTGTTTGGACATGTTGCGTGTCACCCGACACGACCCTTCCCTCGCCTCAGTTTGTGCCTTTTCCATGTCTTCGCGAGAAAGTAGAGGTAGGAGGGGACGACGGGGCGATGCTTCAGAAAGGAGACAAGGCTGCATTTCTCATAAATGCTGTAGACTCATCTCATCAGCCAGTCTAGCTAGGCCATCCCAGTGGCCACACGTCGTGGGAACTTTACTCTTTTTCGATGGTGGAAGTGACATTTGAGCATTTGTAGCAGTTTTTGTAGAGTGCAAAATGCTGGTTTGGAGCAGCCACTGATGCTTTTGGAGCAGACGCCAACATCCGTAACCACATCATTTGAAGAAGAAAAACAACATCACTGAATGAGTATCTTTCCTCAAAATTGAGGGTTCCTCTTTGATACTAAAGCATATTACTTACGACTCTCATTAATTCAAACTTGCGGATAACTCAAACTAACATGCAGGTCCCATCCTATGCATCTCTATGAGAGGAAACTTTAAGTAATTCAAACTTTGCTTTATTGAAACAAATTTTTGGCCCCCCTCGAGTTTGAATTAACAAGATTCGACTGTACCTCATTTAATTAAAATGTATAAAACGCAGAAGAAACGCGAAACATTCTGTTTAGAAATACGTCTGAGATCAGAGCAGGTTTTTGTTTTTATTAATAAGTATTAAAAAATGACTGAACATTAATCACAGCACAACACTTCGGTTTACCTACCATCTAAGTATAATTTCCGTAATATGGTGGCAAAAAACAGCACACCCGCTAAAATGTGTCCCCCTAAGCTTTATCTACCTACCAATCAAGATTCTAATATTATTAAATGCTGAAACCACCACCTCCAAATATTATGGAAACCTACAGCTGACACCGCGTATTAGCGGCGTTGGGGTCAGAGTTAAGTGAGAGTTTGCTGCCCTTTCACCTTGTCCACTGTATTTACCCAAATATAGATCCGCATTTTCTTTTTTCCTTTCTCAGCAGTTTTTTTTTTTTTTTTTTTTTAACTAGAGATTAATTTATAATTACGACCAGAGGAGGCCGACTTGTGATAGCACCGAGCATAATTTCTAAACCCATCGCGCTACCCTGGTCACTCCCCCACGTTAGCCGCTCCTCCTAGCACACCGGTGCGAAGCGGTGAAGCTCGACGCACACCCGACAGCACAAAACAATAAAGGCTGACGTGAGGCGCAAGTGCCACTGCACACTCTAGCCACGGCATGTATGTGGCAGACACGATAATCGAGTGATCTCGTGAGGAGTAAAAGACCCTGGTTCTGTCTCATCACAGTACTTGCCATACCAGTATTTTTCTAATTTTTATCGCAACTTTTAAGCTTTTGACACCACCAATATCGTCTGGAACTTCAGACGATGACATGGCCAGCGCGGCTGAAAAGCAATCTCTATACTTTGTTTTACCTTGATTCAAAAAGCCGTAAAATACGTATCTATACAGTATAGACCACTTACAACGTAACCGCTTATAGTGCGGGACCGGGTAAAACGCGGCTTTTTTAAACCACCGGTTCGCCTCCCGTAGAACTCCATGTATTTACATACCGCTTAAAATGCAGGCGCGCGAAGGGAGATACCGGTTATAGTGCGGTTTCTCGAACAGCCCGGCGGCCGTGCCGACTGACCGACGCAGCGAGCACGCTTCCCTGTGCGGCGCTAGATAACGGCGCGAGCCGCAAGCGGCACCCGCGGGGCAAGGAGGATGTTCGAAGAAGCGGGAAGATACGAAGAGAGAGACTTCAGTTGCCATAGCGACGGAGAAACGCACGCACATGTCGTTCACGTGCGTGCGTCTCTCCGCTGCCTCCGCTGCGACGGTTGGAAACAACCGCAACGACAGACCAATCGCAGGTCGAGGAGAAGTGTTCGCGCGCGTTATGGCCGGTCGCGGGCCGGCTGCTTTGTGATCGTCGACGTGGTAGACGGCGTGGTGGAGCTCATCGTTCCACGTAAAAGCGCTATCCTTGACTGTAGATTTTCGTTGTGTGTCGCTATGATAACCCAGCACGTACTAGAAGGGAACATCCACCTACTCGTGCGGCGATGTTGTGGCGGCACTCTCGAGACGGCAGAAACGCCCGTGTCGTCGTGTTTGTTTACCTCGACTACAGTGGTGCTTTCTAAGCATTTGTGTTTTCGAATATCGCCCGGATTTCTTATTTGGAGCATTTCATGCGTGTGCTCAAGTTTAAGGTATTACTGGCGCGTACCGTATAAAGGATACGAATTTTCACGCGTTTTCATCGCCGGAGAAAAGTGATTAGGGTTAGCAATCCTGAACGCTCGCAACGTCCGTCCGCAACCCGCGACGCCGCTAAAAGGCTCCGCCAGGCAAAAGTCGCTCATTTCTTTCAAAATGTGTGACACACTTGAGAGAGAAGTGTACTAGTCTGGTGAAATAAAGACTTTCCTCAAACTAAGCTTTATTTTTCATCTAACATAAAATAAATTCTTTTTTCAAAGGTAAGTTGTCTCATGGCATGTATTTTGGCCTGAAAAATTGATGTTTTGGTTATAGCGCGGTACCGCTTATAGTGCGGATTTTCGCGACTCCCGCGACATACGTTATATGCGGTCTACACTGTACCATTTTCCTTCCCTTCACCTCTGAATATTAGGGTCGACCAATATTGACATATATATTTCTTTGTTCACTGCACAATTTGGTGCAAATGACGCAGCACTTCCATCACTGCTTTTTGCCCGCACAATAATCCTGCTACGGGTCTATGCGAGCAGAGCACGAGACGGCATGAGCTATCTCGTGCACTGGCGACCGCCTACCGTGGACTACGGTTATGGTGACATCACGCATGCGTGGAACGCATAGTGAAACCAGTCTACTCTGCAAGCGACGGTCCAATTGACAGATCAAAATACGGACGCAAATCTTTTTTGTTCCGCAATAATCCCTGATACCACGTAGCTTCCCTCCCTAATCTCAGCTTAGAGCAATCGCTTCGTTGCCAAACGACTCTCCCCTCCTTCTTCGGGCGTCACGTCTCACCGGAAGAAGTGGTGCTCGAGCCGGAGGGTGCGCTGACGAGGCGCACGTAGTGGAACTTGCTCCCGGGCACCTGCACCACGGTGCCCGAGCTCCTCGTCACCGTCACCATGGTGGCCGCACCCGTCACCGTGGGCGTCGCGCCGCCGGAGCTCTGCACCACAGTTGCGGTGGTGCCCAACTTGGAGGCGGTCTGGAACGAAGAAAAAAAAATGCAAATATGGATGGCAGAAAATCGCAACCCGAAGAAACCTTTAATGTCCAACCGAGCCCCAATCGGGAACCTAATGTTCTGAGGCCTGCTCTGCCTCTTCTTCAAGGGTGACTGTTGCGATGGCCGTTGAGGAGGAGCATCTTCGTTTTCGTCTCCTTTATGCGTCGGTTTTTTGAGTTGAAGTCAAATTTGGGGGTTTTACGTGCCAAACCCCGGCAAAGAACCACGGGTTAATAACGACCACCTGAGGACCTTTTGATTAGCAACCGAAATCTCGGTTACGCGTCGCCTTCTCCGCAATAAGCCTCTGTCAAATAGCGGGCATGTTGGCCGGGATTTGAACACACCCACAGAGATCCGTAGGCTGGCGCTTTACCTCGGAGCCACCAAGGCGACCTTCTTTCTCGAGCTTGCAATGTTGTTAGGTCATAGATTTTCCAGTGTTCATTTATAAAAAGAGATCGGAAAATGTTTTTCTGTTTGTTCAAACATCGGCGTATTTCGGCGATCCGTTTAAAGGGCAACTCCGGTCCATACTTTCGATTTTGGGATTATGGCTGTTTTTAGTGCAGTTAGCGCCCCTGAATTGCAAGGCGCAATTTTTTTCTCGTTATTGTGCGTAGTTTTAAAGATATCGACGTCTCAAAGTTTCGTTTGGGGCGCGGCCGACAAAACCGAAACTAGCCGCTCGAGGTTCCGGCAACACTGGAAATCAGCCGTTATGTGGACGTGACGCCAAGATCGTTCTCGTTCAGCGAGTACGCAGTCCAAGTGGCACCTACCTCTGTTGCGCTAGCCGTCTAAAGATAGAAGGTAAGCTGATTTTGTTTTAATTCTGTATACGTGGTAGTTATCCAGCATATGTAGCAAGAGTTAGTGCGTATACCCAAAAGCTAGCGACTGGAAAACCCGTCAACTCGTTCAATGGCGTACTCGGCGGCCGCCGCCGCGCGTGCGCTATGCCGTGCCGTACTCGTTGCTTGTATACCCAAAAGCTAGCGACTGGAAAACGAGTGAACTCGTTCGGTGCCGTACTCGGCAGCTGTCGGCGTGCGTGCGGTCTCCCGCACTCGTCGCTAGGCCTAAATTGTCATCGGAGCTCCGTGGATGGAGCGGTGTTGCTCTACGCCGCGCTGCCAGTGACGTACAGTGCTGGCGCTTTCGCGCGGCGGGTCAGTCCCAGACACGAAGCTTTGAGGCTCTCCGGCGCGTTCCGCGACAACCGAACAGACGTGTGTCAAGATGTAGACGTCCGTTTTTTCGTTATTTTTTCCTCGGGCGCGTAAAAGCCGAATTTGTAAGCTACGACACTAATTCACCACATAAGTTCGTCCAGGTAATGAATCTTTGTACAAATAAAAAAAAACTTGCTGCACTAAAAAAAAAAAAAAGTTCTTTGGGCGGTCATTTTCTTCTCAAAGCTAGCAAAAGTTTTTGTGGGTGATAAAGGAAAACAGAGAATGTTAGCAAGGTGAGAACACTTTCTTTCCCTTCCGCATTCCCACCCCCACCCACAACAATTTTGTTTTATTAGAATACATAGGATTTTAAGTTTTCCTTCGTAACTTTTGACTAAAGCAAGTGTTTTTTTTGTTTTTTTTGCATTTTTAAATATTATATTTACCTCCAGCCGAACTCGGGCAAATTAGAGAGTTGTAACTTACAAATCCAAACTTTCGCGATTTCTTTAAAGTCCCTTGTGGTATTCACAAGCGCAATGTTAATTAATACTGCTGCGTAACGGGTTCGAACGATTGGGAGGCGAATGTTTATATCGCATGAGCTTCACGCGCCGGCTGTTCGCTAGTAGTCGCTACGGACCTGAATACTATGCACGAGATTGCGTAGTAAACAAGCAGTGACGCAAAGCAGAACATTGTTTTCGTTTTCATTACAAACTTCAGTGTTTGGAGCTAGTTAGTGGTTGTACTCTACATGCCCACCATTCCCCATTCAACAGACATTCAATGGAGCGTGAATGCTCAATCTTCAACACTGCACTTGACAATGACTGTTTTATTTATTGATCAGGATACTTTCATCATGTTTACCTTTTCTGTACATGTACGATGGGCAAAGAGCGACGGCACGGCATCCTTTTTAAGCCTCGACCCCTTCGCTGACAAGCCACAAGCAACCAACACCTGCAGGTTTCGTTCGTAACTCTCCGGCGAAAAATGATCGGAGCAGAGCTTCGATCTGGGGGTCGACGTCCAAGGCTTTTCAAAGTCCACTCATCGAACAGCGTTCACCCACACCTTCTCCAATTTCCGATCCGTTGGAAACTTGTGAAAAAGCACCTCCGGGTTGCGCAGCGGCTTGTTTGAGCAGCCCACAGCGCTTTAAGTTGTACTCGGCATCTTTCGAGGAACAGTTGGGCAGTCTTGGGTGCACCGAGTTTCTCGCTAAAACGAGTCTAGGAGTCCTCACAAGCAAATAAACAAAAGGCTATACCGAAGCTACACGGGCTACAGGTAAAAGCAACGGCTTAACACGCAATTACAAGCCGAAGTAGCGGTGGTAGCGGCACAGAGAAGCGCGCGCGACGGCTGCGCCGTGCGCCCGACCGGAAGAGAGGAAAAAAAGAGAACGATGTTGACATCACGGCCCAATGTTGCTTTAGCGATCGGCAATCCGCTGGCCGCCCGCTAAGGAGCAGCGGCTCGCGGCAGGTCGCGTTTTTATTATCGGTATTAGTTGAGAATGTGGCGTCCCACGGACAGGAAATTTTGGCTGGGGTCGTATTTTGTGTCACTAAAGCGATACCAGTAATTTAATTCATTTTGAGTTTTGGCCGGAGTTGCCCTTTAAAAGAGACGCCATAAACAATGACTGTCGGCAAAAAAAAGAAGAAAAAAAAAAGGAAGGCGTCTACAATTCTCTGTAATGCCGAATTAGAGCGCAGCTCTTGAGGAGGGGGAGAAGAGGGGACGGTATACTTGTGTGATTTCAGGAAGGTGACTTCACTTGTGACCCTTGTGACCCTCGTGACGCCGCTCGTGACCCTCGTGGTATCACACATGACCCTCGTAACGTCACGAATCACTGGTGAGCCTTGTGACGTCAGTCATGGCCCTCGTGGCCCCACTGGTGACGTCACTGGTAACCCTCAAGACGTCACAAGGGTCACGAATGACGTCACTATTAACCCTTGTGACGTCACTCGTCACCCTCGTGACGTCACTGGTGGCCCTCGTGACATCACTGGTGGCTCTCGTGACGTCACCGGAGGCCCTCGTGACGTCACTGGTGACCCTCGTAGCCCTCGTCACCCTTGTAACGTCACGTTTGACGTCACTCGAGGCCCCCGTGACGTGACGTCACGCAGTTACGCTGACTGCGACGCCGCTCAACCCAGAAACGGGCACCCAAGAGCTGCGCTCTAAAATAGTCTAACTAAAAACTAGAAGTCTAAGAGGAGAGGGTTTCGACAAAAACAGTCCTAGCTGGGCAAGATTCCCAAAATCACCGGCCTTTATGGTTTTCGACCAATTTTGTATATTTTACGTTAACAGATGTTAATCGGTTCTCTTCGGTTTCAACTGATGAAGCGCTTTTCACGCTGACAATGTTTGTTTGCCTTTTCCGGTTAAAACCAGAGTTTATGGCCTACCTACAATGGCCGACAAGATGAGAACCGTGGGACGTCTCTTTCAAACACCAAACCTCCAGCACATGCATGCTCGAGGCTTACGAGGCGTTGAAGCGTCATCGAAGATGGGAAGCTCCCACTGGACGCGGGACAACCGCAGCTCCTCCCTGCCAACGAGGCACGAGCAAGGCCCACAGAATTTACTTTTCTCGTAAAAAAAAAAATTGATTTTCGGCGAGTACTTACGCCGCAAAACATTTCGCAAATGTTCTTGCATGCAGGGCACTAGATGTAGCAAAACTTCGACGTGAAGCCGTAAACGGCAGGTTTGACCGACTTAGCTATGGCGAGGTTTAACCGTATTTTGGTCTACTTCTACCATTCAAACAATGTTAGAGAGGCATTCTCGAATTCAGAAAGATGCTCAAGGGCAGCTCGGTAACATCCAAGTTGTGGTTTTTGTTAATGGCGGATGGCGAACCGCTACGCATCGTTTTTGGAATGAACGGAACTTAGTGGGGTCGTCTCTTAGCTCATCAATTATTGTACTTCGGTTTTCTGACAAAAATCGGATTCTTCCGCGATTTACTTTGCAAAGCTGGTGCTCCGCTCGGAGACACCTGTTGACGAACAAAGAGAGTGGCGACACACGATCTTCGACGACCGTATACTCGACGTCGACACTATCGTGCCACGTCGTCGAGGTTAGCCCAAGTTTCCACGGTGCCGCACTGCCGCGCAAGCACGCAACTTCGTCTCGAGTCTCATTCACGTGTGCTTTCTTTTTTGCGCGAAGGAGACACCAAAAAAAGCCACGTGCTTCTACGAGTAGCTCCGACGACGTTGGAGCGCGGCCGAAAGTACCTATGCCATGGTTCGTTGCAGGTAGAGACAACCGGAATCCTCTCCCACAAAGCTCTCTTCTTGCCCACGACTGCCATTTCCTTCCCCTCCTCTCCGGCATTCGCTCGGCTAACGTGGGAAGAGCGACGGGATTTTTGGAGGGAGCTTGCCATGCTTTTCTCGAAGTACATTCGCTCGCTCGCGTTTTCTTACGACCAAGTTCTTGCAAACTCTTACGACGAGGAAACACGCTGGCCCTATCTACAATGCGACCCTGGAACTGCATTCCACTAGGCCGAAGGCTTTGTAGTATTTGTGACATCAAAAGCACGCACTTTATATAAAAATGGTAATTTATAACATTTAAAGAATGTTTTGAGCCAGAAAAAAAAAAAAAAGGAAATATTTCATGACTACCCAACAGATGGCGCCGCGCATTTTCTCGTCGCAAGAGATCCCAAGAAGTTTTAAGGCGCCCTGTTGCAAGCAGTCGCAAACAACCGAACTCCTGCGCCTTAACGAAGGGGAACTAAACGGTCGATGCCTCGTAGCTTCCGCGAGTGTGCGGTCGAACAGACTGCGGCCATTCTCACCATGGGGCGCACCAGCATCTTGGCGGGGACCACGGAGGAGAGCGGAACGGTGGCACGGGTGGTGGCGGTGGCCGTGGCGGTGGTCGCCGTAGCCCCACTGGCGGTGGCAAACACCAGCCTGGCCGTGGGGCCCAGGGTGGCCCCACTGGGGATCAGGGCGCTTACCGAGGGCGCCGGGGCAATGCGCTGGGGGGACTTGCCCACCGAGATGGGGATCATGGCCACCTTGCCACCCAGCTTCATGGGGGACACCACATACATCCCCTGCGGAAGGAAGAAATCGACGACGGCTCGATCGTGCCGCCAAAAGACGAGGGAGCGCGGAATGCGTTGTGCATAAGCGGGGAACATGCTACGTATGACATTGTAAGACCACGTGGCTGCGACGTCGCAATCCTTCGCAACGGATTTTTGTGATCGTCTTCTCATAGTGATGTTGCGCGCCAAAGTGATGTCGCGTCGCGGTCCTTCGCGACGGTCTTCTCATGGAGTTTGGCCGATGAAACACATTCCACGTTAAAAAGAAGGGGGAGTGCAAAACAACTAGGCACCGAAGACAACAGGTCAAGATTGGCCGACACCACCTATCTGCGGTGAATGCCACGCACTGCTCCGCATGTCAGGCTGCTGGTTCATGGTGATGCATTATCTTAGAAACAAGCGCTCCATTTATTGTTTCATATTCAGGGTGTCTAGCAAATTATTATATTGAAATTCCCTGACTTTTTCAGGTTTTCCCCGACAATTTCAGGTGAAATTCCATGACCACTGTAGAGGCGGTTAAATATATAAGACCGTTACAACACAAGGCATCGAGCACTGTGAGGATCATTTTGCACGGGCTTAATCCAACTTGCATATTCCGAAATATTCTGGTTCATCGAGTCCGGATTAAACGAGCACCTTCTTGCCGCCGACATCGTCAGTGAAGAGGCCACTTCTGGAAACACGATGAAAACACGACGCTCAACCACACACGTCAATAACCAAATGGCAGCATAATCGCGAGATGCACACTTTCGGATACTTTCGGCTTCAGGCTTAAATTGGATTGGGGTCTGCGGCTTTTCCATTTGTTACTAAATATAGTAGCTCTAACTGGACCTAGCCTAGTGTAGCACCCTCAATCCAGTTCAATTCAAGGCTTGGACTGGATTTCTCGACTCTTCCCTTTCCATCAGGTAGTACACTCTACATCGGGTGAGCAGAGCCCGCACACCACTCTAAGCAGAATTTATTGCCTATTTTTGCGCCACCCAACTCCTCAAGTCTTCGCTCAGGGCACTCGATGGTGTTTCCGGCTCATTTTTCCTGACTGGGCTCGCTTTTTGACAATATCCCTGACAATTCCCCGATTTTTCCCGGTAATTAAAGTTTCCCTGACAATTCCCGGTTTTCCCAGTCACTAAACACCCTTAAATTGTTCAGTTTCAAAAAAAAAAAAAAATTTTTTTATTGACAAACATTTTGTGTATTGCTCAAAATCATACAAGTAAAAAAAAAAAAAAAAAAAAAAGAAAACATTAAAGGGTTTTTAAGAACTTTTAAGGACTTGTAAAGGTGTTTTCAAGGACCCCTTCCACTACTCTATCTAGCAAGTTTATAATCTAACAAGTTGAAATGCGCCGCAAAAATTCTTTGTTGCACGATATCTAGGAAAGGGCACATTTGCCAAAGAGGTGCTAGAAAAGGGTTCAGTAGAGCTGCAACAGCTTTTCCTTGATTTCCTAGTTGGTGTTTAGAAGTTCTTTCATCTTTGTTTTCACCGTTTTTTAAAGCCGGGGTCACACTACTCCGATATCATAAAAAAGACAGTCTGCAAACACAAGTAACCGCAATATCTGCGGTTTGAATGCTGCGTGCCAAGTTGTTTTCATTGAACTCATTGCCATGCGGCATTCGAAGCATGGATTTTGCGGCGACTCACATTCGAATTTGTATGCAGGCTGCCTTTTCTATGACGTATTAGCAGTGTGACCCCGGCTTCAGGCAGTTTGACTTGACAATATAGGTGAGGTCAACTGTTACCTCTGCTTTCTTGGTGTCTGTCGTCGTCCTGACCCAGCCACGACTGCTGAAAGTTGCACTTTCCGGACATCGCACACTACTTAAACTATATCCACAGTGAGTAGCGTAAAACAGACGCAGAACAAGCGAATCAGGAGTAGCTAGCAAACAGTATGCGACAGAACAGGGTGAACGAGGGGCAAGATTGCAAGATGGTGGATGTGCGACACCGGATCCGGAACCACCGGGATGCTAAAAAATGTGCCATAGAAGGAACCTTCCTCGTTGAAATTCATGTTAACATACACAAAAAAAATGTAATTACTGTAAAACCCTTTATTTTTGCGGCCCCTATTTTTCGCGAGTCGGTCACTGATTACATAATAGCGACCACTAAATTTCGCGAATTCCAGACGCCTGCATTGAAAATCTTCAGGACCGAAATTTTCGCGCGCCTTTAAATTTCGCGGATTCTTCAATTCGTGAAATTCGCGAAAATTGAGGGCTCGCGAACATTAAGGGTTTTACAGTATTACAAAAAAAAAAAAAAGAAAGAAAAAAAGCCTGCCTATTATTGGGAATATAGCGATTTTCAAGTAACGCTAGAAATTCCGGGCCTTTCAAGGTCTAGAAACTAGAGTTTTCGAATTCAAAAATTTTGAAGGTTTTCAAAAACCCGTGCAAACACTGCCTTTAGTGTTCAATTTTTTCTTTTCTTTTTGCCGAGTGCAAGGTAGAACTATGAGCCATCTGCACCAATCCCATGCATCTATATTAAGCAAATGGTGTGAGGTTTACTGCAGGTGGGCGGCTTATCAATACTACCAACCTACCACCATGCAAAAAACTGCGATAACTCATTCAAACCTTGCTCTCAAAAGCTTACCGGGACCATGCAGGATATTTAGCGCACTGGCTGACGTTCCGCTACTCTAGCTCATATTGCCACCCATGTACACTGTGCTCCTACACAAGTATAATTTCTTGCTGCAAAAGACCGCTTAATCCAAACCGATCTCCCTATGGATGAGGACAAGACTTGGGGATGGAAAACAAGCCAATTTCTTAACACCGAAACAATAAAAAGCAACGTGATTTTGTGGCAAAAGTTGAGCCCTGAAAACATGTCCCCTTAGTCTCTAAAGGATTGTTGACACTTGCGTCGGTCACTTCCACAGCAACCCAAACAGCAATGACTATGATACCAGGACAACCATGACTCAGAGTTTCTTCCCAAAACTCTTCCCTGGATTGCTTGCCATGCTGAGCGTGGGAAATGGTTGTCCTGGTAAATTTGTAGTGGCAGTCGATCTGAATACAACCAGTGTGAATGTCTGGACTAGGCTTTAGAAAAAGAACTCAAGAAACTAAGCACATACAGGTATTTGTGTTACTCACTGAGCATCAGATGCATCACTGCACATCAGACGCACTGTTCATCAGACTACTGTTCCTTAGCCTTACCATATCACTCAATCTGTATCCCACTCATTGTGCATCAGATTCACTGTGCATCAGACTCATTGTACATCAGTTAACAAGCAAGAAAAAACCAAGCAAATGATTTAAAAAGGTCCACCAAATGTCAGAAACCAAGACGACGCACCTTGGCGGCCGAGCCGATGCTGCCGGGGGCAGCCACCCTGACCAGCTGCTGGCCTGCCCGCATGAGGGCGCCACCCGAGCCGCGGGTGGGACTGGACAGCAACAGGGTGGTGGGCTGTGCCCCGGCCACGGCCCCCTGCCCCACGGCCGTGCCCACCAGCTGGAGGGTGGCCCCCACGGGCCCCACGATCTGGGGGTGCCCGCCCCCGGCCGGGTTGATCACCACCTTGGTCAGCCCGCCGGGGCCGGCCGCCACCCCGGAGGCCAGGCTGGTGGGCGTCAGCTGCAGCTGGCGCCGAACCGGCAACCCCGGAGGATGGATGACCCGAATGTCCGCCCGCTTGGGGGATCCCAGGTTATTGGGGGACGCCGGCAGGGGCTTCTGGACCACCAGCACCTGCACGTCCCACAAACGTGGCGGTTCGTCTCGTTTGCAACCGACCCTCATTTCAAGGAGCCTCGCCGCTCTTCATCTCGTGTGCTGCCTGGAACGTGTCTTCGACTGGCGTGTTCGGCATCCTATAACACGCATGCGTCGAACGTGGTCCCCTAGTGGCAGAAAACGACGTCGCAGGAGCCGGCACGTCACGTCCCGATCTTGGTGGTTGGTCGCGAGAGTGCCGGCAATAAAGGAAAGCGAATGCCAGTGTCGCCGTCGTCGTGGTTTACGACTCCTGGCTGCCGAAGCTACTGTGGACAGTCGAGCTGGAAAGCGACCCAGAGCAGAATGAGCGTCTGTCTCATTCACCTCCGCCGGTATGCCACCACCAGATTGCGAAAGGCAGCAGCATGATGCTTCTACATCATCGGGTGAAAATCGAGGGATCACATTTGAGGACGCCATAAACACACCAGTCGGAGACATGTTCCAGGCATGACAGTTCATACGAACGGCATGCACCAATCCCCACGACGTGCAAGAGCACCGTTTTGTCTTCCGTGAACCAGTTGTAGCAAGAACTCTTATGTAGAGAGTATGGAAGGGCAACCATTTGTATCCCATGCTATGCGACTTGTAATGTAATGCAATGCAGTTTGCCTCAGGCACCTCTCCAAACTGGCAAGCATGAACTAAAAAGAGTATGCGTTAAAATGGAGCGACGATTCAAGGACATGCACGAGATTCCCGTTGGCTTTCGCAGTGCGACATACCAGCTGTCACAAACCACACCGTTCCCATTTCTGCATCAAAGCAGGTTCGACGAACCTGCTGCCCCGGTTGAAGTGCCCTAAGCAGGATCCTTACTTTAGCCGGACGAAGAGGCAACGTCATTTAGGCCCCCCGGAAGAGCGGGTTAAACCAGTTTCCTCATAAGCGGTCACTCGCTATGCTGCGACATCCGAGGTGAGTGAAAAATGCCCAGCACGGACCTTTCTTTTAAACAACCAGGGAACGTAGAAATACCACCTGAATACACAAGGCCATGTGCTCTACATGAACACAGTTAAAATAATAACCTCCGTGCCTCCGACCTTCTCTATAACTCAAACCATAGAGCTGGTTTACAGATGTAATTGCCACTCGCCTGCAAGACAAAGATAATACCGCTCCAAGCACTTTTTTTTTGTACAAGAGGGCACAAGGTGAACTTTTTTCCAAGCCACAAGCTCACAATCATGGATGAACTAAATAAAAACCAAACGGGACCTTCTATGGTACCCAAATGATCTAAACATGCCGCAGACCCACAAACACCTCCTTGCCTGTGGCTGCACTTTGGCAGTAGCTCCCGCCGTCGTCTGCACAGTAGCCGAGGACGAGGCCGCCACTGTTGAGGCCGCCACAGTCACGGTCGCCACCTTCGAGGCTGCCACAGTCACGGTCGCCACCTTCGAGGCTGCCACAGTCACAGCCGCCACTGTCGAGGCTGCCACAGTCACTGCCGCCGCTGTCACGGCCGTTACCGTCACGACCTTGTTGGGATTAGTCAGCTCTGCCTTGATGACGATGGGGCTGCCGGGGGCTCGCGGGGAGGCACCCCCTGCCTTGCGCACATTCAGTTCGTCCTGGATCTTGCGCAGATTCTCCAGGTCACGGTTGTTGAAGCGCACGATGCGCGTGTCACAGTTGTCCGGCAGGTTGGCAGACGTCACCGCGGCCACCACGGTCGGCGCACTGGTCGCCGCCGTGGTGGCCGGGGCAGTGGTGGCGACGACAGTGACGGTGGCTTGCACGGGCGGCGTGTCGACGGTCGGTTGCTTCTCGGACTCGAGGGCGGTCGGTGTAGCCGGGGCTTCTGCCGTGGTGGCGGAAGGCGTGCCGACCGGGCACTCGGCCTCCGCAGGGTTTGCGCCAAGGGTTGCGGCGTGTTCGGTGCCTGAAGGACGAGGTCATCGTTAATTTACGAAACAAAGTCAGAAAAGAACCGCATACTGCACACACATCACGTTAGATATGAAAATCAGTTTGGCACAACCAAAAGCGATAGCACTATGCTTCGTTTCATCTTAAGGCTGGTTCACATATTTGCGTAGGAGTGTGAATGGCGGCGATGGACCCATTGGTGACTGCTTACAATGAGAGGACACACTGCCAGCATCCGTCGGGTAGAACACTTTCCATCTCCATATATATTTAGGCATGTGCAAATAGTGGCACAAATCATATAGCACTGTATCATTCACGTCACTCGAAGGGCAAGAGTAATCGGCGACACGCCAGTTCCCTTTAATTTCTCGACGCCGAGAATGACGCGGCACAATCTGATTCGAACCAGTACCTGCAGACCCCTGCACATATTATGGATGATTCTTTCACTGTGCACTCGAAATACTCCCAAAAATGTCATAAGCAACAGTTTCTCATTGATAGCGCATAGATTTGATCACGCAAATACCGAGAAACCTTGGGTTATTCGCGGGTTGGAAGTGATCTGGGGCTACTCGATAGGTGGCGCCGGCATGAAAGTGCTTTCTCTAAAGAGCCTGGATTGAAGAAAGAGCCCATCGGAGATCACAGAGCGCGCTTGGAATTCAATGGCGAACGCCTCCTGTGGAGACTTGTCACGAGTGCACATCCCGTGTGCTTTCATGCGGCGAGGAGGAAAGCAGGCGGAAACGTTTGCAGACAATCTATGTTTTCGGCTTCTCCTCCCAGCTCGTATTGCAAACGCAGCCCATCAACCGCGTGACCCCGATCGAGCAGTTGGGAACTCTTTGTAATGCAGGCTCGAGCAGTTGGGAACTCTTTGTAATACAGGCTTTTTTTGCCCAATCCCCTGAAGGTCATCCTGACATCCCACACTGCCTGGTGACAGTTAGGGGGAGAAAATTGGTCTTAAAAGGGCGGGAGGAATCATATGTTTGCTTTTTTAGACTTAGCCTAGGTGGTGCAAGCCACCACCCGTTACAAAAGGTATAGCCATTTATATCCATCCATCCATCCATCTCATATACTGAAGACTTTGCAGTCATTGAAGTCATGTTCATGTCATTTCTTTTGGGGCTTTCATATCTGCTAACTATTATCTAGTGCAATATCTGCGAGCCTTCTCTCCAGGACCTTCAAAAAATCAATAACCAATCAACTGCTGTTGCAGAAACAAGCCTAAAAATTTACGGCCAGTGAAACAAATTGTTTTCGTGACATCATGAAGATATCTTGTTGGCAGTCTCGCAAACATTGTTGACAACTGTACCTTGGAACAGTATTTATTCTGCTGCACACAACTTGACAAGGCAAGTTGACGAAGTCCACCGTCCGTGAGCATAAATAGAACACCAGGCAAGCGGCTCTCATAGGTGTTTAAAGAGGACACCTATATGGGGGGCACTTTCAGGTGGCCATAGCTGAGCCTGCAGTTGCCGAGCACGAGCTGACGCCGAGCTTCCACAGTGCTTTTGAATTGTGCCTTCCACACCATTGAGAATGTGAATCTTAGGAGCCTATAGGTTTGAACTGATTCTGGGCATGCACAATGAACAGCCCAATAAAATAGGGTGCCCAGTGAATACCGCCTATCAGATATATCACTGTTCTTCGTTGTGACTTACAGCTTATCTAGAACGACAAATTTGTCGGTGCAAAAACAATACCATAAAAGATTACTGTTACCATGCACTCAGCGCTGCAGGGCAATAGAAGCTACGTCCGACTAAAACTAGGTCAGAACGAAACCTACAGAGACCACCAAGTCAGGCAATCCATGTGAAAGCTACAAAGCCCAGCACTAGTCAAGGGATTAAGCTGACAGCACAGACTCCAGAATTATACAATGCTACAGTCATGTCAAGCAATATTTTTGCACTTCTCCGAGATGCAAACAAGTCCTGGCATACCGCGAGGAACTGTCCTTTGGCAACAACACAGAAACAGCTGCATCAGCAGTCAACAGGTGAAGAAAGCGTCGCATTTATTTACACTTAAAAATTCCAGGCATTTCGAATTCCTGCTTATCAAGAAAGACTCCAACGGGCCTTTTACATCGCGCGAGCTGATTACCCTAAACGAGGCGAGAGGAAAATTATTTCGGTTATAAGTCGGCTTTCTGGAGGGAGGGAGGAAACAATTATCAACATTCGCGTTTCTTCGAATACGCGGCCACGCAGTAGCTCGTGGAGGCGTCAACCTGCGCGCGGTGGACGCGCAAGACTCCGACGCGAAGCGGTATTTCCAAAAATGGAAGTGTCGTTTCTGCTGTTGTTTTTCTCTTAAGACGAAGAAGGAGCAAACCTCGGAAGAGACCGTAGTGCTGTGCTCGGGGGGAAAAAAATAAAAGCGAGCTTCCGCGACGACGTTTCTGTGGACTAGCCCCGAAGCGTCGCGCTGTCTTCAGCTCACCGGTGAAGCTCGCAAGATGCCGACGGGGAATCGCCTTTCGCATAAACGCGGCACGGAACAGGAGCCTCGTTAAGGATCACACGCCGAGATCGCTATTAAAAATCTGATCGGACTTCGTTTCACGTCGTACGTGCGTACGTACCTTCCTAGTTCGCGGCGATGCATGCAAGTGCAGGACCGCGGAGCAAAACGCGAGACGGACAAACGCTCACGTTTTTCCGGCGTAGATCGATCCAGAAAAAAATAAAGCGGGCAGCTCGCGATACCAGCCGGCAATGTCAAGGTCTATCCCCCAAAAAAGATCGAAGTGTGGCGGTCAATTTAAGAAACGCGGAAGTGCTGTCCCGTAGTAAAGCTTCGGAGAGTTCCAGAGGGCATACGAGCTCCCGTGTAGAGCAACCGAAGAAAACGCAACAGCTCTCGCTAGCCTCGAAAAAAAAATTTTTTTTTTCGCAAAAGAAATTAATAAATATGCGAGTGTATTTTCGGGGCATTCGGTTGGTTGATTTCGGGCAGAAAACCACAGAGTCGCGGCGTTTTCAGCGCAAAATCGGCATCTAGGCCTAATCGTAGAGCGAAGCCGAGGAGATGACCTCGGCACGGATTTTGCTCGATTTCCGAGCATCGCACGGCGAAAAACGCACTAAAACGCGAACCTCGCGAGCATTTGAGATCGCAAAACACGTCACGCACCCGCGACATAAGCGCAAAATACGCCTACGAAGCGCAGAAACGCTGTTTTGCCCTAAGCTCAGCGCGTACGCGGGCGCCTGCCCCAAGTGCCACGAAGACGCAAATCGCCCAGTTTATTCTCAAATGACGCGCCATTTGCCGAATACGAAGACAGGGAAATTTGAAACTACAAAACGTGTGCGGCCACCCCCACGATTGATCTTGGCGTGGGCTTCACCGACAACGTTACGCGAGTGAAACATGCCGCGGATAGGGGTCAATCGAGGATCTGTAACGTGGATATCAGCTAAAAGTTGGCTCGCATTTTACGGGGCTAGCGATGCCAGCCTCCCCTCAATATTGACGCCTTCGCCACGCGTGGACGAAAATGTTCACAACGTTTACGGGCATCCATAACCTCAGTTTGTGCGGAAACGCGCGAGAAATCTTTTCCGTGAAGTAAACCCGTCCAAAGAGTGGAGTGAATGTGGTTTACCTGATTTTTGTGAAAGCATCCTGCAAGCTTCAAAATCACGCGCCCTCCATTACCATCCCATAATGCATCGGGATTTCCTTCAGCTCCGCGAAGAGCAAGTAGGACAAGGTAGGCGGGGTCTTTGAAGTTGAGCCTATTTCCTTTCTTGATCGCTTATATTTCATGCTAATAATCCACCGAACGACACCGAAATAAAAAAATCTCTCGCTTATAGACAGAGCCTTTCAAGGAAATCAAAAGAAAAACGCTTTTACAACTGCGTTTTCCCCGTCACAAGCGGAATTAGTCATCCAGTAAATAAAGCTAAAAAAAAGTGTAAACACGCGGTACGCTTATACCTTATACCTCGATTGTGACGCATGGCCAGTTATAAAGAAAAAAAAAGTAAAATAATTTAACTTATCTCCACAATCTTTCAGGTTTCACTTATTTTTAACTAGATTACAGTCATATAGAATGCCTTGGGTCTAAAACTGACTGAAATCGGGTACATTTTTATTGTATTTACGACCGCTTCGGATCGAGGTATTCGGTAGCCGCACGCACGACGCTTTGGAGGCTTTGGTGGGAGAAATGGCTGCAGCAGGATTTCGACAGCAGCTCGCAAATTTGGCGATCACCGGAGGATCGCCGAAAGACCAGGCAGAAAGGTGAACGGGAACGGAAGAAAGTCGCACTCAAAGCACGATCACAAGTTGTAGTCTAGCGCAAGTGCTGAATGTCAGTCCTTTAGCAATGCCGCAGCTTTGATTACAGTATGAGCAGTGTTGAACATCAACTACGACTGCATTTGAAGCAGTGCAGTTAATAGAAATGACATTTAAAAATTATATATATATAAGTCGAGGAATCTTTAGAATGTGCCCAATATTTCCCCTCGTTAATTTTCAGTCTGAAAACACTATTATATGTGCCGCATGTGCGACTGATGAAGGAAGGCTTGCAGAAATCCAGCTCCGCTGCAGTATCCAGACTGCACGTTGCAGTGCCCGTGTTCACAGCGTCATGTGGTGCGCTGTCGCTACAAGAACAGGTCCCCGCCCTCGTGTCGCTTACAGGTATAGGGCCGTGCTCGAGAGCATTCTGAAAGGTACCTCAGAAGACCTCATCGAAGGCTTGAAGGTGTTCGTCGAAGCAAGTAAGTGGCTGTCGTCGAAGCATTCGTTTTGTGATGTGTCAAGTTTGCATTTTCTCTCTAGGTAGTAAAATATTGTTGCTCCCACATCATAATTCTTGGAGAGTATACTTTCCCCTTCCTGCTATGTGCCTCATATCTGGTTTCTTCACTGCTTCTGTTTGTATGGAACGCCAACAGGAAGGCATCTGTTACTTTTTTCTTCTGTTGTATGTATTTTGTTTTGTCTGTAGCCTTAAATTTCCGTACGTGTGACCTCTGATACAATCTATCAAGAGTTTATTGTAGGTGTCATAGTAGGAAAACCAAGAATATGAGGGGTGAACAGCCAGTCTGGCTAACTTACATACATTCTTCAATGTCCATTGCTTATACTCATGCACACATATCCTCGTTTGACCTATCCAAGCTTCGACGCACTTTAAATTAGAACAGAGCATCGAAATGCTGGGTGTCTACCACCGGGATTTCACTTGGGAAATGGCAGATGGAGTGACACTTGGCACGCCCCGGCACAAGGTTGGGATTAATTTCAATCACCTATTGTCGTCGGTGGTAGGTTAAGAACGAAGTGGAAGCTTCTCTCACCTTTTTCCACTTTAGCAGAGCGAACGCTTTAGAGGAGGTCGCCTCCTCTCCAGCATTCGGTGTGCTAAAGTGGTAAGAGGTGCGAGGAGCTTGCACTTTGTTCTTGACCTGCCACCGACAATAGGGACATTTTACATGGTATTGAATTTGCAGTTAGTTTTTTTGTCTAACCTTTGGTTACTGCAGAGGTAACCCTAACTGTCTTGGGGGTTACATGTGGACCCCCATAGAATACTTTCTTTACAGAACAAAAAGCAGGGCATACAAAAAAAGGAAGCCGAATGCACAAAGACCCAAAAGCATTACATAAGCATATTGTGAGAATGTAATCCAACTAATCGTCGCCACCAAACATTTTGCTTATCAGACTGTAGCCAGAATCATTACACTGGTCTATCAAATGGAAGCGCACGCTCACTAGCGCTGGTACCTGGATAACGGCAGGCCAGGATTAAATCTCTTGCTCTGTACCTGTCTGCTTTGCCTGATCATCCTCACAATATTTTTTTTTTTTTTTTTTCTGGTTCAATTCTAGTTAATTTTATTGTCTTTGACATTGTTACGTTCCTGGGCAAACTGGCGACGGAGTCCATGTTTTGAATGCTCACGTGCACTCCTGGTTTTCGGCAGTTGTGAACGAGAACGTGAGCCTGGTGATCTCCCGTCAACTGCTGACGGATGTGGGGAACCACCTTAACACCCTGCCGGATGACGTCTCCAAGCTGGTGTCCCACTTCACCCTGGACAAGGTGCAGCCCAGGGTGGTCTCCTTCGAAGAGCAGGCAAGTGAACGTAGCCACGGAGTCGTGGTCATCACCACCTTAATTTCGCAGTGTGCCGTCAAACAATGTCTACAAAATGTAGGGAAAAAACAAAACAAAAAAAAACAACATTCCAGTGCAATGTTGATTGTTTAGCCTCCACCGAAACGTAGCACTAGCGGCCGAAACAAGGTGCCAAAGTTTCAGAACTAGCCGTTGTCTCATTAAAGAGTCATGAGTAATTTTCTGGAAATTTCAACGAGAAAATGGTGGTCGGGAGCAGACTTGTACGTAATCCGTTACAAGTAAGGGCCCCTTCACACTCTTGCGACCGAGTGAGACCGAGAGAGACGAGACCGGTTTTCAAGCCTCTTGCGATCTCTTAGGACCAGCTCCGCTACAGCACATCTGGTCCTGAGAAGTTGCAAAAGGCTTAAAAACCGGTCTGGTCTCTCTCGGTCTTAATCGGTCGCAAGAGTGTGAACGGACCGTAACGAAATTACTTGTAATCCCTTACAGTTATCAGTAATTTAGTAGCGGAATAATTAAATATTTTCTAGAGTAATTTTAAAGTAATTCCCTTACATTTTTTACGTAACGGATTCCTTGTAATCTGTTATTTTTTGGGGGGGTCCAAACCCCCCCCCCCTCCCTTTCTATAGGAAGGGTTGTTTTTATTTTGGTAAAGTCGAGCGCAGTGACACTCACGCGCAAATGAAGACTTGGCACCCTTCAGTTCCGCAAAGCCTTTTTTGTTTGCAACACCAAGCCCCTAAATTTATTTTTTTTAGACCCTAACAACAATGTCGAAAAACCCAAATAAACATTTCTACAAAAAGAAAAAAAAAGGGGGGCACGTTATATCCACTTTTTTAGTCCTGTCCTTTTTTTTTTTTTTGTGATCGAAAACGGGGAGAGGAGGACGCGAAGTGATTGCGTACCTCTTCGAGAAACTCTAGACGGTAAGTGCACAGACAAGAATTAAGAATGGCCTTCTCGTTTATGATGACTACGACCATTTTCATTATGTCACAACACCAGACAACGCTCCGTATACCCTACAAACCACTAAAGGAGATGTGATAATATGTGAAGGTGCTATTGCCACAAGCATCCTTGTTCGTTGCTGCACACTTATCATCTTCCCGAAAACAGGATGTATTTTTTTCTGTTTCTTTCACCTTATTTTACCCTGTTTTAAAAGCTACCTATTTTTTTGTAGTCCAACTTCTAGAGTTGGCCCTCATTATTTGTGAATTCCAGCCAGGTTATCTGCACCTTAGTCACCCCTTTTGTGAGTCAGCTTTTTGCGAGCACTTTGAAAATGGTAATAGTCTTCCTTTCTTCTTCCTGTTTTTCCCCCAGCAGGATGCACCTTATCTGAATCAGATATTGTTACAAATAAACATAATGGTGGCTGACGTAGACTTGATATTCTGGGCTCGGGGAGAGTGTGAAATTCGAGAGTGGAGCCGTAGCGCGGCTTACTTAGTACTCTGCCCTTGGCGGCCCGTGGCATCAGCGAACGTCTCTCTGGAGAACACCGGGGTAAACTGCAGTCGATTTGTGCTTCTTGCGTTTTTGAACGGCACCAAGAAAGGTACACACGGCAAACGTGCATTTACATGGAATTGTTTTAACCGACGTTCTAATTAATTGTTGTTATGAGTGTCGTTTGTTTTTTCGATTACTTATATTTATTTATTGGAAACTTTTTTTTTATTCACCAACGTCTCAACCGAGGTTCGACCTGTTCAGAACCAAAGGAAGAAGAATATCGAGCCAAACCTTATTTACTATTTAATTATCACCTTACTGTTACAACTATGTTTTGCTATTGTCTGGCAATATATGCCGGTATAGTAAGATGGACATAAATCAATTCTTATTCTAGTTTTCGCTAGATATATGCAGTCTTGGGTAAGTTACTTTTAAAAAGTAATTCGTTACAGTTACAGTTACTTTCAGAAAAAAGTAGCGAAGTTACCGTTACAGTTACCGAAACAAAAATGTAACTCGTTACAGTTACAGTTACTTCTAAAAAGTAACGACGTTACTTTTCAGTTACTTTTCTATGACATAAAAATTAGGAAAAACTAGAAAACGCTTTTCAACAAGTTTCTTTGCATAAAAAAAGTATGCTTTTGACTTCATATTGTAACTTAGCAGCAGTTGCTTTTCAAAATTAGTGTCTGAAAGTTCCCCTGATTTGATAATGAACACGTCCCTGCCCTTGCTGAACAGGCGCTCGTCTGACACGCTGGGTGGGATTGCTGTGTTGTCTCGCCGAAACAGGTTTTTGATTCTGGGGTAGGCGTTGATGCAACAAAGTGCCGTTTTCTGCGTTCAAGTTGTTAGTAACCACCTCCACCACAACGAAATACACTCTGTTCGCCGGCCATGGTAGTTCTTTGTTCTTATCAACATTCATATCCTTGGTAGCACTAGCATATTGCTGGCTCGTTGACAATCGCGCTGGGTTCATAGAGTCCCTGGGCATATTTAAGTTCGTACCCGGCAAGCCAGAAACAACCCCCGCGCAAAGAGCAGTAAATTTTGTCTCGACTGCTGACACTAACTACACCGGAGTAGTGGCGCAAATCAAAATACGAAACATGCGCAGTGCGGAGTGGTGGCGCTAATCAAGATACGAAACATTCGCAGTGCCCTCCGCGTGTATTGTTGTTTCACGCTTGATTCACAAAAATAAAAGGCGTCTTTGCAGAAAAAAAGGAAAACCGCAAGAGAGGTAGTTCTTCAAGATACTAAGATGCAAGTGTTTAGTCGCAAAGTACAAGCGCGTGCTAAAAACAACTGCTCTTTTTTTAACCAAATCTACCCGTGGCTATATTCAGGTCGTGAATGCCGACAAAGAATGTATTCACAAGTTTGTGCAAAATATAACGTGACACTCGAAATGTCGGAACAGACAATTTGGAAAGCACAAAGAATGGGTAAATTGTTCAGTGATATATTATTCATAAAAAAACTGGAAAGTAACGACGAAAGTAACGTCGTTACTTTCAACGTTACCTCTGAAAAAAGTAATAGAACTACCGTTACAAGTTACAGTTTTAAAAAGTAACTCGTTACAGTTACAAGTTACCAAAAAAGTAACGAAGTTACAGTAACGCGTTACTAGTAACGCGTTACTACCCAAGACTGGATATATGATGACTTCTACAGCTTTGCGATTTCAAGAATGGAGAATTTTAGTCGATCGGTCCGATGACTCCGTTAACGATAGCCGATACTATTCCGCCGAATGTGCGCAAATGGAACAGGTTGCAACAATAAGAACTTGAATAACCCTCTTCCGTTTGTTTCTTAATTTAAGACAATATTGTTGAAAGTAATGCAACGAAAGTAACGGATTACTTTTTGGGGTAACGGTCCCTTACTTTCATGGAAGGGGAATTGTAATTGTAATAAATTATGATTTATCCTTAAGTAATTGTAAATGTAATTCCTTACTATTTTTCAGTAACGTGTACAAGTCTGGTCGGGAGCCCTTGAATGCATGGAGCTGAACGATGCGTGATGCCAGTTACCAAGAACGGACCCCATTTTCCCCATTGAAATTTTTAGAAAATTACTTATAACTTTTGAATAAGAAAACAGTCAGTTCTGAAACTGTGGCATCTGGTGTGGACTGCTAGCACGACATTTGGGCGGAGAATGAATGTTCAGCAATACATGGTTTATTTTTGCAATAAAAAAATATATATTTTTTTTGTTTTTTTTTTTTTTTGTTTTTTTTTGGTTTAAAAACGTTTTTGAAGGTTAGTACTGAAGCTTAGGCTACCTGGGAAAAAATGTTTTCAAATGGTGAGGACAGCACATACAACAGACGAAAAGACAGTGAGTGTGCAGGCAAGCTGGTGGTAGTTGATCACGTTGTGTAAAACTCAGTGCTGTGGGTTTCACGCAATGAAACACAAAATAAAGGAGCACATACAGACAGCACTGGAAGGGACTGAATTGTTAGTGGAAAGACAGCCCTCTGAAAAATGTACACTGCCTAAGGTATGAGCTTGGTTTGTAGTATGTACTGACATGTATCTGGCAATACTGACCATGTTCTTTCTTGGTTTGGCACATAATCCTTGATATTTCATTCTTGAATTTTTTTTTTGGAAGTCTGGGTTTGGGTGGTTGGAACTTGCTTTTGCCTTCTGTTTCTTGTATTGCAGCTTTTCTAAGAGGCTCCAATGGTACTGCAATAGTTGTAGGTTTAAACGATGAAAGAACCCCGCATAGTCTGACTTGGAACCTACCCTTTGAATTTCACAATGACGTGGCCATCTTCCTCAGGTTGCCAGCATTCGTCAACATCTAGCCGAGATTTATGTGAAGGAGCAGAGCTGGAGAGAGGCTGCCAGTGTCCTGGTTGGAATTCCCCTGGAAACTGGACAAAAGTGAGTTGGACAAAGCACTGCATAGTACTGGGTTTGTCCTGTACTGGGAAGTGTTTGGAAGTCTTCAGCTCATTGATAAACCATGTGTTGCAGGGCTCCTAAACTTTGCTGGAATGTAGCCCCATCAGGAAAGGCAGTATATAAAGGTTTCAGCTGAATAGGTTGCCTAAATCAAAAGTTTAAAGTGATTTCTTAAAACTTTTGTATGAAACACCGTTCTCTGTCGGTTGCAGGCATACATACATACATATATATTTATTCCTGATCAACATTTTACAGAAAAATAATGCTGGCCCACAAAAACAGCATTCTGCTTGTGTATGGGAACAGGCAACCAACTAAAATGCACATTAGAAAATTTAAAAAGCCATGACGAAAAAGAAACATCTCTTAACAACAAAAAAAGATGCCACCCAAGAACATTGTTGTTAATGCAATAGAACAAAACATAGTTATGGAAACACCTCAGATCAGAAAAGGAAACACTTTATATATAAAAAAAAAAAAAAAAATCAGAAAGGAAACACTTTATATATCAAAAAAAGAAAACATTTTACACAAACAAACAAAATGTGGTTCATACGCCATGAAATAAACAAAGCCTCTAGGTAAAGAAACTGCAATGGCTACGACTCACAGGTCTGGTACCATTTCTTCAGTTTTCTCTCGGCACTCTTTTGCATTTCACATTTATTTGAGTCTCTGGAAGTTCAATAAAAAGAGAAGGAATGTAATGATTTTTTTCATTTTCCATACAGTATGTATATTTTTAGAATTACAAACTTTTCAGTGCATCTCAAGTCTCTTTTCTTAATAACAGCAATTTTAAAGCTAGAACTGTAACAATTACTTTTCATGCAGATATCTAACACATAATTTGTTTTCTTCTTTAGTTTTCAAGGATGAAGTTCTGTATGCTACTATTTTGTTGACCATTTGTCTTAATATTCTATCTATAGTTCTTGTCGTGGAATGCAAAACAGTGTTCATATAGTGTAATGCCATAGCACAATGTAGATTCCGCTAAAGCTTTAAACATAAACAGGGTTATTTTTAAGCTACAGGCCCTTTTTTATTTTATATAAGTACTATGCACAAATAATGCATACCATAGAATACCGCGCATCCGCCCATTTCACATTAAAGTGATGACCGGACAAGTGGCCATCGCCCATGTTTTTTATGATTATCTCCGAAGCTTGAGTGGGTGCTTGCCTGGTATTTTACGGTATTTTTTTTTTTTGTTATAAATTCGACAATTTTACCCTAGCACGTGCTTGTCTACATACATACCTAAATATTTTATTAAACTAACATATGGTAGAGATTCAGAATTGTAACTTCCGCATTGTATCGAATGAAGAAAAAATGTTTGGTGTCAATACAATTAGTTTGTGTGGATTTCTAAATCACATATATGTTGATTCTTGTAACATTTACAGAAATAGAATTAGCTGCGTAAACCATCTCGTTAACATATCAATCTGTCTTTTTGAAAAACGGAGACTGCATCATCGTAGTTTTCATGTGGTAATAATAATACAGTGTCATCTGTGTATTGAAATACTTTAGACTCTAGAGAAAGAAATCCCAATTAATTTAAATGAATATTAAATAAAGCGGACCCCAGAGTAGTTACCACCTTGTGGAACGCCGAAAGGGACTCGAATAGTGCTATTCATGTTGTTCATATTATTAACCATCTGATACCTGTCTGTGAAATAGTCCTAAAAGATTTGATGGTACCGACACCTAAACCCCATTTTGTCTGGTTTTCCTAGCATTGAAGAGTGATCAGTGGTATCGAAGACCTTTGAAAAGTCAATGAAAAGAGCTGCCGCCACTGGCAAAGTTTGTCGTATACAGCCGAGGCACAAGTGCTCCTTGCTGCAGACTAATTTCCTGCTGTCTAATCTTCCACACAACAAACTTAACTGACTTATCAGAATATCAATCACTACAATCACTAAACTACCCACATCAACCCCCGATCGCGCAGCGAAGAGGCATTCACCTACTGTAAATTGGCCTTTTCTAAAGCAGGCAGCGACTTGTGCCGCCCCTTGTCGTTCGGAATTGGCTTTCTAAACAGCTGCGCTGCTCTCATAGGAGTGGGTACGGTAGCACTGGCAGCGCTACCGTAGCCACAATGGAGAGTAGCAGCACGGCAGCATCGGCCACGCACCAGGCACGTGACCATAGTGCGCACACGACAGCTGCAGTGGACGGCGTAGCGAGGAGCAAAAATGGGCAGAAACGCACAATTGTGCCGACTGAGTCCTTTTTACAGATCTGTCCGGCACAAGGAGGGGGGCCCGTTTTTCTGTGCATCTCTACCGATTTCGCTTAGATTTTGGCATCGCATGTAGGGTCACAGATGTCGTTTCCTCGTCCGCATATTCTCGCTCCAAGATGAAACAATTTGGGACTCGGATCGAGCACGATTGGGGATCTCTGACCCTGCCAAAGATTGGCGCATCAGTCAAACAAATGTTTAGGCGGCATAAAATAAAGTTGCGGCTGCCCATGAAAATACTTTTGATATATATATATATATATACACTCGTTCGCAAGGGTCCTTTCAAATATGCTGACGCACGTGCAAAACAAGAAAGCACATGCGCTCAATGTGCACGCAAAGCGTAAAAAAACAAGCAAAAAGAAAATGTTTTTGAGCGGCGTCAGCAAAATGGTGATTAGTCAGTCAACGGCGTGCGCAGAATGGAAGCAAACAAATGTACACACAAGCGTGCACATTCTGTTTTGGCCCGGTTCAAATAATTTGTTAGTGACTATGTTGCTGCGTAGAGGCTTTCTACGCAGCAATGTTGTCACGTAGCGCCATCTAGACACAAGGTTGCACAATAACAGATGATTCTAACCCAAAACCAAGAATTTGCGACAGCGGAGGGGCACTGCAGCGGTGTCAACCATCGCTGCTAACTGTTGCTGCTGCCATAGTATTTCTGTCCTTTATGCTTGTCACTTGAGAGCGATAATTTTGTGTAAAAATCTATTACTTTTGACCTAGAAAATTTGTAATACCGGTCATTTCCGCATTGTGTTGCCGCACAATGGCTTCGTTAAACAGAAATATTTGTTAAGCAGGAATTGGTTGTAGTAGTAGGAAAGACACATTGAATACATAGCAGATTGGCCGGGACTTTATTTTTGCTTCTTTAAACGAGCGTTTTTGTAGTAGAGGCGTTCGTTATAAAGGAGCTTGACTGCTTATGCCGTCCTAGTAATAAAACAAATTGAATTGACTCGATCCCGGTTGCAGGCAGTACTCTGTGGACTACAAGCTGGAGACGTACCTGAAGATAGCACGCCTCTACCTGGAGGACGAGGATCCCGTCCAGGCGGAAGCCTACATCAACAGGGCCTCCCTGCTCCAGGCAGAGACCAAGAACGACCAGCTGCACATTTACTACAAGGTGCCGCACTTCTGGCATTCTTTTGGAAGCCACAGTTTGCAGTGGTTGGTGCTGACTCCTCAAGCCAACCACTGCACTCTAAAGCGAGGTAGCTCGCTTTAGAGTGCAGGCTCTCAAAATTCCCGAACTGAGACACTCCCTCTGGCACATACACTGCGTGAAACAGTTGGCACGCAGAGTCACCAGTTGTGCCACGCCATGACAGAAAAAACTGCCAATCGTAGTGATGGGGCGAAACTCCGGAGGATTTACAGTGACGCGCAGTTTTGTAATTTTAGAGACCTTTCAGCTATGAAACCAAGTCAAGAAAAGCTGGAAGTTTTGTCGTGCTGCCCTCTTTACATCCATTTACCCTGCAAAGAAGCTAACAAATTTATATTAATTGCACTGGTTCAAAAATTTTAGTATGCTTAGTTAGTCTGATTAAGTAGAAGGTTGGAGTTGTTTTGGGCTCAAATTAGTTGATCAGGCTGTTGCTGAGTCTCACTTAAATTGTGTCTTAGCTGTAGGAGGATGGTGTGTTCCTTAGGTACTCAAATCAAGTTTATGCGGGAAGGGGCACTGAGGCGAATATGCGGGACCAAGAATGTCCTAGAAGGGCATCCCGCCGAGTTCTGGGAAATTCATTTGGGGAGCCTGGGCTCTAATGTTTAAAGAATGCCCACACATATACTTTCTTGCAGAGTGCTCGGAACTTCCAATGATGACAAACAACCGTATGAGCATAGCAACGTCAGCACCGGTGCTTTTTGTGTCATCTTTTTTCTAACATTCAATAGCCCTTTGGCAGCTTGCTAACTGGATGACAGGTTCTTTGTTTTCAGCTATAGAACTCCTTACCCTGTTCTTTTTCTGGGATGAACAACTATGTTTTCAGCAGGGGCGCAATTCGTCTTTATATTGCAGTCAATTAAAACATTGATTGATTGATTGATTTCTCGCTGCATTACCGCTGTGTCCTGGCAGGTGTGCTATGCCCGGGTGCTCGACTACAGGCGTAAGTTTATCGAGGCAGCCCAGCGCTACAACGAGCTCTCCTACAAGTCCATCATTCACGAGGACGAGCGCATGACGGCACTGAGGAACGCCCTCATCTGCACCATCCTTGCCTCTGCTGGTGGGTGTCCGTCCCCAAATGTTGCAGAAACCTCTATGCAACCAGGATCGCTCATAAAGTGGACCTTTGGGCAATAATGAAATGTGTGCATACATAAAGATACACATACACAGAGGCAACCATTTACGAGGTGCTCTCGTTAAGGATTATTTATTTTTCGAATCAAATAAATTTTTATTCAGACAACTGACAAGTAGTACAGTTGTCTGGGGGGGTCATCACAAAAGGCAGTGAAAAACCTGTCGAGGTTACTGTCCCCCGTCCCCATTCGGTCACGTCATTCAGCAAGCCTGGAAAACAAATGTCGAACAGAGAAAGAGAACTCGCAGGACCGTCGTAAAACAAACATCAAACAGGCAAATCGGCAATAGGAAAACATGGCATAAAAAGATTAAAACAAGGAAAGGAAAACCAGGCAGTCACCCATGAAGCAACCCACTTCCATCTCTCTAAACATGCACGAGTGGGACACAGAAAGTGGCACCAGACTATAAAATATAGCACGAAAAAATTGCACCAGCACACTACAAGTCAACCAGTCACCCGAACAGCAAAGACTTAAAAGAATTTGTTCAAAGTACCTCTAAGACCTGAAAGTATAACGTGAGGGGGGATTGCATGGTTTAATTGGACACATGAATATAAACAGAGATGGCACCAGCGAAAGTGCACAAAAATAGGTAGTGTACCTGGAAAGCGCAATCTTTCCATGTGGCAGTATTGTTTGACTCTGTCTTCTTCTGTCCTTCTATGGTTCCCTGATGATCTCTCTCAATCTTCCTTGCTCCCATGTTCCCGGTGGTCCTGAGGTCCAAGCTTGTTGCTGTCAAGTTCCTTTTTATTTTATTTTTTGTGAGCTGTCTAGAAAATAGTGGAAAAGCCGAAACAGCAGAATACCAGCCCATTTTGCATATATTCCTTTCAAAGGTGCTGCATTTTTACAATCTGTACCCACTTATGGATTTGTGATTTCTAACGTTATGCACCTCGCACCCTAGCATCAAGCTAAAAAAAAGAAGGGCAAATTTGTTTTATGTTATATGTAAAGTTCCATGTTTTCGGATAAATTCGAAAAAAAGAAAAAGTCTGAAAGACACTTGCTGGTAAATTTTTTGTAAATTGGGATTTATCCAGAAAAATCCAAACTTTGAGTCACAACGACAAAATAAAAAGCAAAAAAGACGATGTTTTACGAATGAACTTCATAAGAACACAACGTCAGTGATCTCAACGAGATGCAACTTCAGTTTCCTTTGAAATCTTGAACTACTGACAAAAGGGGCTAAAGGATAAAGAGCTAGAAGGCAAAGGGGAATGTTTTTTAACACGTCCTCAAAGAAAAGCCAAGTTCACAGTTTTTTATGCGTAGCATTAAGGAGCTCGTGTAGCAGAAAAGCCGGCACTGGTGGCGTGACGGGAAATTCCTGATTGGTTGATAGAGTCATGACGTCACTGCCACATGACCTCTTGTCGGAATTTCAAACGACCCACAACGCTCAAGTGAAACGTGACGTCACGCAAAGAATGAAAGTGATTAAAAAACATGACATGTAATGTGCATTAAAGGTTGCTGCATGTCTCAAATGATTTCACTTAATAAAGTAATTCAGTTGCCCTAAAGAAAATTTTGAAGAATTTTAGGCGGGATTCAAACCCACGACCCTTCAGTTGTGAGCCAGACACGCTACTGACAAAGCCATGTCCGTTGCACTTCCTGCTCACTGGCAGAAAGAGCATGAGACGCGAATGAGAAGGCGATGCGAACGGGGCCCGATAACGCTATCACATTCCACTCTTAAAGGCGAAGCTTAAGCGTCCTTTTAAGTTTTCAAGTTCCCATGCCACTTCGTGACCTCCCGCTGAATATGTCGCAACACCCTTTGGGACTGCGACCCACATTTTGAGAAAAATTGGACTCCACAGTCGCTCACTGGTGAGATGAATCGAGCCGAGTCTGTCTCTCATTGAAAACAAGCCATAGTGGCAGACAACTGGATATCTGATGTTTGTTTGTGTGCAGTGCAGTTTCGGACCTTATTTGATCTCTTGCTATGCAGGCCAACAGCGCTCACGGATGCTAGCTACTTTGTTCAAGGATGAGAGGTGTCAACAGCTGCCTGCCTATAACATTCTGGAAAAAATGTGAGTAGTAGTTCTTACATCATCGGAACGGAGGTGTTTCATGCCGAGCACAAATTCGTCTGCTTTTTTTGCAGGGATTGTGGTGACGTGCAGAACGCCGAGGTCTGATTGGCTCTGATTGGAGAATAGTGGCTAGACGTGAAAACAAGCTGCCTTGAGGTCTATTCACTATCCTTCAATCACAGCTCGGCGTTCTGACGTCATTGCAAGCCCTGCAAAAGAAGCAGATGAACTTGTTCTCCGTATGCATTATAAGCGGGCTTCGACAAATCTTTTCTTTTATAATGCGTTCATTTCAGTGTTTCCTCTAACTATTACATACTTGCTTGCGATTTGAAGGAGCTGAAAGTGTGAACAAAACAGGGATGAATGAAGGCACACATACAGAGACTAATGTTAATTTGTAACTGCGATCCCTTTTTTGTGCTTGTTTTCAAAGCATATATTTTTCTCGGTGATGATTGCTAGATATGCAAGAAAGGTGTGCCTACATGAACCTGTTCGGCTTTGCAAGTTTGCACTCGTTTTTTTATTGTAAGTGTGCCTTCATTCATTTGTGTTTTGTTCACATTTTTTAGTTTTTTTGGATCATAACAATGAACTACTTACCTACTATTTTCAACTCATGTTTGCATTGCAGTTTACACACAGTCGAAGAATGAGTGCCAGAAGTTAACAGAAAGAATTAGTTCATTTACAAAAAAAAAAAGAAGTAACTTAGCATGCTCTTCAAAGTATGATCAGAGTCCTCCAATACGCTACTGCTCACAAAACTTCTCCGCGACGCCAGAGTTCTTTAATACCCTTCTGGTCATGAAACATTGGCAAAAGTTTGGTGCAAGGTCAAAAGCTGCTGCTAGGGGTGCTACTGTGTCCGAGGGGGCATTTTCGTTTGGCCGCCCCACTCTCGGGGCGTCACCCCGAATTTGTGATTACAAGTAGTTTTGAAAAAATATTTCCTGTACATCGAAATTTTGTTACGCCTTTGTTTGATCACTGTATGCAAGCACCGATTAATTTTTATTGATCTCTAACAAGAAAACTTACAAATAAGCTTTTCTCAGTTGTTTTAAGGGGACACACTCCCTAGGAGGGTCAACTTTTGAACCCTTGGCTTAAAATTAATGAAATTTACAGGGTAGGCTGGTGGTCATACTAGAGGATGCATAACAAAATTTCAGGTCTTTCAGTTGAGTGGGAAGGAAATTAGGGCAGCTTTTATCAGCAACACACCTACATTGTTTAGTTAATCTGTCGTCGGAAAACTATCACAATATTCAAGATTTTTATTTGCTAGATATGTAGCAGAATGCCTAGGAGGTGCAGCTATAGAAAGCTTTTTGTAAAAAGTCATTTATTTCTATCAATTTTCTCTTCTGCAAAATTGGTAAACTTTTTGGTCTTCTGTGTCTTCGACAAAATGTCAACATTTTTTTATAAAAGGCATCCTTAAAGTGACAAAAAAATTCCATAGCCGCATTCCTTATTAAATTTCAGTCAGAAAAAGTCAAGAACGAGCCTTTCCTGTATTGCCATTATCAAACGATAGGTTGACTAAAGTGGAATTTATACCAAAAAGTAGAACGGAGAAAAATGAGTTCAAAGTGCTCCAAACCCTACCTTTTCTTTAGCTTCGGTGGACAGAAAATAATTTATAAAAAAATAACTATGCAGTGTAAACCAGTGAAAATTTCTGGGAATACTCTCGAGACATTGGTGGATGTAAATATGTAATTTTTCAAAATCAGAGTTCTTTGCAGAAATTTTTTTTTCTGGGTAGTGTCCCCCCTTAAAAAAGATCAATGCATTTTCAAGCAAAGAAAAGCTAAGCAATTGAGCATACTGGTTTTCAGTGCCTCTACTGGATGGCGCTGGTTGCAGCGCTGAATTTTTATGGTGAGGAACATAATGAAAGTTCATTTCGAAAAAAAAAAAAAGGAATAAAAATGTTATTAGTTTGGAGATGGTTACAAATATATAAGATTTAGCAGCTGATTGAGTGTACAGAGCCGAAGACACTTGCGTTAACGAGAAACGCTGTCGGTGCGACGACCGATTGTCTCGATTTATGGATGGCTTGTTCAGAGTAAGACCGAAATTTGGACACATGTGCGAGTTGCCAGACTACCAGCAGTGCAGGCTAGATTGGCGGCTCATAGTCCCCTCGTCGAGGCTATACTTAGTTTCAGCTGAAGTCCAGATGCAGTTGATGCTACAAGCGCGAGCTCCGGGCTTTCAGCGTCTCTGTTCAGGGCCACATGTTTGCGTTTTCAGCATCGACTACGTCTGGACTTGAGCTGAAACGAGGTATAGCACCGCGCGTGGTCGTGTGCCAAGTTCTTTCATAACAGCACGGAGAAGCTTCGTGACCAGGAGCATATTATAGGACTCCGCTAATGCCATGGAAGAGCTTGGTACGCTACGACGGATGGTGCTAGCGTCGACAAGAGTGCTAAGAGCCATCAATCTATTCAGCACCGCTGAGAGTCTAGCAACTGGAAAGTGGTATCGAAATTTCAAACACACGGGTCATCGCACTGACAGTTTTTCTTGTTAATATAAGCGTCTTCAGCTCTGGACAATCAGTCAACTGATCAAACTTCCTTTTCTGGAACGCTCTCCAAAATAATATCATTCTTCATTCCTCTTGCCTCAAAATGAATACTTTATACCGCTGTCGCCGTCAAACTTCAGTTTCGCGATTAGCGCCATCAAGTAGGGGCAATGCAAATCCGTACGCCTGATTGGCTGGTTCTTTTTCGCTTGCAAATACACCGTCTATTTGAAAACAAACTAAACAAGCTTATTTTAATGTCTTGTTGTTAGAAATCAATAAAGAATGACCAGTGGTTGCATACAGGATTCAATTAAAGGCATAAAGATGTTGATGTAATGAGACATTGTTTTTTGTAAGTTACTTGTAATTGCAAATTTGAGGTGGCTTGCTGAGAGTGGGGTGGTCAAACGGAGCTCCTAGTGGCAGTTTTGGACTCTATACCAAAGTTTGGTTGAAGTTTTGTGATCAGTAGCGTATTGAAAGACTCTCGTATGACTGTGCAGTTGTTATGGATGTTCAGTTTGCAAAGAGATGCATATTACTTTTAGTGGAAGCGCAAAATAATTTGCTCAATATTTATGTACCCAGAAGGGCTGTCCTCGCTGTAAAACTAACTGGAAACATTCTCATGTTTGTTTCTTTTTTTTTTTCTTCAGGTATTTGGACCGCATCATTAGGAAGAGTGAACTTGATGATTTTTCAGCATTACTGCAGTCCCATCAGAAAGCAACCATTGCTGATGGTAAGACATACTGTAACAACATTCTCCATTAATGCCTCTTGGGACCAAAGTCGTTACAAGTAGCTGACACTAACGACGTTTGGTTTACATTCACACTTGTGGTTGACATAAGGAGTGAGTTATTTGCTTGTCTAGTTGTTTTGCTTCTAGCCCCTTCATGCTAAGAACTTATTTTTCCTGTTCTCTCAATATTGTTATAAGTGGATCGCATCATATACATAGGCTGTGGAAGCTTGAGCGCAATAAAGTCGTGGCAAAATAGAAAATAATGAAATGGCGTTCTGAGAATGATATACGGTGCAATCCACTTACCGTAATGTCCCGAGTGATTTCCCACACCCCTGCCGCCTGAAATTCATTAAAAAAAAGTGGGGTGGGTCGTGTCTCAGTGGGTCAGAACAAAAAGTTTTAAGAAGGCTAAAAAAAACGCCCATTTTTCTGTACACACCTAGCACAGCTGCACTCGAATTAGTTTCATTGTTTTTTGCAAGAAATGCTCATGACAGAATGTTTTACTGTCAGAAGTTTGTTACTTGCGTACTTGCAATGAACGCCGTCGATCGGCATACAATCTGAACGTTCGTTCCATGAAGGCATGTTTCTAACACCGCCATGTTCTCTTCAACAGTAAAGAGAAAGGTCGACAAGAAAATAGAAAAACCAACCAGGTGCAACGAGAGAGCGAGCAGTCGAAAGAAGCAATGCTGGGGAAGCGGGAAAGCAGACGATCACATTGGCAAATACTTTGGCGTTGGACCTAGTTGGGTGCCTTGTCATTCACAAGAAGCGGGCTCTTGCACAGCTCTCTTTTTTGGTGCATACATGCATGTATCCGTGTGTGGTGTGCTATCAACACTGGTTGAGGCGGCATTGCTGTGTGGCGTGGACAGCAGCACGAACAGGGAGCTCGAAAAGGGATGCTTTAAAAGCACCTGTGTGCGGCTTTCCAGCAAATTTTTATTTACCCGTCAGCTTTGTCTCGAACATTGCACAGCCTTACCAAACACGGTTGCAACGTTCCGGGAAAACGAGCGGGTTCGTGGGGATTTCATTCCGGTGGAGGTGGACTTTGACCTTACCCTTTCGCGGTTACATTCCAGGATATGGAGCATTCGCTCACCTTGCGATTCCTGAATGGGTTACTGCTTGTGTTATCTTTTCGGCTTCTAGCTTGTCCAAACAAACTTCTTTGTAAGCAAAACAAAGTTTCATTTTGTTATCTCCATCGTTTTCCTTTCGGGGTCGCAGAAATCGGAGATGAAATGCGCAAACAAAGTGAGGTGCTTTTCCCTCCTTCGCTTTACTTCGTCACAAACGTCCTCTAACCATAAGGTCCGCGGCCGCATTATTCCGGTAGGATGATTGTTCGCGGTTCGGGGAGTTTGCGTCGGGGTATTTGTAGGGGGGGGCGATGACCCGGGATATTTTTTTGGAAATCGATATTCGCAAAAAAAGTGGGCGAATATCAATTTCCACTATATCGACTCGGGAATGGGCGATGACTCGAGATATTACGGCATTATGATAATGATAAAACCCAAAAATATAATCATTATAACCGATTATTGTTGTATCTGAACTGGCCTCGAAAAGTGCACAAAATAATACCCCAGGCTGCAGGATGGAGAAAGTTACTGAGCAATGCAACATACTCATCACATCATACAATATCAGCTTTAAAATAAACATTTTCTTTATTGAGTAGTTTAAATGAACAAGTGTTTGATAAATCGTGCATAAAAGGCAGGAAATTGATGCCTCGCACGCAATTCTGATGCGCTACATATCCAGTTGCTATGCGTGTGCTGCCCACAGTCTTGTCGCATGTATAAAATCGACCAGTAACTGAATCGCGAGGAGAACACCTTGAACGTAAATTGGAGGCAGACGATCATCGATGATGGCACAGATAATGTCGTTGACATCGTCGTAAATTTCCTCGTCAACGGCGGCAGCGGTGATAAGATTATGGAGCCATGACGTTGCCATGGCGGCCAAGGTGGCACACGGGAAGAGCTCATTGATTTGGACGAGGCTCCAGGCTTCTTTAAACCTTGACACCAATGTTTCAGTATGCTTTGTTTCATCTCCACCAAAACTGTTGATATTTGCATTTTCGCTGCGTGCATCTCGCTGGCGCCATCTTTAAAATGTGACGACGGATGACGATGATGATATCGGTCGGCTTCAGGTTTGACACAGCGACAACTCGCGGTGAATTTCGATACACGTCAATATGGCATACGCATGTCGCGAGTGGGGTGTCGTTCATTTGGTGGGTCTTTTTATTGTTAGTTCCATTTCTTGCCTGACTCTTTTATATTTTCCAATTAGCGCATTTATGATCGTTGTAGCCATTGCTATGTGTGGTTTATTTTTACATATACCCAATGCAAGAAATGCATGGTTCTCTGGAAACATTGCTATAAGCAGTACATCATTATATTTGGTATCGTTTTAAGTGGATTGCACTGTATTGATTTTTTGGCAAATTTTAATGAGCCATTAATTATCGGGCAAAACTGTTGGAGTTATTGCTGTCTTCAACTAACGCCTAGGGGCTTGCACTGCTAGGGACAGATCCGATTGCACCATGTGTTGTGTTCCACATTTTGTTGTTTGCTCAGGGTCCACCATCTTGGACAGGGCCGTGGTGGAACACAACCTGCTCTCGGCCAGCAAGCTCTACAACAACATCACCTTTGAGGAGCTTGGGGCACTCTTGGAGATCCCACCTGCAAAGGTCTGTCCACATCAAGTCTGATAGGCTGCTTCAGCTGTTGTTGACCATGTCTGAAACTTGAAGATGATACTTTCACGGAAAGAAAGGTTCAGTAGATCATTGCTGATGTTTTTGAAAAAAGAAAGTAATAATGTGCGAAAATATGTTAAAACTGATGACGCTCCTGGAGGGTATTTTTCTTACTCAGCATTGATGTGTAGCATTGGCAAAATGTGGTTGCAGACAGATGCACCGGTGTTGTGCCAAGGCTCGTGAATTGGACGCAAGCTGATATTCATGCGGGCACACTCGGGGAATAAAATGGTTTATGTTTGTCTAGCGAACAACTTGGTCCTACTTTCGAACCCTCTGCAACGTATGCACCGCTTGCAAAAACTTATAAGAGCGTTTATCACCCAATAATCAAGGTTAGTTGGAAGGCCCATAGCTTGCCAATGCTTGGCGAGAATGAAAATTTTAGAGTCCTACTCTGTTCCCTTTCACAAACATACAAAAATTATGTTCAGTGTTTTGTTGTTGTTGTTTGTCTCGAGTTTTGCAGTTTTCAAGGTGGGGTCTGTAGGAATCCTTGTGTGTAATTTCCAGGCAGAGAAAATTGCTTCCCAGATGATCACCGAAGGCAGGATGAATGGCTACATTGATCAGATTGACTCCATCGTCCACTTCGAAAGTGAGTGTCATTAATGCATGCACCCCTCCCCTACTTTGTTTCTTGCTTTATTGGGACGAGTATCCTATAGTCAGATATGTGGTAATTGACTTGCTTGAAAACTTGAATATAACATCATGTTTGGCCTTGATCAAAATTTCTCTCATTTTTTTTTCTTTTTTTTTTGCACTTTCCCCTCAACCTTGTTTTCTGCCACGGATCTAGGAGCTAATCCTCCCAAGAAAGTAAAGACTTCTTCCTTTCTGGTTTTATGCCAAATGTCAGAGGGGTCATCCCAACTTATTCGTGACAAGTTGAATGACCATGTTGTTATATCTTGGTAGGCTTTCGTATTCTTTTATCCAAATGCTACAGCTAGCGGGGTCTTTGTCTCTTTTAAATTATATTGTCTGCACGGACAGATACCTGACACCACCTCAGAGGAAGAATGCCATTATCGCTAGTGCTTGCACTGTCGCAGGAATGTTAAGCTTTCCACAAGCGGTTGAAGAACAGCAGAGCATTAGCCTGGGTGTTACCTCGATGCCTTTAGTTCTTTGCATCTTATTGGCAGGCCTAGACACGGATTAGTAATTCTGCAGCCGCCTATGGTCTCAGCTCGCTCAACTTACCTCGAGATTGTCTGTGATCTGCTAGTTTGATTAAGGGCTTATTGCAGTATAAGCGTATTAATGTAAGTGACGTTTTGGTGTTCTCCCATCAGAAGAGCGTCCAATTTGTAAAACACCGCAATAAACCGATCTCACCAGCCAGTTTGACTACGCCACCGCTGCCGCAATGCATCAAGGAAACTTCGGTCTTTTTGCTTGAGCGACACCCTCGCTGGAGCTCCTCGCGTGTAGAGCACGAGAAGGCACGAGCCCTCGCGCGCACGGCTGTCTGCCTCCTGTGAACTAAAGTTATGGCGGCGTCACGCATGCGCCTAACGCTTAGTGAGATCGGTCTATTGTGTTTGTGAAATGTGAAACTTGATGCCCATGTCATAATGCAAGGTTTCAGATCAAGAACAGTCCAACCTATCAATTTAATGACCCCTTTAACCCTCTTCTGCATTTCTTTTTGTTCTCTCAGGCCGAGAGATCCTTCCATCGTGGAACCAGCAGATTCAGAGCCTTTGCTTTCAAGTAAACAACATCATTGAAAAGATTAGTGCCAATGCCCCGGAGTGGATGAGCCAAGCTCTGGAGGATCAGATGGTCTCCTGAACTGTAAATAACATGAGTGTGAGAAATAAATGTACTGGGAATTTCTGTTCATAAGGCAAATAATGCGAAGGGAGTTATTCATTTTGCTGGCATTCGAGACTTGTTGTGTGTTTGTCCACTTTTTTGTGTGTTCCTCTGTCTCAGGTTTGTGCAATTATGACAGAAATGGGTGAGAATCTGACCAAGACCTCAGTAATGTAGATACCTGACTAAATCGGAGGACATAATATAATTTTCGCTCGAGACACGTTTGAATTATTAGTAGGAAAGTTGACCAGCTTGTGAGCTTGCATGCAAGATCAGTTCCAGGTGGTGGCTTTAACTCAACATAACAGTCTAGAAACTAAGAATGCATTAATGCGATTGCCACACCATTTGAGCAAAACTGTGCTGTGGTGAGCTGACCTGCTACGTTTTCCCAAAATGGTGCAATATTTGCGCCAACATGACACCAAAAGTAATGCTCACTTAACTGCAGCTAATAACCCAGGCCCCACTACATTGCCGGAACATTGCAGTAGACCTGTGCAAATTTCCTATACTCTCGATTCACACTTCGAATAACGCAATATTCGATTTTATGTCTTCGTATCAGACATTGACCTTCTCGGAATTTGGCAATTATTTGTCATTACAGATTGAAATACATTTAGGCATTTCTTATGAGCTGTGAATGCGAAAGCATGCAAAGTCGCTCGTCCGCTCCCTTATTTCGTCTGCTGCGTACTTTTCGTCGCCGGTCAGCGCGCGCGCTCTCCTGGGCGCGCTGACCTTGGACGCGCTGACCTTGGACGTGTTTGCGGCACGCTGACAGGCACGCAGCGCCATGGGGTGAGCAGTCGTTGAAACTGAGCCAATGGGGCCGAAGCCGAAATCCATCAGCTTTACTCCGCTCCTTTGGAATCGGGGAATTTTGGTGCCGTTGGCCAGCTTTTCGCGTGGTTTCATAGCTGGGAGTTGGCTTCACTGGGAGAGATGTTTTGAGGTGCCGTTTGGCACCTCAAAACACACGCGGCGCTATATTTCGCGAAAACGTGGGGAGCGAGAGCGGACGAGACGTTCCACCTTTGAATCGCAGGGGTGCTTCGAGAAATTTGATTATCGTTTGTAGCATTTTATTTATTTATTTTTTCTTGAGGTGAACTAATCCGGCATTCGCGACCCCAGCCTGCCTACGCTACCGAAGCGTCGCCTTATTGCCGGCCGAACAATCGCTCCCTTTCCTTTTTTTTTTTTTTTTTTTTTTTTTTTTTTTTACGGTTGACTGTACAACAGGTTTTATCAGGCGACGGGGGAAGCAAAAGTATTTGGGGGAAGCGCGGGAGAGCGGGCGAGGGCAGGCAAGCAACTGCGCGCGCTTCTTCCTCACAATTTTTTTTCTTTCTCTCGCACTCTCTTCGGTGTCACATGGTTGCAAAGCCGGCGGTAGACGCTGAGAGAGCGCGATGCGGTTTGGGATTTTTGCAAAATGGTTTACTGGCCGACTCACCTTTTCCCCGAGCCATACATATTTCGCTGTTCTGCTTCAGAAAACATCTGAGCAGAAAAATGTATAGACAACACGTGCATTACACTTTTTATTTTATGGGGGTGGGGGTTCGGGGTCTTTACCCTGTTCCAAATTGTGAACCCCCCTCCGCAAACACATCATCATGGATAATCGGTCTGTCTGTACAGATACGATCGGCGAGAGGTTAAATGGAGTGGTCGCGTGAGTGACCTTTACGAAAGCAGCTGTCGTGACATTCCCACAGGTGCAACAATTCGCTCAGAGGAACCGCCCAACAGGCGCCGTGGTCTCGTTTTTCCCCCACTCCAAAGGACGAAACGTCATCTAACCCCAGACGAGGCCAATCAACACCGCCTAGAAAAATTCCGAGGACACCTAAGCACTTCTTATGAGTTGTGAATGCGAAAGCATGAATGTCGTTCTCAATGGAAGCCTCGTTCCTTAACACTCAGACGCGCGCCAGCCAATGGGAGCCTGTCCATCAGATTTCTGCTGCAGACGACAGGCTTCGCTCCATTGGGACAGGGGAAGGTGCCGTTTGGCGCGGCTTCAAAAGCTGATGACGTTGGTTCGCTCCATGGGACACTGAATGCTTTCGCATTAATAATCGAACTCCGTGCGCTAGCTTTCCGACGTCATCACAGTGACATCGAGAGCAGACAGGAATTGGCCATATGCATGAGGAGTGCTGCGTTCAGCAGGGCTTCTTGAATCCGTCGGAGGATGCTCAACGTCGGGCTGGAGCCCAATTGCTGAGCTACATGGAGGTAGAGGAGAACGGTTCACGTGCTTCGATCATTCTAGCTGGTGTTGGCTCAATTCGCCGCGAAGGTGCCTGTGTTACGTCTGCCGGTGTTACTACATTCTACCTAGCACGCCCCCCAGGTTGGGTCTAATATACCCCTCAAAATTTCCTGCACAAACTATACAGCCTATAGTGTACACCGCCGGGGCCCCTCCCAGGAATTTGGAACATCTATCTGTCATGACAGACCTTTTGCGAAGCGTGCAACGCCGTCCGCAGCGCCGGTAGCGGTCTGTACGGGACTGGCTAGAGCAGACGACGGGGGGCGACCTTCCTTGGAGGCGAAGGAGGATGGTGAGCCGTTAGGCCGTGAAAGCAGGTAAACAAGTGCTGCCCTCTCTCTCTCTCTCTCCTCCTTTTTCAGTGTCACGTGGTAGATGGTGCAGGAGCGAAAAGCGTGCAGGGTACAGGCTGGGTAGGTTAACCTTGCTCAGCAGCCGGAAATTTTTCTCTGTAGCGGGTTGACGGAGAAACGGAGGTTGGGGTGGGGGATCAGCCCACAAACATAACGTGTAAAATAAAACTGTCACATACTCAGTGTGATATATGAAATGATGTTCTTTTGATTCAGGCGCACGTAACGTAAGATTGCTTGAAATCTCACTAAGGTTTTGGGTGTTCAATATTGCTTGCCAAGGTGCGAACATTGAAAAGTGATGTTCGTGGATGTATTCGTGCCGTAGCGAACACTTCGATCAAGGCCACTGCGAGATATCGTAGATTTTGAAAACTTTAATTCAGGGAGGCCAGCGGAAAACTCCGTTCGCTGCAAAGTATGCATTCTTCAGCTTACTGCTTGTTTGGAGATCAGGTGATCAGCGTGCTTTATCTGGCAAATCACTTGAACTTGATCGGAGTTAATACGTCCGATTATACCGGGTTTGCATCCAAACATGCCTCTTGTTCTTTTAGTAGATAATTCCGATACCCGATACCCCCGACAACAACACTCGATAACGGTACGATTAACGCACTAAGGCGGCGGCGGAATATCGGGTGTCGTTATCGGAGTCATCGGAACGGTCTGCTAAACTTCTCTATTGCCTCGCAGGCCACCGGTTGCCGATCCCTGCTCTAATTCGTTGTGCGCTCCGCGCGCGGCATTTTTTTTTTTTTTTTTTTTTTTTCCAAAGGGTTAAGTGCATTGTTTGCTGTAAACACCGCAAAGAAGGATATGTGGTGGGGAAGTCGCCTTCGTTGAATCTTCACAGTCATATTGTCACGAGTTTTGATCCCCGTTTCTGGACTACTTTAGCTGCTGTGAAATGCATTTCCTTATAGTATATTTTCTCTTTCAACTGTGATACGTCGTGTGTGTTTGTAAGAGCGTTTCTGTGCGCTTTTTGATTCAGAAGAAACACTCGACAGCGCCCGATAAGCTTGACGGCCGAAAGAAAAACACTACTAAAAAACGTATCTTAAATGATGACATGGGAGTTTCCAGGCCTTCCAAAATAAAAGTCAATTCGCGAGTCTTTTTCTCTTTCTGTCATTATAGCGTAGTTAAAAAAAATCCGAATGTAACATAAAGCGACTAAGCTACTTGATCGAATTAACTGTAAATGTAACAAGTTCTTTTTATTTATGGGAAACTGTGACTGTAATTTAGCAACGTTATTACCAGACTAACTTAACTTTAGCTAATAACTTTAAAGATGTAACTTAGCCAGGACTACGCTGAAGCGCATCTCGCGTGACAAGTTCCCATCTGTCATCCCACCCACCTCTGTCTGTACGCGACAAGTGACTAGGATAGCACGCTGTGGCTCATATCTGTTGAGTAAAGCGTGGCCTTGACTTCGATGCCATAATCGAACACTTCAACATCGTTTCTCTAAAGAACGAACCTAAGACGGATCACAAGAAGGGAACATCAGAAACGAGAGTTCTTTGGCACTTCTAAAATACCAATCAATGGTTCCGCCGAAAAAGCAAAGGCATCCATGAAGCAGGCAAGGCACACAAGTCTATAAAATCTTAATCAACTATCGCCAAAAAAAAAAAAATCAGTTTTTTTTTTTTTATTTTGGTGAAGAAGGAAGACCAGCGGAGCTGTACAATGGAAAGTAATGGCCGGCCGCAAGTCGGCAAGCCAGAGTGGAAAGGCTGCCGCCATCTATGAGTGATGGCGCCAACCAGATACGTAGCTTGCCGCCGTCGCTCATCACATTTAAGTGTCTTCGTGTTGTTTTTTTTTGTTGTTTTTTTTTTTTTTTTTGCGGGGGACACGATTTTGGGGAAAACTAGCCCTTAACAGCTCCGTTGTAAAAACATTTCTAAAGCCACACGCCAGCACTCCGACTCCGAGTTCGAGTAACTGACAAGGCATATCAGCCGGTAAGCCAGCTTGTCCACTGTGCTGCCGAACTCTGCAGAAAAGTGGATTTGACGAACCGAACTCCCTCCTGACACTGAAGCGCAATCAAAAGAATAGCAGAGTTTAGATTCCATTTGAGAGAGACTCCCCTCGGACCAGAAGGCGCGAAGCTTACCCTCTCCCTCCAGACGTTGACTGCTCCTCCGAAGGGGCTATTAGAAACGGCCAGGTTAGCACGTGCGCAGCGTAGCGATGCGAGCCTTTCCGGAAATATTGAGCGCCGTTTTACGAATGTAATGGCTAGTTTCGCGTAATCTGTAATACTGGGCGGAACGGAAATGACCGGGCAGCATTGCGCTGTCATTGCTTGTGTAAATAACAAAGAGAAACGTAAATTATACGCCGAAACACTGTGCGCATGGCTGTCA